CATTTGCCATTGAAGAGGTAGTTGTAGTTCTTTTTTGCTTTCCTGCAGCTTTGTAGGCAGGTCCCCCAAATACTTTTACCGCTTTACAAAATAATTTGCCATCAGTAGAACATTCTTTATTTCCAAAAGTGGCATTCTAATTAAATTTTTTATTTAATTTTATATTAAATTTAAGTTTGAGCAAAGTTTTGTTAATAATAAAAATAAATTTAATGTTTTATTTTAATATTTTTAAATACTCCACACCAGACGTGGGCGAAACGTTTCGTTTTGTTTCGTTGTTTCGTTAGTTTCGTTATGTTTTTTCCTGTTTCGTCTCGTTTCGTGACGAAACACTTTTTAATTTGTTTCGTTTCGTTTTGTTAACGAAACATTACCTATTTTTTAAGCCAAAATATTACCCGAAACTAAAAAAAATTTGCCCTTTGGTGATAAAAATTCAAAAAATTTTCGCATGCGGCGCTGAAAAAGAAAGAAATCTGGCTTGTTAGCCTTCAAAATTCTCAAAATTTTCGCCTGCGGCGCTAAAAAAAGAAGAAATCTGGCTTCTTGGCCTTAAAAATTCTCAAAATCTTCGACTGATGAGAAAGGACCCCCTCGTAAACCTACACACTGATGACTTATTGACCCTGAAGGCTTACAAACTTTTGATCAACACTAATTTTTGCTTTTATCTCTTTACAAGTTCAATCAGTCGAGCTGTGGGATTAACGGAGCTAATGAGTGGTACAGAGTTGACCCCCTTTTTAATTATCTTTAGTCCCGTACTGGGAGTATCCGCAGATTAATCTTTTTGTATATTTTGGAGGGAAGGACCTGGGCTTAATAATCGAAAAGTTTTGTCGTCAATTACTCATTCGGTAATGCGACAATTTCGACCAATCCCGATCCAGTGTCGGGATCGGCCTCACCATTCCAAAATCCCGATCCCGGTTTTTCTATAAATCCCGATACCGCTGAACTCTAGATTTAGGTGAGATTAAGAGAAAAATTGGCTAATGGGACCACAATTTATGGTTCACATAATTTTACGATCACTTATATGTCATTATTGGCCAATTAACATGCTTAAAATTGTGTACTTAATAAAATAATCCAGTTTTTTGAAATTTTTTTCGAAATTAAAATGTTTTGTTTTGTTTCGTTTCGTTTCGTTAAATTTTGACTGTTTCGTTTCGTTTTGTTAACGAAACGATTTTTAAAAATTTTTGTTTCATTTCGTTTCGTCCGAAAAAAATTTGGAGTTTCGCCCAGGTCTGCTCCACACCTTTAAACATCCACAGAAATTATCATCACAATTTTTACGCCCATTCTGCTGGTCATAGCAACTGATAATATATTTTCAATTTAAAAATAAATATATAAAATATCTATGGTATATTTTTCACGATTTTAATTTAAATATTTTACTTTAAATTCTGTTTATATCCCCATGAATAATAATAATTCTTAGTTAACATACTATTTCGAATTTTATATAAAATTAGCGAATATTTACAAAATTTATTTTGCCATTTTTCGGCTCTAAAATTTCTCTTAGTGAATTAAAATTTAGGTAAGGGAATTAAATAAAGAATTATTTACAATTTCTTCAAATTACTAATTATAAAAAATATTTAAATTAATAAAAAGGCAACCTGTCATGGTTAATACAACAAGCGTTTATTTGAGCTAAATTGTATTTATTTTAAAAAAGATATATGTACATATAATTAATTAATTTGATTATATAATATTTTCAAAATCAAAAATTATAAAATATAAAAATTCCAAATTAAATAATTTATTTATTTATATAATTTTAAAAATTTACTTTTATCGTTCGGGCATGTCATCTGAATCGTTTTCTTAGCTAATTCCTAAAACAATTAATTATAAAATTTCAAAGGATATATTTAAATAAATTTAAATACTTTTGTAAAATTATCTGTACCACATTCCCATTCAGGTTGCATTGTTGTTCCTGAATTTTGTTCATTACTTTGACAAAAATAAATAAATAATTGGATTAAAATAATATTCAAAAAGAAATTGTGAATTTTCATTTTTAATTTAATTATTTAATTTAAATTTTGTAATAATATTTTTAAATATTCTTTTAATTAACTTGTGTTGGGATTAAAATTGACTATTTATTTTTATTATTAAATATTTTTAATTCAATAATATGTATTACCTCTTATAAATGCTAAAATTTATTTTGGCAAGATATTTTATTTTTGTGGGCTTTGGTATTTTTAAGATGAATTTTTTTGTTTGTTTGTAAATCTGTTAATTCCCGACAAAGAATTTTAGAGAAATAAAGCAAAAATTAAGGCTACCCTACAACTCATCGAATCCTTAACTCATCGAATCCTCAACTCATCGAATCGGCCAAAAACACTCAACTCATCGAATCCTTAACTCATCGAAACCTCAACTCATCGAATCGGCCAAAAACGATCAACTCATCGAATTTTTCCAAAAGGGGACGTTTGAGTCCCCGTGTTTATTTTTTAGATTTTTTATTGTTTTGTTTATTTTTTTTTTGTTTTCTTCTGGGGTTTCAACTAATTTTGTTAATTAGTTGATCGGGCACTCATCCAAGTTTATCCGGCCAGTGAAAACATTATCAGAACATTATCTCATTCCTGAAAACATTATCTCATTCCTAATAAATTATGCTGGAGATTTTACCGAGTAAAACCGGACCAAATTAGTCCAGTAGACCCCGATTATGCCCAAAAGCCCTTTTTCCTAGCCTCCATAGCAGCAAAAAATTTTTTCAACGAAGATTCAGTTAGCCCTTTCGGGAGAAAAATAAAAACAGGGGACTCAAACGTCCCCTTTTGGAAAAATTCGATGAGTTGATCGTTTTTGGCCGATTCGATGAGTTGAGGATTCGATGAGTTCGTGCCGCTCAACTCATCGAATCCTTAACTCATCGAATCGACCAAAAACGCTCAACTCATCGAATCGGCTAAAATTCCTTAACTCATCGAATCGGCCAAAAACACTAAACTCATCGAATCCTTAACTCATCGAATCCTCAACTCATCGAATCGGCCAAAAACGATCAACTCATCGAATTTTTCCAAAAGGGGACGTTTGAGTCCCCGTGTTTATTTTTTAGATTTTTTATTGTTTTGTTTATTTTTTTTTTGTTTTCTTCTGGGGTTTCAACTAATTTTGTTAATTAGTTGATCGGGCACTCATCCAAGTTTATCCGGCCAGTGAAAACATTATCAGAACATTATCTCATTCCTGAAAACATTATCTCATTCCTAATAAATTATGCTGGAGATTTTACCGAGTAAAACCGGACCAAATTAGTCCAGTAGACCCCGATTATGCCCAAAAGCCCTTTTTCCTAGCCTCCATAGCAGCAAAAAATTTTTTCAACGAAGATTCAGTTAGCCCTTTCGGGAGAAAAATAAAAACAGGGGACTCAAACGTCCCCTTTTGGAAAAATTCGATGAGTTGATCGTTTTTGGCCGATTCGATGAGTTGAGGATTCGATGAGTTCGTGCCGCTCAACTCATCGAATCCTTAACTCATCGAATCGACCAAAAACGCTCAACTCATCGAATCGGCTAAAATTCCTTAACTCATCGAATCGGCCAAAAACACTAAACTCATCGAATCCTTAACTCATCGAATCCTCAACTCATCGAATCGGCCAAAAACGATCAACTCATCGAATTTTTCCAAAAGGGGACGTTTGAGTCCCCTGTTTTTATTTTTCTCCCGAAAGGGCTAACTGAATCTTCGTTGAAAAAATTTTTTGCTGCTATGGAGGCTAGGAAAAAGGGCTTTTGGGCATAATCGGGGTCTACTGGACTAATTTGGTCCGGTTTTACTCGGTAAAATCTCCAGCATAATTTATTAGGAATGAGATAATGTTTTCAGGAATGAGATAATGTTCTGATAATGTTTTCACTGGCCGGATAAACTTGGATGAGTGCCCGATCAACTAATTAACAAAATTAGTTGAAACCCCAGAAGAAAACAAAAAAAAAATAAACAAAACAATAAAAAATCTAAAAAATAAACACGGGGACTCAAACGTCCCCTTTTGGAAAAATTCGATGAGTTGATCGTTTTTGGCCGATTCGATGAGTTGAGGTTTCGATGAGTTAAGGATTCGATGAGTTGAGTGTTTTTGGCCGATTCGATGAGTTGAGGATTCGATGAGTTAAGGATTCGATGAGTTGTAGGGTAGCCGATGAGTTAAGGATTCGATGAGTTTAGTGTTTTTGGCCGATTCGATGAGTTAAGGAATTTTAGCCGATTCGATGAGTTGAGCGTTTTTGGTCGATTCGATGAGTTAAGGATTCGATGAGTTGAGCGGGCACGAAAATTAAATTTTATAGCTAAAATTATTTTTTATGAAACTTTTTTTTATTTTTTATTATAATTTTTCTCTTATTTTTAATTTTTAGCAGAATAATAACTGCGACAACTTATGTTAACGTTTTATTATTTTACATATTAGATACACACATTTAAACCCTAAAAATAATTATTTTTAGCGAAATTTGCCATAAAATTGACTGATTCTCAAAATATCGAAATTATACCTTTTTAGTAAAATAATTTTTTAAATATTTTTTGTATATAATTTTAGAATTTTTGGAGAAATTGTTTGTTTGTAAATCTGTTAATTGCCGTCAGAGAATTTTAGAGAAATCAAAAATTAAATTTAAAGCTAAATTAGTTTTAAATATTTTTGCATAAATAATTTTTATTTTTTTTTCTTTAATTTTGCAAATAAATGCTATTTTGATTTTTAATGTTTTCCTCGATAAATTAACAAGACTGGGCGAAATTCAATTTTAGTTGTATGCTTAATTTTTAGTATTCTTTTACATACCATGGACAATTTATTGGCATTTTCTTAGTAGGGAAGAAAAAAAATTATCAAATTATTTTTATTTAAATACAAAAATTCTTTACAAAATTAAAATAAAATAATTAGTCAATTAACATCTACCGGTTATTTTCTTTTAAATTAACAAATAAATAAATATATTTTAGTATATCCTTTTAATTGGAATTGTTTTGTTGTCTATTTTGTTATAAACATTATTTGGTTTTGTATTTGTTGGTGTAGTTATTTCGATTCTGTTAAATATTAAAAAAAAATTAAATAAATATTAAGGAATTTCCAAAAAATATTTAAAATAAAAATACGCATATTTATAAAAACGTAAAATTTTAAAATATATTTTTTTAATAAATTTAAAAAATATATTTAGATTTAGACTTTCTCAAAATCAAAAAAAAATACTTTTCCCTAATTTTAAATTAAAGTTTATTTTTCTTTCAAAAAATATTTTATTTTCTTCTTTTATTTAAAAATTAATTGTTCACCTATTATTTATTGTCGAAGGTGTATTTGTGGTATTCACAGAAGCATTGTAAAAAGACTGCCCAAATTCTCTCACTAAATCACAAAACATTTTTGTATCAACTTTAGAACATTCTTCACTTCCAGCAGAAGCTATCTATTAAATAAATGAAGATTTTAAATAAAAATAAAAATTTATTAATTTATTCAATACTTCCAAACATTCACAAAAAATATCATCACAATATTTACGTCCTTTTTGGTCATCATAACAACTAAAAAATATTTTAAAAATATTCTTTAAAATATTAAAATTAACCTATCATGACTAACACAACAATTATTAATTGGACCTTTAAATAAAATAAAAGTTTAATTAGTTTCAGAAAATTTTTAGTTTTTGATAATAATATTTAATGTAAAATTATTTTGAATTGAATTTTTTGATTTTTAACTTTAAAAAATAAAAACAATTTTGTTCTTAAATTCTACTAAATTTTTGTCAAAATATACACAAAATTTATTTCTGTTTCCCTTATGACAAAAATAAAAAATACTAATTAACTTTACTCGATAAAATTTATTTACGTTTTTTGTCTGGACAATCTTTTTCAATTGTCGATTCGGCAATCATCTAAAAAAAGAAACTCTTTATTAACAATTTAAATACTAATTAATTTATTCACTTGTATAAAAGCATCTGTACCACAAGCCCAAGCAGGTTCTTCTTCTTCCTTTAAATTTTCAGTAGTTGTCTCTGTTAATGTATTATTATTTTGATTTTTAATTTCAAGAATATTTTTTGTTGAATTTTGTTGGGAAAATGTTAAATTTTGATTATTACATTCACAAAAATATTTAAATATTAAAATTATAAAAATAATATTTAAAAAGAAATTTTGAGCTAACATTTATGCCTAAATTTAAAATTTAGAAAAGTTAAAAAGAAACATATGTAGGTTAAAGGAATTGATTTAAAAATTATTTTAAAAAACTTAAAAAAATTTTTTTTGTCATTAAATATTAAAAAAACAAGTTACTATCAAAAATTATTTTTAATTATTTTCTTTAATTTTTTGAGAAAAGAAGACATTTTTACAAAAATAACGATTGAATAAATGATGCGCAACAATGACACTGTGAAAAGAAAAATGTTTTTGATGTATGTGATTGGTATTCAATAAAAGTTAATAAAAAAAGAGGAGAAGGACACAATATTTATTTAAAAAATAAATACAAAACAAAAATTAAATAATTAGTAATTTTATTTTTATTAACTAAATAAATAAACTACACTAAACTTGATTGTGAGATGCAAAAAATTGGAAATTGGAAAAATTGAAGTTGGAGAATATTGAGTTAATTACTTATATAAAATAGGAAAATTTTATTTTCGTGGCTCGTATTGTTGATTTCTATGTACATATCATAAATTATTTTTATTCAAACATCACAAACGTGATTTACTCAAAACACTACAAAAATTGACTGTTCTAATAACTAGATTTTAATTTTTTAGTTTTTTATTTAAAAAATAATATATTTCTAAAAATCTTAGATTATTACGAATTAAATATTTCCATTATTATTATTCCAAATAAATTTATTTATTTTCAACTAGCTATGGGTTTACCACTGATGGCGGCGGATAGCTGGGAGCATTTGGTTACGACACTTTAGTTTTAAATTTTGCTCTGCCCGTTGGAAAGCCTAACGGCTTTGGGGGCGCGCTTCGCGCGCCGCTAGCGATTTTTTTTGCCTGGAACAAAAGATTAGCCTTCAGTTGGGACTCATCCATCCATTTAGAGTCACTTCGGGCCTTCGGTCCTCGTCTTCCCCTAATTTTCCCTCGATTGGACTCATCCTTCCACTTAGAGTCACTTCGGGCCTTCGGCCCTCGTCTTCCTCGCGATTGGACTCATCCTTTCAATTAGAATCACTTCGGGCCTTCGGCCCTCGCCTTCCCTTTTAGATGGGTGTCAGCTCGGGCCTTCGGCCCTCGCCCTCCCTTTTAGATGGGTGTCAGCTCGGGCCTTCGGCCCTCGCCCTCTCTTTTAGATGGGTGTCAGCTCGGGCCTTCGGCCCTCGCCCTACCTTTTAGATGGGTGTCAGCTCGGGCCTTCGGCCCTCGCCCTCCCTTTTAGATGGGTGTCAGCTCGGGCCTTCGGCCCTCGCCCTTCCTTTTAGATGTGTGTCAGTTCGGGCCTTCGGCCCTCGCCCTCCCTTTTAGATGGGTGTCAGCTCGGGCCTTCGGCCCTCGCCCTCTTTTTTATATAAGTGTCAGCTCGGGACTTCGGCCCTCGCCCTCTCTTTTAGATGGATGTCAGCTCGGGCCTTCGGCCCTCGACCTCTCTTTTAGATGTGTGTCAGCTCGGGCCTTCGGCCCTCGCCTTCCCTTTTAGATGGGTGTCAGCTCGGGCCTTCGGCCCTCGCCCTCCCTTTTAGATGGGTGTCAGCTCGGGCCTTCGGCCTCGCCCTCTCTTTTAGATGGGTGTCAGCTCGGGCCTTCGGCCCTCGCCCTCTCTTTTAGATGGGTGTCAGCTCGGGCCTTCGGCCCTCGCCCTCTCTTTTAGATGGGTGTCAGCTCGGGCCTTCGGCCCTCGCCCTTTCACTTAGAGTCACTTCGGACTCATCCTTTCACTTAGAGTCACTTCGGACTCATCCTTCCATATAGACCCTTGTCTTTCTTTTATTCGGACTCATCCTTTCACTTAGAGTCACTTCGGACTCATCCTTCCACATAGACCCTTGTCTTTCTTTTATTCGGACTCATCCTTTCACTTAGAATCACTTCGGACTCATCCTTTCACTTAGAGTCACTTCGGACTCATCCTTCCATATAGACCCTTGTCTTTCTTTTATTCGGACTCATCCTTTCACTTAGAGTCACTTCGGACTCATCCTTCCACATAGACCCTTGTCTTTCTTTTATTCGGACTCATCCTTTCACTTAGAGTCACTTTGGACTCATCCTTCCACATAGACCCGTCTTTCCTTTATTCGGACTCATCCTTCCACTTAGAGTCACGTCGGGCCTTCGGCCCTCGTCTTCCTCTCGATTGGATTCACCCTTTCAATTAGAGTCACTTCGGGCCTTCGGCCCTCGGCTTCTCCTCGATTGGACTCATCCTTTCAAGAAAAACAAAATTTCGAAGCAGAAACTGCTTCACAAAGCATCTCTGCTTCGGATCCATAACAGGATCCAGCTTATCCCCCCATTAAATTTCCCCCAATATACAAAATTCACCCCTAAGTTCTTCTACGGTTTGCCCCCCATAGTCAGAGACGGAGAAAAATTTCTCCTCTCTTCCTTACATTTGACCTGTCAATCATTTTTCCTCTCTCCCTCCCATCATTCTCCGGGTACTGTACTCAGCCCCACAAATTTTCGAAGCTCTGTACATTCGTCAAAATGTACCGAAAAATTTTGAAAAAAATATTTTTATACCCAGCTCAATAAGAGCTTTCGAATGATATCTCATTTGCCATATCTTTTTTGATTTTTAAAATTAAAATTTTTTGGCCGGAAATTTCTGCCTGAAAAATTCACTAAAATTTTCAAAAAATCATATCTCACCTAAAGTATTCCTTTTTTAAAGATTTTAAAATCTTTTCAGGTGCAGAAAAATCTGCTTTATCCAGGAAAAATTACTTCGGTCCGAACCGCCGGCAAAAATCCCGAAAAAATTTCGAAAAACCGAAAAATTTTGGGTTTTTCGAAATTAGACCCCTACACCTCCAATTTCGAATTTTTTCGAAATTTTTTGGGCTCAAAAAATTTCTAATTTTTTACTCTATTTTATAAATCAAACCCCATTCCATTCCGGAAATCCAATAAAAAGTTATTCCAAATTTAAAAATCCCTCATATCCCACAAAAGGGGTACCCCTTTTGAAAAATTCGAGGGGTCAAAAATTTTCAAATTTTGACCCAAAAATATCCTATATGGTACTCTTACACCCGCTGAATCCAAATCAGGTGTCAGAAAAATTTTTAAAAAATTTGCAAAAAAGTTATAGCCCAAAAAAGTTTCGCGACATTTGCGAACATTGGCCATAACTTTTTGAGACTCAACCGGACCCCCGACATATTATACCTTTTTGGGACCGCCAGGGGACGCTCTATAACATAGGATATCAAAAAAACCTGAAACGACAAATTTTGACAATTGGAGCCATCCTTCCCTATTTTACATCGGGCCATTTTGAACGGGGTTGGGACAAAATTTTCGAACTTTGACCCAAAAAATATCCTATATGGTACTCTGGCATGCGCTGAATCCATTTCCGGTCTCAGAAAAATTTTAAAAAATTTCGCAACAAGGTTATAGCCAAAAAAAGTTTCGCGACATTTGCGAACATTGGCCATAACTTTTTCAGACTCAAATGGACCCCCAACATATTATACCTTTTTCGGACCGTCAGGGGACGCTCTATAACATAGGATATCGAAATCAAGTTTCAATTCACTTTTCGCGATTGGAGCCACCCTTCCCAATTTTACATGCCCGAATTTTGAACCTTTAAATTACTGTAACTCGGTCCAAAGTGGTCCGAAAAATTTGAACTAAAATTCCCCGAACTCAGCTCACTGAGAGCTTTCATTTGAGCTATTACACGTGAATTGTCGATGAGTTTCGAAAATTTCGACTTTACCGACAGGGGGGGATTTTCACCGAAATCCGGATTTTTGCGCACCAATAAGTCCCTTCAAATTGGAATTTCGACTTCGAATTTTTTGCATTTGACATCTCCATTAAATGCTTCAGTGCCCTCCCAGCGGAACTTTTTCGATAACTCCACTCATAAAAAAGATAGCCCCGGTACCTATAAAATTTAGGTACCAGGGGGGTTCCTCTGAAACTTCGACATAATTTTCCTAGATGCGCCATAAAAAGTTGTAGGACTAATGTACAACTTAAAAAAATTCATTAGCAAACCTTAATCAGATCTGAGTTTTTAAACCACTTTCCCGGCAAAATGATTGGCGTCCACCCCAGAAAAAACCAATACTTTTATAGGAATATATTAAAAATCATTTCCAAAATTAATTGACAAGCATAATTAGAGCATAAATAGTAATATTTTTTAACTTCCTATATTTCATGATTAACCTTTTCCTTTGATTGATGGACAGATTTGGATTAGCGCAATAAATAAATAAGCCCTCAAAATAAGCCTTTTAAAAAGCTAATATTTTATGGAAAGATCATTTAAAAAGATTAATTTGTTTTAATAAATTATTAAAGGAAGAGGAAATAATTAAGCCATAAATTATTTTTATGTTCCAGATTATAAATAAATGGATAACAGGAAAAACAGGATATACTACTAAATTTTAATAGCGGTATTTTTATAAAATAAAAAGGACAAAAAAAGAAGCTTTTTTAAATATTCTCATCTGTTTTTTATTTGAATTTAAAAACAAAAACATTATAATTAATTATAATTAAATTGGGGTACAGCCCAAGCAGGCGGGCAGCCAAGTAGGCGCAAAGCCATAATTTGCTTTAAGATTTGCGAATCTTTACAAATTTGTATTAAACGATTCCTCTCATCAGATAAAGAGATTAGTACCAGAATTGTTAAGATCCAGAAATTTCCCAGCAAGTTATGGCTTTGCGCCGCGTGTCCCATTAAATTATTTTATTTATTTTTGTCTTCTTTTTATAAATAGTTTAAAAACTCCTTTATGTATTTTAATGATTGGTTTTTTTGATTAATAAATTCTATAATTGTTAAATGATAACAAATTTCAATCCCCCCCCCCACTCTTTCAGAATTTGACTTATATGTATGTATGTACGTAAATTTATTTAATGAATATCTTAAACATTCTATTTTTATTTCCGTATCAAAATTTACTTACTAATTCAATTTTAGTTCAAAAATAAATTTAAAATTTTTTTGTTTATAAAATTCTCTCATTTTAAATTATTTATATCAATAATATTTTTTATAAACATATTTGGCTATTAATGTTTTTTTTATTTAAAATTCTAGTTTGCTTATACCAAAGGGATTAATCCATCATTTCCTAAAAAATGTACTTTTTTACTTCATGATTTAAAATTTATCTGTTTACAAAATGAGAAGTTCCTTTTTTCATTCTAGAAAGAACATATACCGGAAAAGCTACCAAATTAAATTTACATTATAAATAAATTTTTTTATTAGATTACTCACAAGAAAATTGCTTTTACTTAATAGAAATACATACTATATTTTGGAGAAGCTAGACTCTTAAACATATTTATCTATTTAAAGACGCAAACGATTTTTCTATGACTCATAGAAAATTTTTTTCTTAATTTTAAATGAAAGATGTTAAGAAAATTTTTTTAATTTCCCCTTTTTGTTAATTTTTTAAAATTTTTTAAAATTAAATTTTAGATTAATTTAAAATATATGCATACTACCTATTTTAATTAACCCATTAAATGTTCAACACAAACTTATTTACTTCATTTTATATTTTTTGTTTATTTTTATGTTTAAAGGTTTGAATTTTTAATTAAATTAATATTTAAATTAAAAAATTTTTTAAAGTTTTCTTTTGTCAATTCTCGAAAATATAAATACGAATCTAGTTATTCTTTTCTTTCTTTACTTAATGAAAATAATTTGGAAGGAAGAAGATTTTGTATAAATTATCAACAATGGAAACAAAAAGAATTGCCATCAACCTTTGAAGAGGCGGTAAAATTTGAATTTTTTTTCTTGAAATTTAAATATATTTTAACTGAGGGTAATTAATAAATTAGAAAAATGAGGGTATTAATAAAATATTTTTAACTTAAATTTCTTTTTGATTTTTTTCGCTGAAATTCACAAAGCAGGGAAACAATATTTAAAAATATTAATAATTTACAGTCATCGACATAAAGATAGGGGCAAGAGTAACTGACAATGAAATGAAAATTAACCATTTTCTCAGTTAAAAATTCATTTTAGGAAAAATTTTTGTTTTATTAAATACTCCATTTAATTCTCTATTTAATGAGTAGAAATTTCTCCGGAATTAATAAAAATTCATCTTAAAATTAATTTTTTTGAATTAATAAATCTTTGTTAATATTTTTAAATATTTATTTTCTCCTGTTTTTTGAATTTAAAATTTTTAAAAAAATTTAAATAAATTTCCTCTTTCTTTTAATTTTTTAGCCTATTTTTAATCTCTTTTGGTGGAATAAAGTAAATAATACCAACATTTGTGAAAGACATAATGAATTTAAATTTCCCTCAAATTCCATCGTCCCCGCCGATTATGTAACTGAATTTAACAAATTACGTAAATTATGTAGTGAACAACCAGGATTTAATTATTCTGATCCGAATTCTGTTAGAAATGAGGTTTTCTTTTAATTTTTAAAAATTTAAATTATGGAAATTTTTTTAGGTTAAAATAATGATGGCTGCTTCGATTAAAAATATTCTTTTTTTGGTTGAAAAGGGAAAGAAAAATGCTTATGATTTGCATAATTATTTGGTTTTTTTTATTTTTTTTGTTTAAAAATTTAATTTAAATAACCTTCCCCACTTAAAAATCAGGTAATTCTTGCGTTTGTAACCCCCCACCTTTTTTTCCTTCCTCAAAGTATTAAAAATTGGTCAGTTAGTCTTGGATTATAGAACTCGTCAAGCTGTGTCGAATGACCCCAAAATAAAACCCCGGTTTTAGCTTTGGGCCTAGATACAGACAAAAACCCTGCGCAAAGCGAAGCGAGCATTTTAATACTTTGAGGAAGGAAAAATGAGGGGGGGGGGCGAACGCAAGAATTACCCAAAATTCATCCTTTCTGGATCTATTTTCTTAAATTAAATTTCTCTTACTTTCATTAAAAATTTTCTTACCCAATTTAATTAAAATTTATTTTTTTATTTTTTAGTTCACTCATTTTTACAACGCTGAACTTAACAGCATCAAAGACAAATCTTTAAATGTTTTTTATGTTTATGAAAACAATTTTTGGAAGGAAATTGAACCGGTTTTGTTTTTTGAAATTAATTAATTTATTTTTTAGTTGCTTTCTAAAACTGGCCAACTTCGAATTTATCAACCCAAATCTTTATTTCCAATGGATCCAGCCGTTGTCGTTCTTTGGGGTTTTGCATTTATTTCAATACTTATAGGTATTTTTATTAAAAAAGATTTTTTAACATTTTCTTAACCAAAATTATTTTCTAATCTTAAAATTTAAAGAGTAATTCATAATAAGGTTGGCGGATCCGGATATCAGAAGATTTCCAACTATCCGCCAACCTTATATAATTTATAATTTTTTATGTTTATTTCTGACTTCAAAATAATTTCTTTTAATTTTTACTTCCGTTTATTTCCCCTAATTTTTAAGGTTCTATTTGGTCTATTTTGGACATTAAAAACAAATTAGCCAAATATGTTAACACAGCGCTAGAAGATTTGCAGTTAAATCAGAATGGTTTTTTTAATATTTTTTATTTTGGATTAAAAATTATTTTATTTATTTAGCTTCTTTACCATTATCTACAGAAGCTTCTTTTACACAAATTACGGAAATTAGCGTTAATTCTACAGCACAAAATGGAAGGTTTTCCACAACACAAAATGGAAGGTTTTCTTTAAAATCATTAACTATTCTGTTTATTTTAAAATCGGGATTAGATAACGGAACCTTTAGTTTTTGTTTTGAATCAGATATTTTGTGGAATTTTTTAAAAATTCACCTATTTTTTAAAACTCGTTAACAAAAAATTATTATTTTCTTTCAAAATCTGATAAGGTTTTCTTATTCTCCCTCTGACTTTTTTATTAATTCTAAAAAATTAATTTCCTAATTATAATGGTCAGTTTTGAATTGAAATTTAACATCTGGAGATTTTCTTTTTGGTTTTTGTTTATTATTTTTTTTGAAAATAAAAGTTTTACTTTCGATTCAAGACTGATAAAATCGTTAACCCCACATCCCCCCAAAAAATCCTGGCTAATTAAATTTACTTTTTATTTTCAAAGAAAACGTTCTTCACAAAGCTCTGAACTTGCAAATATGAGTGTTTGGCAGCATTGTATTTCAGTCTTTATTGCTTTATCTTTTGTTGTTTTTATTTTAATGTTTGCCTTTTTCTTTAGAGATTATGCTGGTTTTTTAAATAAAAAATTAATTTTTCAAATTATTTTTTAAAGTAAATGGTTTCAATTTCTTTTTAATTTTTCTTGGTTCTATAGCAATTAAAAGTTGTGTTTATGCTATTTTGCAATATTTATTGAATGGTTATGATTATGAAATGTTTTCCTTACGACAGATATTCTTTTGTTTTAATAAAAGAAGAGAAGAAATAAATAATCAACAAAATATTCAAAATTCATCGAATTCCCGTTTGTTTTTTATTTTTAATTTATTTAAATCTCTCTCTATTTTCCTCGTTTCTAGTTCAACAACAACAAAATTCTTCCAAAAAATCTTTTTTGGATAGTCCATCTAAATTATTTTCAACCCTCTCTTTCATTTTTTCTTTGGGTATTTGTCTCTACTGGTTTTATATTCGAAACACTTATTATGCATTTTATTTGTTAGATTTTATCAATATTACTATTTGTATTTATGCAATTAGATTTAGCAGAATTAGAAGTTTACGGGTAAATTTTTGAAAAATAAAAGGTGTGCATACATATTCGGGAAGGGTGACAAAATTAATTTCTTGCGTGTTTACTTTTGTTCTAAAACATAAAAACTCTATTCCTCAACAGGACAATATACTTTCCAAGACCCAGTGGCCGTAGGTCCCGAAATCAGTAGGGTAACTGTTCGTACATTGAAATATTCCGATGTGTCCGCGTGCAAAAAAAATCTTTTAATTTAATTTTTGATAGTTAATTACTTTCTTTTTACTTGCCTTTTTTGTCTATGATCTTTTTATGGTTTTTGGAACACGTTTACTTACTTCAGATGGATGTTCTGTTATGTTACAGGTTATTACAAAAATTAAATTAAAATTTTTTTAATTTTTAGGTAGTTACGGGTACTGATTGTCAACCAACAAGATTACCGGAAGGAGAATTTCAACCAGTTGCTCCCATTGATATAAAAACAAAAATACCTGAAAAGGTAGATTTAAATATTTTTTAATAAAATAATTATTCGGTTATTACTAGGGTTGTTCCCCGTCCCCGAAAGTCTGGGAATTTAAGAGTTTTTTTTGTAAACCCCCCCCCCTTGGCGCTGCCTCTCCGAAAAGTTATCCCCGTGGTTCTACCCCACCCACGTCGGGGAACAACTCGTTCCGAAAGTCGGGGAATTTGAGAGTTTTTTTGAAAATTCCCCTCTCCCCCTTCCCTGTGGCGCTGCCTTTCCGAAAAATTATCCACGTGCTCCCCCCCCCCGTCAGGGAACAAATCTATTTATTACTCTAAAGTGAATATTTTGATAATTTTGTTGAAAAAAATTCCCTTCTATTTTTTAAGCTTCCATTGCTTTTTTACGTGCCTTTATTAGCTGATCCTATGGCTGAATGTTTTGATATACAAGTCGAAAGAGAATTTAAAAATGTTTTGCTTGGTTTAGGGGATGTAATTCTTCCCGGCAAGTTTTTTGAGGAAAATATTTTAAAAAATAATTTTAGGGTATTTAATTGCTTATTGTTTTTATGTTGATTTAGTCAAAAAAAGTAAATTTCATTTGTATGGATTAATCTCTTTAATTGGTTCTCTTTAATTAGAGAAAAATGTATCTCTTTAATTTATTTTAAAGGTTATTCTTTTGGAATGTTTTGTACTTTTGTTGCTTTACTTTTAATGGAAACTGGCCAACCTGCCTTGATTTATTTGATACCTTTCACTCTAATACCCGTTTGTCTTTGGGGATTTTTTGAAGGTACACTTGGAAAAATGTGGAGAGGAGAAATTTAAAATGGAAATTTTTGTATATTCTTTTTAATTCTTAAATGTTTTTAACTACTTATTATATTGTAAGTTTTGTAAAGAAAATAAAATATAAATCTTATATAGAATTAAAGTTTTATACATTTATTGAGAAAATCTCAAATTAGGGAAAAGTTTATTGTTAAATAGATTTTAGTAGATCTCGTCCAAATTGAAAAATAACGAAAATCTAAAAAAATTTTTTAAAGCTACTAATTTAAAGTTTTTTTACTTCTCAAAAAAATTGAACAAATAATCTCTTAAATTCTTTATTATTCCCATTGTTCTTTGTTGTTTACTAGCTAGCGTTTCCCTAGCAACTTTCTCTTTGCTTCAATGATTTTAAAAAATATTTTTTAGTTAATTTCTTTATTATTTTAAATAATTTTTTCGAAAATAGAGAGGATATTTATGTTGATTAAATAATAAATTAATGTTTTCTGGGTCCTCTCCCCAATGGATAACTTCACCCTCTTCACGTGGAAAATCTCTTGATAAATTTAGTATTGACACATCTCGTGCAAAAAGGTGGTGGTATTTTTGATAAAAAAATTTTTAATATTTTCAGTAATGCCCCAGTTGTTTCTTTTTGTGCCCGTCAATTAGGTTTGAAGGAATTTACAGAGCCTAGAGACGATGGGCATCCTTGTGATATTTATTGGCATAGTATTGTCTTTCCTGATATGAATTCTGTTGTTAAATCTGGTGCTCGAGTAAATAAATTTCCAGGCAAATTTTATTTGAATGTCAAAAATATTTTTTAAAAAATAGGAATGACTGAACTTGCAAAGAAAGTAACACTTACCCAGGCAATTGTTTCTATGCGTGAGCTTTTTCCTTCAGAATATAGTTTTTATCCACGTAGTTGGATTCTTCCTGCACAATTAAAAGAATTTAGTGATTATTGCCTATCTTTTGAGGAAACAAATAATAAATGTTTTATTGTTAAACCAGATGATGGTAGGTATTAACTTTTTTTGAATTTAAAGAATTAATTTTAGTCTTGGGGCTATTTTACATGAAAAAAGAATGAAGAGATAACCCTTAATATTATTTAAATAACATTTAAGGTGCTCAAGGGACTGGAATTTATTTAATTAGTTCACCATCAGAATTATTGCAAACAAATTCCAATCGCCAACTTATTCAAGAATATATGCCTGATCCCTACCTACTTTCTGATGGATTGAAATTTGATTTACGTGTTTATGCAGTTATTCGAAGCCTTAATCCTTTATCAATTTATGTAGCCAGAGAAGGTGAAAAAGAATTAAAGAAAAAATATTTTATTATTTTAAAGGAATGGCTCGTTTTTGTACTGAAAAATATCCGGGAATGCCAACAAAAGAAAATTTTTCTAATCTTTATGCACATTTAACTAATTATTCTTTAAATAAAGCAAATAATGCTTATATTCACAGTAAATCATTAAAAGAACAACTTAAAGGTTTTTCTTCTTTATAATTGTAAGAACGAGAAAGATCCAGCTGGCTAGCTTTAAAACGCGTAGCAATAACTGAAGCGAAAGCGCCTAGCAATAACTGCAAGGAGGTTGCAGGATCGAAGCCTGCCCGGGATTAAACTTTTACCTCGCTCTTACTTAATAGAGTAAAAATGGGGAATTCTTAACAAATTATCATGCTCCATTCTCATTTTCTTTTCGGGAAAGGATTAACAAAAAAAAATATTTTTAATTTAAAAAGGAAGTAAAAGACTACTTTCTACTGTTTTTCACCAAATGGAACACAAAGGAGTGAGAACACGTCGCTTATGGCGTGAAATTAAATTAATTATAGTAAAGACTGTGTTAGCAATGGTTCCGGAATTAATGCTTAATTATGAACATCATTTTTGTGAATTTAAATATCAAGCACCTCAATGCTTTCAAGTAAACATATTTGTAAATTCTAAATATTTTTACTTCAAAGTTGAATTAAAACTAAACATTTAAACAAAAATTAATTTTTTTAAAGATAATTGGTCTAGATATTCTTGTACGGCAAGATGGTACCCCTATTCTTCTCGAAGTTAATTCATCACCTTCATTAAGCGTTGACCACATTTTGGCACAAAATGAGAATATTTGGATAGAAAATTCAGAAATCCCTCAACCATTTAATATATCAGAACAACCTGTTAGATCTGTTGTTGATGAAGTAATGAAGGAAAAATATAAAATTAAATTATTTTTAATTTTTTTAGATGATTAAAGTTCCTTTAGTTAGAGACACTTTACTTTTGGTTCTTGATCAACTTGAATATCATTATCCTTTATATAAAGAAAATCAAACTAAATTGGCTGGGAAAAGGTATTCAAAATATTTTTTATTAAATAAAAAATGTGTAAGCGATCCCTTAATGGAATATGCATGCCCCTCATTTTTAAATTTCATTTTTTAGTCCCAAGATAATATTTAAAATTTATTAAAAATAAATTATTTAAATATTATAATATTGTAAAATTTTCTTTTTAATTCCATTTATTAAATTTTTCCAAGAAAAAATTTTTTCAGCGATTTTATTAGTGGATTAAATGACCAAAAATTTGATAAAAACTCCATTGGATCAACACTATCAATAGCCTCTACAATTGGAAATTTATCATCTAAAAGTACAATTGATGATTTAGGACTTTTAAATAGAACAAAAAAGCCTCATTTATCTGAGGTTTTATAAAGAAAAAAAATCTTTTTAAAAGTAATTATTTTAAGGTATTCCCAATAAATTATGGACAAACAAGTAAACATTTGTTAGTTTTAGATAAAGCAGTTTATTTATATTTGCAATTTTGTAATATAAAACAAACACTTCTTATTTCATTACCAGCAATTCGTGCCTTTATTAGGTAATAATTTGATTATGTTTGTGTTTCCTTCTTTGTCCCCAGAATTTTCACATTTTTGCCCTAAAGAAGGATTACTGTTAATGATTGCTGTTTATATTTTTGGATTAAGGGGCCTCTGTTCGGTGGCTTTAGAACTATGATTAAGGGATGGTTTCAAATTCATTGATCCCTGAATTAGGAGAGTTGTCTCTTCGATGCAGTCTCTTCGGGTGCTGAACACTTACATAGGAAATACCCTCCCATTTTTTCATAAAAATTATAATTTCTATTAATAAAAAAAGTAAAATTTTTAGAAAATGTGAATTAACAAATTTAATAACTTGTGATGCTTTAGAAGAGAAATTTGATGAAATTACTAGCCTTTTCTTTGGAAATGATAAGAAGACAGCAATTGTTGTCTCTTCGGGTGCATTTGCCTTGCCTTTTCGAGGATTTTTACATGTTAAAAAATATTTTGCTTTATTTTTTGAGAAAATATTTTTTCTCTTTAGATTCTTTTCCATCTTGCAAAATTAAGAATTAATTTAATAAATGGAAAAATTGAAGACGAATTACAGCTTTTACCGGCATTACTAGAATTATTAACACATTGTGATTCTGCACTTCGTCGTTATGGAGTTCGTTCAGCAAGGCTTAGGCGTGCAGAATTAATAATGGATAATGAAGAGGAGAAAAATAAACGGGACGAGAATAATGGCACTTTTAGGTATTTTTAGATTATTTTTTAATGTTTTTAGTAGGGTTGCCGTTTCGATTCGAGCCGACGCTCGGTGCATTTTTTTCGAGCTTGATTTTTTTCGATTCGGTTCGTTTTCAAGTTTTTCGAGTTTGGGGTTTTCCGGTTCGTTTTCGAGCTATTCGAGCTGAAAAGCCCCAGCTCGCTCGATCTTTCGAGTTTCGGTTCGAGCGAGCTGGCAACCCTAGTTTTTAGTATGGGCGGCCCCATGAAGTATAAAAAATTTATACATATGTTTGTTATAGATAAAAGTTTAAAAATAAATTTAGTAAAGAGATGCTTGTACAACGTTCCCAGCCTACTTTGAAGATTTACTTATTACCAGGACGAATAAATCGTCGATCGTTAGAACCAATTAAGCAGGGAACAAATTGGATTAATGAATATAAAAGAATTAATACAAAAGTAAAAATAAATAATTTTTTTAAATTTTAAACTAAATTTTAGTCTATTCGAACAAAATCGTTGCCGAGAAAATTTGCTGGAAAATATACAGTTCGTAGAAGGGAACATAATTTGAAATTTTGAATATTTTAATTATTGCATTTTTTAAAATTTTATTAATCTTTCATTTAAATTTGATTAAAATAATTTAATTAGAAAATACGTCAGACATTTTTATGTTAAAATTTGGATAGTTTTAATTAATTTCCCTGGGCAGAGCTGTTTGTAAACAAAATATTCGAAAATCGAGAACGCTCAAAAATACTAATAAAATCGAAAATATTTTCCAATATTTTCGAAGTCGAACGAAAAATAACCATGAAAATCGACGATTGAAAATTGAAAATGGAGAAGTTTAGCAGAAAGATGGTGCGTTTTTATTTGTTTTAATTTATGTTTAGCATGGCATGTCTTGTTTGAAAATTTTGTTTTATATTTGCTAGAAATTTTTCAACACGAAAACATGATCGCGAGTTTTTCTATTTAAAATATTTAAAATCGATTGCGTCCTTTTTCTTGTTTTAATTTTCTTTTCTTATTGACCGGAATTAATTGTTCGGTTGTTAATTCCTTAGTTTTTTTCTATTTCCACTTTTTAGTTTTTGATTTTTACTTCGATTTACAAGTCTGATTTACCGTTTTAGTTTTATTGTCTTACATATCCATCGTTTATACTCATTATTATTTTTGTTTTGTTTTACTATAAAAGCTCATTAAATTTAAATCCTACCCCCATTTTCTAACAAAATCTTTTCTTTTTCCCACCTATCTTCTAATCAAATTTTTATTTTTTTGTCACAACTTTAATTCTTTTCTCTTTTTAGATCATATATTAAAAAGAACTAACATTTTGAATAATGATCCTTCGCAATCGCGATTTGAACGTTCAACAAAAAGACAATGAACAAAATCGGAAGAAATCAACACAAGGAGTTAACGCGGCAACAAAACGTCAGGCTGCTCGAATCATAAAGGATGACAAAGAGACGAAGAAGAATGGGTCTAAAGACGAGCCAAAGCCGAAGCGTGCTTGCACTGCTGTTGCGTCGCCAGTTATTCCGGTTGGTGATTGATGATTTTATTGGAATTATTTTCTTCTTTAGGACATCACGAAAGGACTTTATATCAACTCATCAAAGAAGGTTTCAGATCAAAATCTCGCGAGCGCTTCGAACAAAGTGGAGGAGGTTAAACTTTTTTTGTTCCTATATTAGTTTACTTTATTCAACAAATTTTAGTTCGAAGTGGTTGCTTCACCGAGAAACGAACAGATCTTGGAGTTGGCTGTTAAGTCGCCAGATCCTGTTGCTGATTTTGATGCTGAAAGTGCTGGAGACATGGGTGCTATGGCAGAATATGCTTCGGACATTTTTCTCTATTATAAATTTAGAGAGGTTTACATTTTAATTTTAAGATTATTTAATCTTTTAATTCATTTAAGAAATTCTTCCACATTAGCGACTACTCGAAACGACAGCCAAATATTGACATGGCGGTTCGCGGTTCTTTGGTTGATTGGTTAATTGGACTGCAAGAGACTTTTGAACTTAATCATGAGACTCTTTATTTGGCTGTGAAGCTTTTTGATCTCTTTATGGATCGTTCGCCTGGAGTTGTTGCTCGCGATGATATTCAATTGGCTGCTTGTACTGGAATCTTTATTGCTTCGAAATTTGACGTTTGAAAGTTTCTATTTAAAATTTATTTTTGTTTTTTAGGAACGTGCTCCGCCTCTAATTGAAGATCTTGTCTACATGTCAGAGGAAATATTCAAGCCTGATCAACTTATGGCAATGGAGCGTCGTATGCTTAAAGTGGTTGGATTTGACTTGGGAGCTCCGCTCTCATATCGCTTTCTGCGCCGTTTTGCTAGGGTAATTATTTTTATGATTGAAGAATATTTTTAAAATTTTTTTCAAATTTAAGATTGCCAAAGAAGACATGGGGACATTAACGCTTGCTCGTTATATTTTGGAGACTGCTTTAATGTCGTTGAGTTTCTGCCGTCATTCTGAGTCGCTGATTGCCATTTCTGCGTTATTGCTTGCAAAACGTATGAAAGGAGCTGCAAACGATTGGTTAAGAATTTTTTGTGAATATTTTTATAAAAAATTTTTTTAAATTAAAGTTTCTTATGGTGGCACAGAAGAGTTCTGGGTACAAATTGGATAAAATTGAAAGTCTAATGTGGAAACTTAACAAGATGATTCTTCAGCGCAAGACATTTTTCCCTCAAATGGAAAATGTTTTCCGCAAGTACAGCCACGAGTGAGTGGATTTTCTTTTTAAATTTAAATTAATCTGTTCTTTTCTAGGATTTTCTTCGAAGTAGCGAAAATTCCGCCACTGGCGACTTAAAAGGCTTTAGCAATGACGATTTTGGTATTTAAAAATGGATTGTCTTTAATGTTGAATTTCCGATCATTTTAACTTAAAAATATTAGAAGAATATCAAAACTTATTTTAACACGCCTGTATTTCACTTATCATTTTTCTGGCTTGATTTCATTTTTAAATATCAAAACAATAATTTAAATTGGTGTTTATTTCGACTACAAAAAATATTTTCTTTTTGCCTACGCATTTTTGTTTTAAAAAAAGTACTCGTTAAAAATATCATTAAATTTCCTCTTTTTAATTATTTTTTTTTTGACAAAACAAAAAATATTTGCGTTTGTTTACACCTACGTATATGTTTGTTTTGTTTGTCTAAGATCCTCTTAGTTTTTTGTTTCGAAAAAGTTTCCCTGACATTGATCAGATTGGAATTAAAAGACGTAAATAATTTATTACGTTGTTTTTTTTAACAAACTTGTTTTTTGGTTAGCCAAAATGTTACAAAAATAGTACTCGAAATATTTAGGTAAAAAATTGAGGAAATATTAGTTGATAAACATTTTGTCATTAAGGGGAGTTTTTGTCTTTAATGAGATAATGTTTAAGAATTGTACCAATGGACTAAATCCCCATTTGATAGGATAATTAAAAGGAAGTACCTCGTTGACCTCTGTCCAGTTGTTTTAAAAATGTATGAATTAAATGTTTTCCAAAGTTCCAGTCTCGGCGAAAACTAAGGTTTCTTGTCGAAAAAGTTTGCTTCAACTCATTACGTCTATTTTAACTGACATTGCTCTTTTACAAAGTATTCTTGGGGTGTTAACTGTTTTCCTATTAGTGATTATTTCTTGATTTATCAATTAACACGAAAAGATCTATGTATCGGAAATTTCCTCCTTACAAATTTTTAAGTTTTTTTATCCTTTTTCTTTGAAATCAATGAAATTTAAAATTAAAAATTACGTCACATAATTCCTTATTTTACACACAATAACTAAAGAAATTTTGAAACAAAAAGGAAATAACGTATAAATATGTAAATATATTTAAATATAAATTGTATGTTTAAATACGTCTGTAAAACAATGCTAAATAATTTATAATAATTTTTTAAATTAAAAAATAGATATTACATAAAATTTCTTTATTTTTTACATAATTAATTTTAAAATTTAAAATTTTTAACCCGGAAAGCTTTTCTTATTTTTAAATTAATATTTTTGGAAAAATATTTTTTTTAATATTTTCTTCTTTTTTTTTTTAAATAAGTTTTAAGTTTATTATTTTGTTTACTCGTGATGAAGCCGGCAATAACGCCTACTCTACTACAAATAATAATTATTATTATTTAAATTAATTGTTGATATTTTATCCTTTTTTTAATTTGTTTTTTAAATAAGTTTTTTAAAAATCAAAAAAATATTCTCTCTTTTATGATATTTGGATTAAAATTCAGGCGCAAACCGGTTTCGGTTAATCGAAAACCGGGAGTCATAAACCGGCCAAAACCGAAAACCGGGGTACCGGTTAATAACCGGTTGCCAACAACCCTAGAATACAGGTTAAAAAAGGAAAGAAGTAAGAACAATTGTATATATTAAAGAAAAGAATTAAAGAAAAAGAGAATACTGTTTACTAGTATTCTTCTCTTTCACATGTTTGCTACCCGTCGATTATTTATTAATAAATTTTTATTTCTAATAATGTTTTAAATAAAAATTAAGCCTGTTCTTTCGTTTTGTTGTTCTATTATTTTTGAATAGGAGTTATTTAACTCCTAAATAAACTTTGATTTTTCTTGATGTTTTATTGTTGTCCCTGACGCCCGGAAGTGGATATACGATTAAAATTGTTTAATTAAAAATACGGTGTTTTAAAATTATTTCGGGGAACGAAGCAATAATTGTGGGATACGAGGTTTTAATGAAAGAAAAAGTGTGGCAATATAAATATCTCTAGGCCAGGGCTTGGAATTGTGCGGATTTTTGTAAAATTTTGTGCGATGAGGATTATATTTAGAAATGCGAATTAACGGAATCTTGGGGTCTTTTGAAGATTATGTGGATTTTTTTATATTTTTTATGTAATTTTCAGAATAAAATGTCATTTTTCTCTTAAGGCCTTCCAAAATCCTAGAAATTTTCGCCTCCAGCAACAAAGTTTTTGCGGATTTTTTAGCTCAGAATTGCGGACATTTGAAGATTCGAGCTAAGAGCTCTGTCTTAATTTTCATCTGTTCTTTTTAATTTTTAAATTATTTATTAATTTTTATTTTAGTATATTTTAGTATCAAATATTTATTTTTATTTAAATAATTAATTTTTTAAAAATTATTTTCTCTCAAAAAAATTTACTTAAATAATTAATTATATTTTTTTAAATCATAATCTTTCATGTTCAATTCAACTAATATTTAAAATAAAACCCAAAACTTCCAAAAAAAATAATTTTTTAATTAATTATTTATTTACGTAAATTTAAATTAATTAATTTAATATTTATTTTTGTTGTTGTTTCTTTTTAAATTTCCTCTTATATTTAATAAGAAAAATAAAATTTTTACGTTTTTTTAAAAAATCCTCACTCACTCAGTCATCGAGAAAGAGAGGTAGATGATTGGCGGTGTTTTTCTCCTCTATAATTACGCCTACGGGAGGCGGGGAAAATAAAAATATATTTTAATAAATTTTATTTTTTTTTCTTAAAAATTTCTTCTCCTTTTCAACAAATTGGCAATTGGGTGAAAATAAAATATTTTAAAGAAAAAGATTTTCTTTAAATTTTTCTATTAAATATGGCAATTTTAAAATAAATAAATAATTATTGGGTATTTTTATTTAAGGGAAAATTAATTAAAAGAGAGAATTAATTACACATTTATTCTTTTAAAAAAGCTTAATTTCTACCAATCATTTGCGTCAAAATAATTACCTTTTTAAAGTTTTTAAATAATTTTTGTTAATAATTTCTTTTGTTTCCTTTTATTTAAAGTTTTAATTTCCTTTAATTTAACGTCATTTTTACTTTTATTTAATAGTTTACTATATAGTAATTTTTTAAATTATATGTAATTTAATCTAAAATAATTTACTTTAAATTTTCAACTTTAAAGAATATTTTTTTAATTAAAATAAATTATTAAAATTTTTTGATTAATTTTAATTAAAATATTTTTTGATTAAAGATTTTTCATTTAATTTGTGTTAAATATTTTAATAAATAAATATACTTTATTTTTTTATTAAATTTTTTAAATTTTTAAAAACTTTTTCGAACATTTTTTATTCCTTTACTATAATTTAAAGAATCCTCTTTTAATATATTTTTTTAATTTAAATTAAAAATTATTAAATAAATCTTTTTTTAATAAATTGTATTTTGAATTATCTACCTAGTTTCCTTTTACCTATTTACACGTCAATTGAAATTAACATAAATAATTATTTTTTAAAAGTTAATTTTCTCTTAATCCAGAAAAAAAGCAATTCAATATCACCATTATTTAATAAAAATTGGAGGAGGGGGTAGGGGTTTGTTTTAGTTTCGATATCCCCTTTTTCCTCTAAAAAGACGTCATCATTTTTATTAAGTGAACGACAAAACCGGACATTTTGCCAATGTTTTTGCCCTTCCTCTAAAATTGCCCTCCTTTCCTTTGGCAAACATAAGTAAAAATAAAATAAAAATAATAACCCGTCATTCCCATTCATTTTTAAATGAAAAGAAGCTCTCAAGTTTCCTTAGCTTAAAATTTTTTTCTTTTTTAATTCTCGGCACTGCTTATGACCAGCCCAATTGTGTGAGTAGAAGTAGAAAGCGCGCAATTCCTTTATACATATATCCATCTAAGCTTTTCCTTTTTTTCATTTAAAATATACCATTTATGAACAAAAATAGGATTTTGTTGTTTGCTTCCGAAAGGTTTTTTTAATTTTATTTTTATTTTTTTATATGAGGAAGTGTTTTATTTTTAACAAAGTTTTTTTTGTTTTTTCTTATTATTATTTTTATGTTTACTTTAATTAGAAAATTTTTTGGTTTAATTATTTGTTTTTCTTTTTAATTTAAATTAAAATTATTTTATTCTTATGTTAGTTAAAAATTTTTTAGTTTTCAAGCATTCCTTTAAATCCAAAAATTAATTTTTATTTTATTGTTTATAACTGAAAACTTCTATTACATATTTGTGATTTAAGATTCTCTTCGCTTGGCATTTTTATATTTTTTTAATAAATTGTTAAAAATAATTTGAAATGTCGGAACTTTGATGAAAAAATGCCAGACGATTTGTTAAACTAGCTATCAATTTCTTGACATCAAGAAATTCTCAATTCCAGCAGACAATCTTTTCTCAAATAATTTAAATTATAATTTAATTTAAAATTTCTTTGATTTATAAATTAAATACACAATAATTATACATATACTTTTATTTAAAATACTTTTCTTCTCTTTTATTTATTTTTTTACTAAATATTAATTATTAATTTAATCTTTATTCCTCACACTTTAAAGATTAAATTTTTATTTTATTGAAAATAAAACGACAGAAATTAAATCTTTTATTTTAATAAAAAGATTAATTTTTTAAATGCCAAAATACATTTTAAATAATACAAAAATCAAATTAAAAAAATATTTTTTTTCTATTAAAAAATATAAAAGTATTCAATACAAAAAATACCTTACGTAATTAAAGCTTTATTATTTAGACAAAAACATTAAGAGAAAGACACGTGAGATTCTCATGAGGCAAATTTTAAAAAGAATTTTTTTCTAAAGATTTTTTAAAAATAATTTTTTAAAATAATTTTTAATTATTTTCAGAATTTCAAAAAAAAATTAATTAATTAATAACAAATTACTACTCATTTATTTCTTACTTAAAAACAACAAAAAAATGTTAAAAATAATTAAAAGGACAAATAATAACAAAGAAAATAAAAATAATTTTTGTTTAATCCAAAAAAGGCCAATTTCATCATTAAATAAAAATAGAAGAAATTCTTTTTCAATATTTCCATCTTCCCCTAAATTATTAGCTTTATTTGCTATTTTATTTATATTTTTGGGAAATGGAATATTCGAAATTGTTAATGCAAATAAAATAATTGAAGAAGAAAATAATAATTTAGAAGAACAAAAACAACAATCAAATAATAATAATCTCTTCCAGGCATACCTCAGTCGGGGAATGTTTAGTTGTGCAACAAAACATGTCAGCATTCTTCAAAAATTAAACAAATTAATTGCAGTTAATATTTTTTATTTGAGAAACAAAAAAATTTATTTTTAAAATTTTAGACTGCCCATCAAGAATATGCCGACTGTCAGGCTAAAATGGACAAAAGCACAAAGTCAGTAGAGCAATCAAGGAAATTAGCAGCTCAGTTAGAAATGATTGGAGATTTATTTAATGAAGATTAATTTGTGTAAAATATTAAATAAAATAAAAATAAATTTTTTTTTCTTGAAAATTTTGTTTTTAATAGTATTTAGAACTTGCTGGCATGAAAATTAGTTAAACGAACAAAAATTGAATTTCTTAATGAAAAAGTTAATTTACCCGAAATTACCCCCCCCTCTCCCTACGTATTTTTGTTCGTTTTTTGCCTCCGTCCCTACAAGTAGCAAACTTAATTGTCAGCAAGTACTTATATTTTGTCCAAATTTTTCAAAAAAATATTTCCATTATCATAAATATAATAATATTTTAATAAATCCTTTAATTTGATTTTGAGATATTAATAGGTAAAATATTATTTGCAAATATTTTTGCAACTGAATTTATTTGTTTATCGTTAAAAGTAGATTTTTAATGTAAGATTTTCTTTATAAAATATTAATAAATATACAAATAAAGAAATAAATATTTAGAAAAATATTTTTCTCCCTCTCTGGAGAGGGTAATTGATAGAGGCGGAGTAATAATTTGAGGGAGGGTAATTAATAGACTATGTAGGAATTAAATAGGGTATACCGAAACGTATTATTTAAATTAAGTCTAAAAATTAAATAATTAAAAATAGTAACCCTAGTCACACTAAAAATGACAAAACAACACTAAAAACTAATATAGGTAATATTTATTTGGGAGTTAAAAACTCCCATCCAAAAATCTAAAATGAAAAAATAGAACAACAGCTGAATGACCAATTGGGAGGGAAAATATTCATAAAAAGGAAAGGTGTATTAATAAATAATAGATAGTTAGCAAAAGTTGTAAGAGAACAATAAAAACAAACAGCATTTCCCTCTTCTTCTTTAATACTTTTTTTCTCTTTAATTAATTATTTATTTTTCTTTCAATCACTAATATTCTTTACTTTTTTTTCCTTTGTTAATAAAAATTTATTTATTTTATAATTTCTAAAAAAACCTATGATAAAATTTAATTCATGACATTGACATTCTTCTCTGGTTTTCTCATCTTTTTTGTTCCTTTATTTTCACATATCCTTTTCATATTGGCCGTTAATTTTTGATATAAATAAGGATGATTTTTATGAAATTGCTATGAATATAAGGTCAATTGAAGAGAGATCCATAACTATTTTTTAAATTAAATTATGAGGTCATAAAAGACTCAGATTTTAGAGATATTGTTGATCTCTTGATGGTTATGTTAGTTGGCTATTTATTTGTTAATATTCTTTAAAGTTTGGAAGTTTATGACGAGGTCTGACCTTAATTCTAACTCGAATTTAGACAATATCCAAAGTTTCTCCTGATTACTTAGTGTTCGTTAAAATTTGAACGATTGGGATAGCAAAACATAAACTGATTGGAAAACATCTGATTTCAATTTGATTAATATATACAAAAGTTTAGTAAAATCTACTACTATTTTAACACAAAAATTAAATAAAGTTTTGATTTAATTTTTTTGTAAAAAGAATAAATAATTTTATTTTTTTACAATTTTATTTTCATTATAAAATAATAAAGACAATTATTAGAGACAATGAATATCTACATACAATTTGTTTAGCTGTATAATTTTGAGAGATATTGAGAGAATTATTCTAAATAATTCATTCATTTATTTATAAATTTATTTAATAAAAATTATTAAATATTTTAAAATAAAAATATGATAATGAATTTAATTGAGAATGGCTTAAATATTAGAAACACAAAAAGCCGTAAAGAAAATGAAGAAACTCAATTTTTATTAAATAAAAATTCTGAAACTGTCAATAAAGAAGAAAATAATAAAAAATATTTACCTAAAAAGTTTGTAGTTTTTCAATTAAAAAAATTAAAAATTATATTGAGGAAAAATAAATTTCGATGGCAATTGGCTTTGATTGGGGTTATTTTATTTTGCTTTTTAATTACTTTTTTGTTAATGATGGAAGAACTGGATAAATTAGTTGATTCTGGAAAAAAATTTTTAAAGCTAAAAAAAGGTTTTTTTAATTTAAAAATATTCTTTTGAATAATTGGAAATTTGGGTTTTTTTATTATTTTTAAAAATAAGTAAATTCGTAATAATTTAAAGGAAAAAATAAATATTTAATTTTAAATGTTATCCTGATACTTTTCCGTTATCCTTAGCTTTACTTTACTCAGTAGTCGCTGAAAATTAAAAAGATCATAGGGGAGACAAAGCTTAATTTTGGGATCAAAAATTCGATATATTGCCTATGACAGCTCATTCGAAAGAGCTCGTCGAGCTGAGTCGAATGACACTAGAATTAACATGATTCGATGATTATGAACAAAATTACAACCAGAATCCTAACTAAAAATCCTCACAGAAGTACAGCTAATTTTAATAAATACACCCTATATTTTTCGAGATTATACAAGATAAAGCAAAAGATAATAATTAAAACCAGGGTTTCTTTATTTAAAAAAATTTATTTATTTTTTAGATTGTTCTGTTTGTAAAAATGTTGATATTATTGGCGATAAAAAATATATTAAATTTGAATATAGTAAAGATTCTCGAGGATGTGTTCAATTAAATATTCAATGTGGGCTTCCTAAAGGATCTGAAGCTATATTACAAGTTAATAATTTTATTTAAATAAATTTAGAAGTATTTTATTAACTTAGATTGATATAAATTTAAGTTTATTTTTGAATAACAAAAAAAAAATAAATTTATTGAAATTAAAAATTATTTTTTAAATAAAAAAATTTAAAGTGGTATAATGGTGAACAAAATATGGGTGTTTCATTTATGGAATATAAAGGACAATCAAATATTCGTAGAATGCTTAACTGCAACAATGATGGATTTTATGAATTAGAAGAGAATAAACATAAATGTACTGTAGTAATATATTTTTAATTAAAAAGTTTTGGTGGAGGGGAGAAGACCCTAGTCTAAATAATGAGTATATTACTGGAAACTAAAAATATATTAAATTTGATTACAAAACAGATTAAATTATTTTTTAGCAATCATAACAGCAATAGAATGTATTGTGGCTGTTGAACATGAAGAATTGTGATATTTTTTTAATTTAATATTAAAAATATGTACATATGTATATTTATGTAAATATTTTATTGATTCTTTTTATTTTAAAAAATCTATTCTGGACTGTTCGGATAAGACCTAAGAATAACTTCGCCGCAAAGAATCATAGCACCAGTCACAAATATTACAAGCCTTTAAAAATAAATTAATTTATTAGAATAAAAATGTTAAATACTCGGTAAATAACAATAATAAAAATTAATTAGTAAATTTAGTTGGAGATGGTCAATTTTATATATGCCTTGTTTTTCGATTTTTCCTTGTTTTCCCTCAAAATTTAATTAAATTAACACAATTAAAATAACCTCGTATTCGAATTACAAAGAATTAGTTTCTGAAAAAACACATACTCCAATTTCCCCAGATGCCTATTTACCGATTAAATGAATGTTCTACATAATTCTAATTAATTTTCTTAAAAATATTATTTCTAATCTCAAAAATATTTTTTTTTAATCTCATATCTCAATTTAATTTAATTTAAAATTTACCCAGAAAATATAATAAGTAAAACTCTATCCAAAACTGTTGCCAAAAATTCCCATTCATGTGCAAAACGTCTACGAAGTTTTAAATCTAAAACTGCTGCAGCATTAATTTTTGTTGTTTCATTTCCTCCTCCCCCACCCCCAATTTTTGGGGGAATTAATAATAATTGAAAAGAATTGGGTAAAGAATTATTTGAAGAAGTTGTTGGGTAAATATTTAAATTTTCTTTTTTATTTTGTTTTGGAATTGGTGGGGGGCATTTATTTGGGGGAGAGGAAATAGTAATTAATTTTTTATTTAAATTATTATTATTTAAAGGTAATTGAAGATAATCTAATTGTGATTGTTGTTGTTGGGAAGGTAAAATAAAAGAATTTCGTCCTGGGGAAATATCTGCATAAGGAATTTCATCTAAAAGTAAAATATTTTGTTCTCCTCCACGTTCAATTAATTCTTTATCTTTAATTTTGAAAAATATATTTTTGTCTGAAAAGTAATTTTAAAAACGTTTAGCATATGCCATTTGGGCAATTCTTCTCCAATTTTGTCTTGCTTTAATTGACTTTTCAATTGTTAATCCATTATTGTGATTAATATCTAAAGAAAAGAATTGTTGTTGATCACCTTTTCCGTCATAAAATATTGAGGGAGAATGGCGCCATTGACGAGTTTTTAATTCAAAACCTTTACTTTCTTCTTTATTCAAAGAATTATTTCCAAATTTTCCTCCAGTTGAAAATCTTAAAATTAAATAATGAAATTGAAATATTTGGAATTTTTATTAGACTTTTAAGAATTTAAAAAAGAAATATTTAGAATTAAATATAGGAGGACTTCAATTATGCGACATCCCCCCTGTCAACAATTTTATGTCGTAGAGGTCCATCCACTATATTAAATCTAAAACCAACATTTCAATTACCTTTTCAACATAATTCCATCTTTTGTACTTCGAATAGATTTGCTTCTTAAACTTTTACTCCCAAAAGCTGTTCGTCTACGTTCCTTTCTTGTTGATAATTTATCACTTAGTCCTCGAATATATACACCTTTATTTATTTAAATAATTAAATTATAATATAAAATTAAATTTATTTTTAAGTAATTTCTCGATAAATATAAGGTTATCGGTAAAAAATAGGTACCTATATATATCAGGGATTGAATTCAAAAATACACTAGACCCACGTCAAAGGAAATAAAAGCAAAGAATCTTTTTAATTAACGTTTCCAAAATATTTTTTAAATAAAAATATATTTCAAAAATTAAAATAAAAACCAGTTTCTTGCCAAAGTTCTAAAAGAACAGTGGAGGGCCTAACACCCATCCACGGAGCCAATTTATGAAAGAAAATAAAAGAAATTAATGGAGATATTGGCCTATTATAAATTTTTTGAAGATGAACATTTAAAACTAAAGCAGTTATTAATGTGCCAGCAAAAATAATTAAAATAATTGAAAGGTAGAAAATACCTAAAAATATCTATTTTAATTATTTAAATAATTAATTAATTACCAAATAAAGGAAGATAATCAGATGTTCTAAAATAATTTAAAAAATATATATATTTTAAGGATATCTAAAAACAAACGTGGGCATTTGTTCACTAACCTAAACACAATTTTTTTAATTTAAGAATTTAATTTTTATATTTACCATCATCATAAGAATACTCATAGCCAATAACTAAAAATGAAATTAAAATTTTTCGTTAATTTAAATTATTTACAGAATCAATTCCAAGACTAAGTTTTTCTCGTCTTTCATTGCTTGTAGAAGCTGGAGTGAAAAATCCAGTAACGGCAACTAAAGTAATTACTGAAGTTGGCAAAACTAAATTTACCTAAAAAATAATTTTTGAAAAAATATTTTTTATAAAAACAAAGTTACAATATAATAAAGAGGTTTACGCCTAACAACGAGAGATGCATGTAAAAGAACCCAAGGTTCTGGACAACAAACAAATTTTTGCTAAAATTTTATAAATACATATAATTAAATATTTGTCTATTTAATTTAATTTTTTATTTATTTTTAATGTTTAATTTACTATAGATAATTACCACAACTCTCTGAATTTCAAAAGAAACAACTTCCCATTCTTCGTTTCTAATAAAACTATGTAAATTAACAGAATTAGCATCTGGTTGATAATCAATTGAGCTATTTAATTAAAATCATTTTACTTTTAAATTTTAATATTTATAAACGCCTAGTTATTCAATCAACCAGAATTTGGAATTTTAAACGAAAAATAAAAATATTTTCATTAATATTTAAGTGAATATGTCTAAGAACATTTAAAAATTTCAACAATTTTCTCGATTTATTTAAAAGAAGTTCTGCATATATTTTTAATATTTATTATGACCTCCCTTCTAATTAAATATTTAATAATTACCTAATATCTGAAGTCCAAGAACTAATAATTAAAGTACAATTTTGTTGATCATATGGAAAATATCTTTATATTAAAAATTATTTTAAGCAAATTAGACAAAACTAACAATATATTAATACGACAACTAACTCTATATAATGCTGGATACATAAAAATAACCTTGAAAAAATAAGAAAATACTGGTAAATAAATTAATTTACTTGTGCTCCTCGTTTACTTCGCCAATGTTCTTAAATTTAAAATATTTTTTAAATTTTTAGTTAAACAAAATTTAATTGATTTTGCTTAGTAAGTATATTTATATAAAATATTTTTATTTTTCAGAAAAAAATTTTGAAATAAAAATCTCTCTTAAGATTATCAACTTTTAATTAATTATTTTTAAAATTCAAATTACAATTTAAATTAAATTATTACCAGTACTAACAACAACATTAATATAACGTTCAGTTTCTTCTCTATTCATAACCATAGAATTATATAAATAAGTATCTGGTAACCAAATCTTTTCATGAGGCAATATTGTGTCATTTATTCCCCCTTTAAAATGTAAAGAATTTTATTTTCAAAATTTAAATATAACCATATTTATTTGGATCCCATCCAAGGAACTCATCATGCCATTTTTGAATTACCTAAAATTTTATAGTATGCCAAAATTTGATGAAGGCTAATAGTAAATTAACAAAAAAGTTAAGGCAAAAATAATCAAATTACCGTATAACCTGTATTAATTGCCCTCCCTCAAATAATTACCCCACCTCTATTAGTTACTCCGTCTAGCGAGAGGTTGAAACAATAATTACCCCCCAACAAATGCCCTAAAACACGTTCAAATCTAAAACCTCATATAATTACCCTCCTTCTATTAATTACTCCCTCCAGGGGAAGGTCGAAACAATAATTACCCAGGGTAGTTATTAAAGGATATACGGTATGATCAAATCATAATTTAAAAATATTGAGGAAAAAAAGAGAAGAATTCTCTTAAAAGGAATTTTCTCATAAAATCTTTCGGTTATTTACTTTTATTTGTCAAATTTTCATTTAATTATATATTTTTATTAAATTAATAAAATTTAAATTAAATTTAACTTAATTTTAAAATAAAATGTAATAAGCTATAATTAATTTTTTCAAATAAAATTTAAACAAAAAAAGCAATTTTGCAAATTTATTTCAATAATTTAACAAACCCAAAGATTTAAATCAACACTTTGCACTTTCTCATTTATAGCCAAAATTTGATAAAGACTCATAGTAAAATTAACAAATGTTGGTCTTGAATGATTTAATACAGGACGAACTCTATTATCATATTTCTCAACTAAATCTTTTGATAAACGAACGTGGGGCAAAAACTTTCCATCATCTTCGAACATTGCGCGTCCTTTTTTTTAAAATAATTAAGATTAAAAATATATTTATTTATATACTTACTATCTGCTAAAATAATTGAGAAAATAGAAAATATAATAAAATAAATAATTAAAATTAATTTTAATGTATTCATTTAAAAAGCAAAGAGGAATTAATAAATCTGAGAAAATTAATTATTTTAATGTATAAGAGATTTAATTAGCAAAATATTGCTCATTGTTATCTCGCATTTAAAAAAGGAGCAAAAATGAAAATCATTTCTAAAATAAAATCCAGAAATCTCATATTAATTAAATAATCCTTTAAGAAGGCAATAGAGCAAATATTGACAAATTATTAACTTATTAAAAAAGATAACAAAAAGCTGTCTTAGACTAATTAATTGGATTTTTCAAAAAAAAGAAAAAGGGAAATTGAAATCGAGAATAAAGAGGAAATAAACTGCAAAGGACAAAAAAACATTTCTTTTTTTCAAGTAAAAGTCATTGTGGCTTTTCTCATCTTATTCCAATTTTTAAGAGAAATGGAATAAAACAAGGCATTTTATATAAGATATTTAATTTGTTTTTTTAATTAAAATTTTTATTAAAATTATTTTTATATTCTTATATTATTAATAAAAATTTGCTATTAATTAAAAAAAAAAGAAGAAAATAAAAAAGAACATAAAAAATATTAATTAAAAATAATAAAAATTTATTATTAAATTCTATCCCTCTTTTTGTGTTAATTTCTTAGGCCCAAAAATTTCCATGAGAAATCAAAAATAATATTTTAATTTTTAGGATTTTTACATGGATAATTAAATAAATTAAATTAATAAACAAAAAAAAATAAATTCCTTTTTCCATTATTGTTATATTTTAGCTAATTTAAATATTCTCTCTCTCTTTTCTCGCAGAGTGCCAATAAAAATCGTTTGGTCTTCTAGTAGGTACATATTTTTTTGGAAGTACCAACAACAATAAAAATAATTGCTATGCTGGATATCCTCATTCTTTTTTTTTCCAATCTATTTGTGTTTAAAATAAGAGGTAAAGGGGTGTAAACAATGATGGAATGGACAAAAAACTTTTTTAATATTTTTTAATATTCAATTCATGGAAAGAAAAAAGTGTCGAAAAAAGCATTTATTTTTTAAAGGGATTGACTGATGTTAAATAGTATGTAATTTCCTTTCTAATTTTAAATATTTTTAAAAGGAGAAATATTTTGAAAAACTTATTAATTCTAAAATTAATTTTTAAGGTGGGTATCTCAAGGATTTTTCCGGTAGCGGTACTGATATTACCAGAAAGTACCGGTCCGACCAAAAAATATTTTTTATTTTATAAATATGTATTCCAATGATGAAGTTTGTTCCGACAATGAGGAATTGTTCAAAAACGTTCTGAAAAAGGAAAAAGCTTTTTTAATATTCAATCATGAATATCAGTATTCTGACATTATGTAGCGGCTCAGAAAAACTTCGTTTCGGATCTGGAACCCAGATCCCCAGTTAAATAAGGACGAGGTAAAAGTTTAATCCCAGGCATGCTACGACCGGAACTATTTTAGTAGTCTTAAACCCCCCGCCTAGTAAGCGTTTTAAATGATAACCAGCTAGATGCCTCTTCCTTAGATTTATTTTATTGGGATTTGTAATAATTCTGGAATCTTGCATTTAAATTTCTGAATTTTTAAAATAAAATCTTAAAGCATGTTGCAACAAATTTTTGAAAAATGCCAAAATTTATCGAGAATTGAACATTAAAGTTTTCTGCGTAAAAAGAAAAATGAGAGTAATGCTTTAAACGAATGAACCGTGTCCGGACAAAATATCGAATCGTTAAAATATGGAATAGGCTAAAAAAGGGTTAAAATCTCGAATCGGGTAAAAATGGGTTAAAATCGCGAATAGGCTAAAAAGGGGTCAAAATATGGAATCGTTAAAATATGGAATGGTTAAAATCTCGAATAGGCTAAAAAGGGGTTAAAATACCGAATCGTTAAAATATCGAATTGATAAAATGTCGACACGGCCAAAATGGGTCAAAATGTCGAATTTTTTTAAAATGGCGCCAAAACCTAAAATCCGGGCGTTACCGTAATACCGACGGTATTTTTCGGTATTCCGTGTCGGTAGTACGGTACGGAATGCCGACCGATAAAATTTAAAAGCTGATCGGTATTTTTCGGTATTCCGTACCGTATACGGTAAGGTACAAAATTTAGGTCTTAACTAAAAACTAGTGATGCCACTCTAATTTTTCCGTATCAGGATCCTGTTGTGTTTTCCGGATCCGTACGATCATGCCGGACCGGATCCGGTCGATTATGCTTGATTTATACGGTCCGATTTTACTCACAGTGAACTCAGGCAGAAAAGATTACGCCGGACTATGACATACGAGACTTATCATCAAATTATCAAAAATAAGTTGATAAAATTATCAACAATCCATGTATGGCACTCATCTGACCCTTTTTAAAAGAATTCGACATTTTGACCCATTTTGGCCGTGTCGACATTTTAACCATTCCATATTTTAACGATTCCATATTTTAACCCTTTTTTACCCGATTCGATATTTTAACCATTCCATATTTTAACGATTCGGTATTTTAACCCCTTTTTAGCCTATTCGCGATTTTAACCATTCCATATTTTAACGATTCGGTATTTTAACCCCTTTTTAGCCTATTCGCGATTTTAACCATTCCATATTTTAACGATTCCATATTTGGCTACCCTACAACTCATCCAATCCTTAACTCATCTAACACTTAACTCATCCACACGGCCAAAAACGCTCAACTCATCCAATCCTCAACTCATCTAACACTTAACTCATCCACACGCCCAAAAACGCTCAACTCATCCAATCCTCAACTCATCTAATGCTTAACTCATCTACACGCCCAAAAACGCTCAACTCATCCAATTTTTGAAATATCTGCCGGTTGAGTCCCTGGTCAGTTGAGTCTCAACCGGCCCAAGACTCAACCGGCGGTAATCAACCACTCAAACGGCCGGGACTCAACTGACCAGGGACTTAACCGGCTAGAGACTCAACTTGTCATGGACTCAGACGGCCAGAGATTCAAACGGCCAGGGACTCAACTGGTCATGAACTCAGACGGCCAGAGACTCAAACGGCCAGGGACTCAACTGGTCATGAACTCAGACGGCCAGAGACTCAAACGGCCAGGGACTCAACTGGTCATGAACTCAGACGGCCAGAGACCAAACGGCCAGGGACTCAGACGGCCAGAGACTCAAACGGCCAGGGACTCAAACGACTGGTACTCAATAGTCTCGTTCCAAAGGATTGGATGAGTTGAGCGTTTTTGGGCGTGTAGATGAGTTAAGCATTAGATGAGTTGAGGATTGGATGAGTTGAGCGTTTTTGGGCGTGTGGATGAGTTAAGCATTAGATGAGTTGAGGATTGGATGAGTTGAGCGTTTTTGGCCGTGTGGATGAGTTAAGGAATTTTAGCCGTTTAGATGAGTTGAGCGTTTTTGGGCGTGTGGATGAGTTAAGGATTAGATGAGTTGAGCGGACACGCCATATTTTGTACCGGAGCCGAATGAACAGATTAGAGAAAGCAGAGAAAAAGAGACACTTCACCAATTCGCTTTTAAAAATCTGTAAATATTTAACGTTAGAGAAAAAAGTATTAGAGAAGAAAAAGAAATACGGTAAAACTTAAGAATAAGGGCCACTCACGAATATGGACAAATTATATGTCATTCGAAAGAGCTCGGCGAGAGGAGTTGAATGACGCCAAAATTACTAAGCGGACTCAATTATGAGCTGAGATACAAGGGTTCAAAATTGTCAAAACCATAAGGGGGCCAAGCTGATTTTTGAGGTCAAAATGTCGAAAATTCAAATAATAGCTCATTCAACTCATCTCATCGAGCTGAGTCGAATGACACCTAAATAAGCTTTATTAGTTGATTCTGAACAAAATTATTACCAACTGAATTTTCGCTGCAATATATGTTTTGGTGTTGCTATGGAGGATAGGTCGGCATTCAAGGCTGAGAATCGGTAAAAGGAACAGGACCATGTTACGAGCCCAGAACCCAGCGACCGTTGACTCCCCGCGAGGCGCGTGCCGCAAAACCCCGCGCGAAGCGCGGGGTTTTGCACAAGCGCCTCGCCGACGCCCCATTATTTTTTATCAAATTTCTAGACATAGTTTTTTTATTAAATTAACAAAATTCACATCAAATTAAACCCAATCTTAAAATAAAATGTGATACAATATACCTAGGTACTTAATCTTCTTTTAAAAACAATTTCGTAAATTCAAAATTAATTCCAAAACATAATTTAACAAACCCAAAGATTTAAATCAACACTTTGAACCTTCTCATTTATCGCCAAAATTTGATAAAGACTCATAGTAAAATTAACAACTGTTGGCCTTGAATGATTTAATACAGGACGAACTCTATTATCATATTTCTCAACTAAATCTTTAGATAAACGAACATGAGGCAAAAACTTTCCATCATCTTCAAACATTGCACGCCCTTTTTTAAAATAATAATAAAATTAAAAAATATATTTATTTAAGTACTTACTATCTGCTAAGATAATTGGGAAAATAGAAAATATAATAAAATAAATAATTAAAATTAATTTTAGTATATTCATTTAAAAAGTAAAGAGGAATTAATAAATTTATGAAAAAGTCTGAGAAAATTAATTATTTTAATGCAGTATAAGAGATTTAATTAACAAAATATCGCTCATTAGTACATACATATCTTGAATTTAAAGAAGGAACCAATAATGAAAATCATTTCTAAAATAAAATCCAGAAATCTCATATTAATTAATTCTTTAAGAAGGAAATGGAGTAAATATTGGCAAATTGTTAACCAAGTAAAAAATAATTTAAGCAGGGTTGCCGGTTCTGGGCCGAACCTAACCAAAGAACCGATGATTTTTCGGTTCAGTTCTTCGATTCGGCTTTGAATATCCAAGAACATCCAGGAACCGACAACCTTACTTATAAGCTGTCTTAGACTAATTAATTCGATTTTCCAAAAAAAATTTGAAAGAGGAAATTGAAATCGAGAATAAAGAGGAAATAAGCTGCAAGGAACAAAAAAACATTTCTCTTTTTTTCAAATAAAAGTCATTGTGGCTTTTCTCATCTTATTCCAATTTTTAAGAGAAATGGAATAAAACAAGGCATATAAGATGTTTAATTTGTTTTTTAATTAAAAATTTTATTAAAATTATTTTTGTATTCTAATATTATTAACAAAAATTTTTATTAATAAAAAAAGAAGAAAATAAAAAAAGAACATAAAAAATTATTAATTAAAAACAATAAAAATTTATTATTAAATTCTATCCCTCTTTTTGTGTTAATTTCTTAAACCCAAAAATTTCCAAAATAAATAAAAAATAATATTTTAAATTTTAGGATTTTTACATGGATTATTAAATAAATTAAATTAATATACAAAAAATAAAATAATTCTCCATTTTTGTTATATTTTAGCTAATTTAAATATTCTCTCTCTTTTCTCGCAGAGTGCCAATAAAAATCGTTTGGTCTTCTAGTAGGTACATATTTTTTTGGAAGTACCAACAACAATAAAAATAATTGCTATGCTGGATATCCTCATTCTTTTTTTTTCCAATCTATTTGTGTTTAAAATAAGGTAAAGGGGTGTAAACAATGATGGAATGGACAAAAAACTTTTTTAATATTTTTTAATATTCAATTCATGGAAAGAAAAAAGTGTCGAAAAAAGCATTTATTTTTTAAAGGGATTGACTGATGTTAAATATGTAATTCCCTTTTAAAAGGAAAAATATTTTGAAAAACTTTATTAATTCGAAAATTAAGGTGGGTATCTCAGGGATTTTTCCGGTACCGGTACCGATATTACCAGAAAGTACCGGTCCAACCAAAATGCAGTCCGACCAAAAAATAGTTTTTATTTTATAAATATGTATTCCGATGATGGAGAAGTTTGTTCCAACAATGTGAAATTGTTCAAAAAAGGAAAAAAAAAGAAGAAATCTAGCTTTTTTTAAGAGATATCCCTTCAACTCCACATATATCAGCTTAATCCTCCATATAGCTTAACCGCCAATAGTTTAATCCTCCAAAAAATTTATACATTTTTGGCCATAACTCAGCCTAAATTTCCTTTATAAATTCAAATTTATACGACTTTCATTTAATCATGGTTCATTAAATAAGGACGAGGTAAAAGTTTAATCGCCTTAGATTTCTCTTCCTTAGATTTATTTTAATGGAATATGGAATAATTCTGGAATTTTGCATTAAAATTACTACATTTTAAAAATAAAATCTTAAAGCATGTTGCAACAAATTGCACGGCGCGTGTCCGGTTAACTCATCTACTCGTTAACTCATCTACACGGCCAAAAACGTTCAACTCATCTAAACGGCTAAAATTCCTTAACTCATCTACACGGCCAAAAAGGGATCAACTCATCTAATCGTTAACTCATCTAATCGTTAACTCATCTACACGGCCAAAAAGGGTTAACTCATCTAATCGTTAACTCATCTAATCCTTAACTCATCTACACGGCCAAAAAGGGTCAACTCATCCAATCCGAAACGAGACTATTGAGTAACGGCCGTTTGAGTCTTTGGCCGTCTGAGTCTTTGGCCGTCTGAGTCTCCGGCCGTCTGAGTCTCTGGCCGTTTGAGTCTCTGGCCGTTTGAGTCTCTGGCCGTTTGAGTGGTAAGTTGAGTCCATGGGTAAGTTGAGTCCATGACCAGTTGAGTTCATGGGCAGTTGAGTCCATGACCAGTTGAGTCCATGGCCAGTTGAGTCCATGACCAGTTGAGTCCATGACCAGTTGAGTCCATGGCCAGTTGAGTCCATGGCCAGTTGAGTCCATGACCAGTTGAGTCTCAACCGGCGGTACTCTACTGGCCATGGACTCAAACGGCCGGTACTCAATAGTCTAGTTCCGAAGGATTGGATGAGTTGACCCTTTTTGGCCGTGTAGATGAGTTAAGGATTAGATGAGTTAACGATTAGATGAGTTAACCCTTTTTGGCCGTGTAGATGAGTTAAGGATTAGATGAGTTAACGATTAGATGAGTTAACCCTTTTTGGCCGAGTAGATGAGTTAACGAATAGATGAGTTAACGATTAGATGAGTTGTATAGGAGCCGCACGGCGGGCCATAGGGGACTCTAACTGTCTTGCAACGAGGAAAAATCTGGCTCCGGTACAAAATATGGAATCGTTAAAATATGGAATGGTTAAAATCGCGAATAGGCTAAAAAGGGGTTAAAATACCGAAACGTTAAAATATGGAATGGTTAAAATATCGAATCGGGTAAAAAAGGGTTAAAATATGGAATCGTTAAAATATCGAATTGATAAAATGTCGACACGGCCAAAATTGGTCAAAATGTCGAATTCTTTTAAAAAAGGGTCAGATGAGTGCCATACATTGATTATTGACTTATCAACTTATTGATGATAAGTTGATTGATAAGTCTCGTATGTCATAGTCCGGCGTAATCTTTTCTGCCCGAGTTCAGTGTATTTTACGGAGTAAAACCGGACCGGATAAATCAAGCATAATCGACACCGGATCCGGTCCGGCATGATCGTACGGATCCGGAAAACATAACGCGATCCTGATATGGAAAAATTATAGTGGTGTGCATTAGTTTTTAGTTAAGACCTAAAGTTTGACCTTACCGTATACGGTATGTAATACCGAAAAACACCGATCAGCTTTTAAATTTTATCGGTAGGCATTCCGTACCGTACAACCGACACGGAATACCGAAAAATACTGTCGGTATTACGGTACCGTCCGGATTCTAGTTTTGGCGCCATTTTTAAAAAATTCGACATTTTGACCAATTTTGGCCGTGTCGACATTTTTACTATTCCATATTTTAACGATTCCATATTTTAACCCTTTTTTACCCGATTCGATATTTTAACCATTCCATATTTTAACGATTCCACATTTTAACCCCTTTTTAGCCTATTCGCGATTTTAACCCATTTTTACCCGATTCGAGATTTTAACCCTTTTTTAGCCTATTCCATATTTTAACGATTCGATATTTTGTCCGGACACGAAAAATCTATATGAGAATCGCTCAACACACTCTCTCGCTTTTTACTCTTTTTCATTTTCCCGCTCTCTTATTTTTCCACACTATTTTTTTCAAAATCCGAGTTGATCGACTTTGAAAGGCCGGTACTTATGAAGATGGAGGTGCCCTTTCTGCGGACTTTTTTTGCGGACTTTTCTTCCCTTCTTTTAAATGTTTTACTTGTAGCAACTAACTGTCAACGCCACTCCCCCATTATTCTTCTTACCTAAGATTGTACATAAAGGTCAGATTTTCTTCTTCCTCTCCTTCCTCTATTTGCCCTGTGGCAAATTCAAACGAGACATTGATGAAGAGAAGATTAGTTTTTATAGTCATACACTTATTTTTTTGCCTTTGGAAGACACGTCAATCAAAAAAGAATTAAATAAAATTGATTTGGTGTATAACATTATGAATTTGTGTGTAAAAACATTACATTCTTACTTCTATTTTAAAATATTGAACAACTGAAAAAATAAATTGAACTCAGTATTGAACAACTCAATTAATTTTAATCTTCTCTTTATCAACAATATCTCTTATTTGAATATGCCAAGCTCAAACAGAGGAAAGGAAATCTGACCATTTTGTACAATCTTAGGTAATAAAAATAATGGGGGGGGGCAAGGTTTGAAATTACCCGCATTTCTGTTCCACAATAACATATTCTTTTTTTATGAAGTATTCCGAGATCAGTGATCCATTGTCTAAATTCATCATCGGGTAATTGAAAATTTAGTTAAAGTCAAATTTTTTATTGATTGTAACATTTTTACGCTTATATGTATGTATATTCAAATTAATCGTGAACACATATTTTTCAAATTGGCATAAAAAATAATCCTTTGACAGTTAATTGCTACGAGCAAAACTTGCTGAAAGCAAAACAACCAAAACATTTAGAAAGAAAGGAAGAAAAGTCCGCAAAAAAAGTCCGCAGAAAGGGCACCTCCATCTTCATAAGTACCGAAAGGCCATATCTCGGCTAACGGCCTTGACTTCAACTAAATAACCTTGAATATTATAGATAAGACTTTAATTAACGTATATGAAAAAAATCAGAAAAATTCACTGTCTCAAAAAAATTTTTTCAGGGTCGATCTGAAAAAATTCCAGGGTCATCCTTCGAAAATCCTTCGTTTTCAAGTTTATTTGAAGGAGCTCATCAAATTGAGTAGAATTATAGAAAAATTAACATGATTGAAGCATTTTGGGCTAAGTTATGACCAAAAACGTACAACTTTTACCAATTTTCAAAAATCCATAACTTCGCCCAAAAACCGTATTAGCTTCTCAAAATTTGCATGAGTTGTTATCTATATTTGGCCTACATAAATGCAAAATTTGAAAAAAATAGGGTGGGAGGATGAAAAGATATAAGGATTTAACTAATGAGAGAGAGTTCTCCTCATTGACACTCAAACTCTGCGATGAAATCAGCACTCAAACGGTATTAATTATTGGCACTGAAACAACCGCAAATGAAGTAAAAAAATGGCTCCTATACAAAGGATCGTTTTTTAAAGGGTCGCCCTGTTAAAGGATCGTCACGGGCAAAAAGTATTAAAGGGCCGTTCATTAAAGGATCGTCCATCAAAGGATCGTCAAGCGTAAAAACGTTCGAAGGGTCGTCATTTTTTTTAAAATTTCATAAAGCCAGTTCAGTGCCATCAGTTTGGTTGCAGTGATGTGCCAGTCTGATAATGGTGATTAAGAGGGATATCGGGGGATTTGAAAGGATTAAAGTGATTATTAGTAGTTAACCCAACGTTTTGCGCACAAAGGGATGCCGCCATCCTTTTGGATGGGTGGTTAACCGCAATTAATTATGATTTATGTTCGCGCACTAGCCTAAACCTATTGACAGCTTTGGTGGGGGAGGGGTCCGCGCGAGCTATCCTAATCCTATTGAGTGAGTGGGTGGTAGGAGGGGGGAGGATTTTCAAATTAGTGGTTGGGGAGGGGTAGGAGGAAGGGGGTTTTTAAGGAGTAATTTGTTGACCCTTCCCATTTAACCGCAATCTTTTGACAGTATTGGTGTGTGGTGGGGAGGGGATTTTTTAAGTTGTTGACCCTTACCCTAACCGCAATCTTTTAACAGTTTTGGTGTGTAGTGGGGTCCGTGCGAGCAATTAACAACCTATTGAGCTGGTAGGGATAGGTAAGGGAGGATTTTTCAGATTAGCAATTAGTTCTCGGGGGAGGGGTAGGAGAAAGGGGGGGTTAAAAATTTCTCTTTCCAACTACTATATTGAGTTGTTTTTTCTTTTTCTTCCCAAATATTATTTTTCAAGGGCATTGACAATACTAGTAGTAAAGGAAAACCCCACTCCTCACCCCACTCCCCACACTGTCCACTCATCACCCTGTCTGACCGATTGTGTTTCTTAACCTTGTCTCTCTCTCTCTTTTAATTTTGCAACAAAACCAGACACTGTTGCATTGATTGTTTTTTACACTCCACACAACCCAAGCCAAACCCTTCTTTATTTTAACCAAATCTAAGCAACTATATATTTCTTATTAAAATTTTTTTTTTCCTATTTCTGATGTTGTATGGAAATTTAGGGTATGGAAATTTTTTTTTTAGGGTATGGAAATTTTAAAGATTAATAAATTAAAATTTTTTAATTTTAATTTATTATGTGGATGCTTACACAGAATTAGAAGACCCTACAGAAGACCTGCTTTCTGCTAATTCATATGCTCGTTACTGTGAAACGGTTGCACCAAATGTTCGAATAAGGTAGTATTTTATTGGGTCTGATTAAAAAAATTTTTTTTGAATTTTTAGCTTGCACCAAGTTCTTGTTCTTGTACTTCTACTGCCCCAACATTTTTGGCAGAAATGTGTGCTTATCTAGGTACAACTGATTTGACTTTTGGCCTTTTTTATCTTTCTATTATTTATAGACGAATCGTTCTCTACTTAATGTTATTTTGGGAGGAGTTGGAACAATATCAGAATCGGGTCCTGTTCAACAAATTACTGGAACTGCTCAATTTACTAATGGGTAATAAACTCTTTAAAATAATTTGAATATTTTTATTATTTAGCCAGCAGATTATGGTTATGGATTTTGTGTTCGATGGATGACATATAAAGATAAGTTTAAAATATCAGGGGGATCCAAAATGGGGACCAAACTGGAAACCTGGGAGTGATTCTATCGGATACTGGGGACCAGACTGGATAATCAGGACCGATCTATCGGATACCGGGGACCATACTGGATACTCGGGACCGATCTATCGGATACTGGGGACCAGACTGGATAATCAGGACCGATCTATCGGATACCGGGGACCATACTGGATACTCGGGACCGATCTATCGGATACCGGGGACCAGACTGGATACTCGGGACCGATCTATCGGATACCGGGGACCAGTTTGTATACCTGGGACCGTCTTATTGGATACCGGGGACCAGACTGGATACTCGGGACCGATCTATCGGATACCGGGGACCAGACTGGATACTTGGGACCGATTCCTCGGATACTGGGGACCAAACTGGATACTCGGGACTGATCTATCGGATACTGGGGACCATACTGGATACCATGGACCAAACTGGATACCAGGGACCGATCTATCGGATACCGGGGACCAGATTGGATACTTGGGACCAATTCTTCGGATACTGGGGACCAAACTGGATACTCGGGACTGATCTATCGGATACCGTGGACCAGGTTGGATACTCGGGACCGGTATATCGGATACCGTGGACCAAGTTGGATACTCAGGACCGATCTATCGGATACTGGGGACCAGTCTGGATACCTGGATGAATCTATAATGGGGATTGATTTAATATAAAAATGTTCCTTAATACAATAAATTGTAGTTCGATCGGACAAATCATGAATGTGCAAATGTGTTCTTCAACTGTTTTGGGGATGAGTGATGGCTTATGGCATTGAAGGACGATATGAATAAAAAAAATTTTAAATTTAATAAAAATTTGTTTAAATTTATTTATAAAATTCAAGACTGTATTATTTAAAAATTTTTTTAATAAAATGTTTTTTCTTTTAATTTTTTATCAATTAAGTAATTAATAACAAGGCATATGATTAACATTGTTAACAGAAAATTATTAAAATACTTAAATCATTTTTTTTAAATTAACAAATCAAAAATTTCTTTATTTTCCATTCTTTTGAAATTTCGAGGATAATCTTCTAGTCCTCTTTTTCAACCTTTACCTTCTTTGGATCGAACACCAAAGGTTTAATATTAGCATGTATGATTTGAATTTCCTCTTAAATTATTTAATTGAAGATAATTGGGGAAATTTTTGCTTTGTCTCCCTATTGTTTTTTTTTAATTTCTGGTGTATGTATCTCATTCTTAGTTGAGACCGCGAGCTCTTTTTCGACTGTTCGTCGAGCTCTGTCGAATGATATATCTAGACTAATCGAAAGGGCCTCAAAACAGGTTTTACCCATAAAGGACTTAAACTGAAACAGCAAGTGCCACTAAATATTTTTTCTTATGGATCTTACACCCCTCATAAAAATTTAAAAATATTTTCTTAAAATACAATATATTAAAAGAACATACCGTCTTTGATACAATTCTTCTCAGCTTCTTTCTTCTTTACGATCTTATTATGATTGGCCTTCTTCAACAAAATATTTTTCTTAATCAAAAGCGCTTTGTATAAGCGCTCTCTACGTTGAAGTAGGATTATTTGTCGTTTGATGAAAATATTTTGATTTTTATAAAAAATCAAATCACTTTTAATATTTTTCATATTCATTTATAAGGTGGAAGGAATATATTTATTTTGAATTTTATAATGAATAAGAGCGAGAAATGTTTCTTGAAGTATGCCATTATAATATAAAAACATAAATTATACAACAGATGGCAGTTCTTCCAAATTTTTAAATATTTATAAATCAAAGATAAATCAAGATTTTTTACTCACACTAAAAAACACGAGTGCCAAAAGAACAACGATAATTAATTATCCTATTCGAGAGGGAAAGGAAAGGATAAAGTAAAAAGGGCAAATACCTAGGGAGCATATGATTTAATAAAAATTTAAGATTTTTTACTTTAAAATTTTATCTTTAAAAAATTTTTAACATATTTCAATTTTAAAAAATTTTTCAAAATTTAAATTTCCTCTTCTGACTTTAGTTCGTAACATCTTGGTGAATTTAATTGATCGCTTCCACAATGAATGCACCTTTCTGATCGTACATTTTCTGTTTAAAAATGATTTTTATTCTAGAGTTAAAATTTAAATTAGAACCATTCTCTTCTGATTGTCCATCTGCACGAGCTCTTATACGCTGCACGAGCCCAACTGCACGAGCTCTTATACGAGCTAACAATTCAGCCGCTTCTTCTCTCAACGGAAACAAGGGGTGTGGGAAGTTATGCTGAAAATAGACCTTAATAAGAAAATTTAAAAAAGCAAGACCTCCCGTTCTGCCCAATTTTCAATATCACCAACACGCAGAAGTGTGATTCCCAATCGTCGCATAACCATGTCGACGTCTACGTGAAAATTACGCAAAGAATATCGAATTGAGCGCAATTCGGCTTTAATTTCGTCAATATCGCTCATTTTTGCTAAATTAATACAAAAATATTAGAAAATAAAAATTATAGATAAAAAAATCCAGTTACAAATAATAAAATATAAAGAATAATTAGCAAAGTTTGCTTTACAAAAGAATTTGAAAAATAAAATCAGGTCAATACGACTTGTTTTGAAATAAATTAATAACCACTTCTTTTATCCATTTCCTTTGACTGGTAGCAGTAGCGACTGTCGCTACCCATCGCTCATTAAGGTAATATTTTTGAACGCTCATAAATATAAAACAGTAAATTCAAATAATAAAAAGGGACTTTTTCACTAAATTAAATTTTCTAAAAGGGACTATATAATAATATTTTTAATAAATATTTCTATTTTATAAAAAGCCATTTTTTAATATTTTAAATTACGAGAGATAAGTTCAAGGAGTATAAAAGCTGAAAATTTTTCAAATTATCTCATTTCATTTCTAAATCTTCAAAATGCTCTTCCTTATCGATGAATGCGCTAAAATTTTACACTGTCACCCTAAATCATTGCGTGATCAGATACATCACCCATCAAAGCGAGCATTACTCGTATCAAAACTTAAAGGAAGAAAAGTGCGCACCCTCTACTCAGATAGGAACGGATTTCGCAAGACTTTCACTATTAACGGTCTTACTTACAAAGGAGCACATTGTACTATGGCCTACGGGGCTTTGTCTCGTCCTTTCAATGTTTCTGTTGCAGCACATTTCTATTCACGGCATCGGATTCGTCTGCAATATCCTTATCTACAATGTGTAATTGAACACTTCCCGCGCCGTTGCGAAGATCGATTCTATCCTCTAGAATTATTGGAGTTTGTTGATGAAAAAGAGGAAGACTACATTGGTTTTCAACTTGATGATAAACCACTTTATTCTGAAGTTTCCGATAAATTACAAATTGATAAAGAAACAAGTGATTCAGACAAGAATATGGAGGATACTCTACATTTTGAAGATGATTTTGATGAGATGGAAGGCTGGTAAGCCTACACAAACTCACATATTACACACACATACATAAATTGTTTTCAAGTTATTTATTAAAATATTTTAAATTTAATCTTTTTTGACTTAATTCTGTAATTTTCCCCCTATAATCATAAACTCCTTTTTCTTAATTTTGAATTTTAAATAAATTTTATTTCCTATCTACTAATTCCGCAATTTTACCCCTTAAATTCACCTCTTCTTTTTATTAATTTTTAAACCTTTTCTTCCTAACCTTAATTTGGTAATTTTACGCCTAAAATCTTATACTTCTATTAACTAAATTTGCAAATAAAAAATAAAATTTATTACAAATTTTAAAAATAAATTACAAATTAAAACCAAAATCTAAAACTTTATGATCACTTGGACGTATTACACCTTTCCCAACAAAGGGTCGGTATTTTTTCTGAAGAGACTGTGTGAACACAGATCCTTTCTTCACAGATGGTTTGAGGAAATGTGGGTAGACAATATTAATCGGGTCACAATAGCCATCGTTAACAAAACTTAACACTTTTTCTTTAAACGTTTCATAACGAAGTCCTTGTTTATTGACCACGTCCCAGTTAAGTGTCATTCCTCTGACCTTAAGCACATAGTCCAAATCGGCATCCGGATCATCTTTTTTCTGAAGTTTAAGGCCGTATTGTTTTGCACCACCTGAGCAATACTCCAGAATGTCATGTCGAGGGTACTCATTGGTAAATTGGCCGAGATGAGGACCAAGCTGCAGCGGGCACGTCTTCTCAGGGTGTACGAAGATTAAAGAGTCCGTGTCTTTAATTCAAATTTTTTAAAACTCATTTAAAAAGTTTAATTTTACCTGTATAAAGGAGAGTGCACCCAGGTGTCCTGACGACTTTCTGCATTGCCCTCAGAAGATGGATGCGCGCGCAAGCAGTGGTCCAAAGGGAGATCACTAAAATTATATATTAACTTTAACTTAAACTAGATAAAACATACCGACATTTGAACACTCATGCTCTTCAACAAAATCCTTTTTGGTCAGATGTGAGATGAGTACTACAAGTGGAGTGAGCTCATCAACACCAGAAACTTCCTTGGTGCTATCGTCCAACATTTTTCTAAGTGTTGAAGGACGGTCTGTCACAGTGCATTGACTTAGTCCAAAGTTTCTCAAGGCAAAGCGACCCCCTTAATATGAATTTATAAATAATTTTATTAAGCTTAAAAAATTTTATTAAAAAAAGACTTACAAAGATTGTTGAGGCATAATTTTGCCTGTGTCCTCTTCCCCTTATTCATTACCTGAAAATTTAATATTTAAAAATTAATCATATAAATTTACCATCTTTCCACGTTCAATATTTATATCGAATATATCCGCGCATTCTCTGATGAATTTCTCCTCGGCTTCAAAGTTTCCTTTGATACTGTCGTCAAATCCGCTGGCATGTATCTTTTGAGCCATAAACTCAGCAATATACGGTCTGAAGAGTCTGCTGTCAGAAGCAGTATATTCGAGGACGCGGAAAATTTTAGTTACTCGATAACCTTCGTCGAGCGCTGCGTTCAACTCCACTGATGTACATGTACTCACCCATCCTCGATCCCGATCTTCATGCTCGCAGGTATAGTCCTCGTTCACAGATCCCTGAGGAAAAAGGCGAGCACATGTAGCACAAAGCGGGAAGAGTAGTCGGTCGTCAAACTTCACAGGCAAAACCGGCACATCGATCTTTCGAGGTGGAATCACAAAGACCTAATTTTACTTACTAAAAATTTTGAAACAATTAAAATACCTTAAGTATGGCAAGCTCGAACTTGTTATCCCTAGAATTGGCCCAGGAAACATCTTCATTCAAAACATGCACTGTTGGATGTCCAGTAGGATATTTTGTTGTGACATTAATAAAAGGGTAAAGGGAGGTCACGTCGAAATAGCTGATTTTCTCTCCAGGCTGTACTTGATGAAACAATTTAAGTGGCCCGGTTCTTCCTCCGAAGAATGCTGACCGGATATCGATTGGACCGTTGTCAATATAGTTGTTAAACTTTTGTCTCATTTCTTTATCCTTCTTCACCATGTCCAATATTTCACATTCCCAGTAAACTTCCACTTTAATTTGAGACTTGATGAATTCAAGTCTTTTGTTGTCCTGCTCTCGTTGTCGTCCAGCAGTCTTACCATTGGGTAAGACAATATTGTCGTCTGGATAACATTTAATACAACCATGCCAACAACAGCCATTAATTTCGATACCAAGTTGTTGGCTCTCCACCCAACCATCCAAACGATAATTACCAATTCTTAAAATTTTTACTAAACAATTTTCTTTATTAAAATTTTACCTCTTTTCTCCTTCAATCGAATAAGCTGTTTGAATCTCAACATGATTTTCTTCAGCATACCATTCCATAAATTTGAAGGCAATTCGGCTCTGATTCTCAGCGTTGTCATAACCGCGTTCAGGTACAATCCCAATATGTTCAGCCTTCAAATGGTTGGTCCTGAAGTGCTTCATGCAAGCTGAAGCGATGGTCATAGCCTCTCTCAGAACATCCATTCCTTTTGAAACCTTAAACATTTGTTTTGAAAATTTATTAAATTGTAATGTACCTCAATAAATTCTTTACGGAACGCTATGAGTCCGGCCATCAAAATTTCGACATCATTGGTACAATACGAAGCAAGAGCTTCGTCAAGTTGGAATGGTTCATGCTGGTGTTGTTCAAACCATTGATCGAAGATCTTCCTTTTATCAGGCATCATTCCCTCTGCCAAGTAGTCGTTCTTTGATGGAAAGATGTATTTTCCATAGTTGTTAGGGTTGTTCGCGAGGTGAGGGAAGAATGGTTTATCCTCAACCTGAAGCCCAAAAGCCGGGACAAGAGAAGCCAATGACATTGGTATCAAATTGTATGAATCTCTGAAGAAAATGCTGCCCTTATTTTTACCTCGAGAGACTAATTTCATTTCATACATCTTGTTGCCTCTCTTAAGCATTTCAGGTGTATATCCTTAAAAAATTTCTTTTTATTTAAAAAATAAAATTTTACCTCTCAAAAATAATTCCTTAAAGACAAGAACCATGTCGAATCTTCCACCAAAGTGTGAAAAAGCCACAGTATCATATTGTTGAGGCAGATCATTTAAAATCCATTCTACAAAAGCCTCCAATGGATTGGGAGAGATAACCATTTTATCAACTTTTGTCCCATTGAAAGATCGATGAGAAAAGGTGATAAGACGATTTTCACCACATACTTGGCAATCTTTTTCCTAAAAATTGTCCTTTCTAAAAATAGATTAAAAAAATTACCTCAGAAATACATGTTGGACATGTAACTTTGGCACAAATAAAGTTAGCTTCATGACGTTTACATTTGTTGTCAGCTGAAGGTAAATATTGTGTCGTTTCGAAGTCAAAAGCGATTATTCTATATTTTTTGTTGTTTTTCAGCTCCAAAGGTTTGATAAAACATCCTCTCTTTGGATCGTGGTAGTCTCCACATGTAGTGCAGTATTTTTCACTGCATACATGTCCTTTTCTCCCTTTTTTGTTGTTATCATTCACATTCCACACCACTCCACATTTTTCACATTGTTTCGAGATTCGACAAAACCCAGATTGTAAATGATGTTGATAACATCCGTGGTTATAAAATATCTTGGAGCAGATTTGGCAAAGCTTGTTGAATGCTGCAACAATTCTGCATGGGAAGCCAGGACCAACACGCGAGCATTTGATGCATCGAGCTTTACAAGATGTTGTATGTGTAGAGGCTCGGGCATAAACTTTCTCACAGTGTAAACAGTATGGTTGACCGAAAAGTGCATTGGCCCATTTTACACCATCAAAGTGTTCATTCTTGTACAGAAGAATAATAGGAGTATCGAAATTATCAGGCCCATACTTGTAGTCTGGTTCATAATGCCCAATTGAACCAAAAATAAAAACTTTAATAATATGTTGTCCTTTATATTTGTTGTTCCAAAAGTCCACAACTTGTGGAACCCAATGTTCTGCATTATAAAACTCCAAGTCCATTGGGGCTCCAACATTTTCCATTAATTCAATTGTATCATTTTTAAATTTATTGAGCATTCCATGCTCGTTGCGTAGATAACGGGAGAACTTTTCCCAATGCCAATTGAATATTCCATGGGCAAGTGTTGCCATTAAAGAATAAAAAAGGCAGAAGGAGTCATCGTTGCAAATCTAGAATAATAAATTAATTTAATATTTTTTAACCCAAGTCCTATTTTTTTAATTCCCAATTTTTATTAACAATTTTACTATTAAATAAATTCAAAAATTTTTTAAATTTAAAATCTTATTCTATATTGCTACATTATAAATTCGGTAAACCAGCCTTAATCAGTGCTTTTTTGTTAATCTGATGATGAACAGCGGGCACTTTTCTTCCAGCACCTGGAAGTTGATGCTCAACTGATAGACTACTCTTATCCACAACAGTAGCTATTACTTCAAATGGCTGCCCCCATAGAGTCACATCCTTTTGTTTAAAACTCTGGGCCACCAATAGAAATCGGTTGAGGATAGACTCAACCGAGTTCTCATTTATATCTCTGAAAAATCAAAATTTTAGCCTAATATTGTAAAATGTCGCTTACCTAACCGGTACCCATATATCATGGTCCAGCAGTGGACTGGTGACCACACATCCTAGTTGTTCTGCCTTCATACCACGTTTTCGGCTTTCTTCCACAGCCTCATCGAGGAAAAATTGAAAAATTCCTGAAAACATTTAATATATAAAATAGTTTTAATATGAAAATAAAGATAATAACCAACCACTTAACAACCCCTCAGGGTCTCGAGGTAAATCCTTTATCATAAATTTGCTGCGGCTTTTAATAAATTTAAATTTTCGATTTTCATCTATTGTTGTCTCAAGTCGCTGCACATAGTCTTCTGGTTTTTTAGAAGTACCTTCTCCAATTTGTTGTTGTTGACTTGTTGAATGATTTGTAGAATTTGACGAATTATTAAGGCCAAGTAAATTGGCTATAGAAAATATCGATTGAAGTCCAATAAGACTTTCAATCGTAAAACGAGTACGTTTTGGTGGAGGCTGATCCTCCATTTCACGTGGTATTTAAAACTTCAAACAATTAAAACTATTAATAAAAAATAAACAATTTAAATATATTTATTGATTAGCAAATACAAAACAAAAATTGAAAAATGAATAGTTTGTTTAAAAATCAATATTTATATATTATTTCCGTCTTTAAATTATTTCCAAACGTTCAAAAACATCATATGTTGTTCCTAAATAGAGTCAATTTTAAAAATTTTTCACTCACTCTTTCATCCAGTCTTAATCCTTAATTACCACGGACCCTTCCACCAGCCGCTTGACCGTTCATTTCCGTTCTACTACTCATCGCACTTTCCCTTTGAACTCACTACTTTATTTTTAAATTAAATTCCATTCTTTTTATATTTATACAGCTACTCCTGCCACCCTTTTCCTCTCACTTCTATTTTTCCTTCACACCGTATCTTCAAGGTAATTACAGTAATATTTTCCTTGAGCGATTGATTTTCTTTCAATTTATATTTTTCCTTTATACCATATTTTAAGGTAATTACAGTAATATTTTTTAATTTTATATTATGTCTCAAGAAGAAGAGCAAAAGTTTTTTGAAATAGAGGTTGACGGAAAATTTTAAATTAGTTTGAAAATTAATTAAAGGGATTTCGTCAATACAAGACGTGTACTCGACACAGCTATCTCACCGCTTTAAATTTATCTCTGAAGAAAGGAGAGAAGCTTGATAAGGGTGCTCGCTGCAGTTTTATTTATCACTATTTCCTTGGTTGGCACTGGTGCGAGGAATGTTTAAAGTTCAATCTTATGAAGAAGCAACGAAAGACATTTATACCTATTACCGAGAATTTATTCTTTTATGCTTTTTGGTTATGCACTGATTGTGCACTTTTTGCTACAACACCTTGAATCATTTTATCAATTTATTTACCACTTTTACAACAAATAAATCAGGATTTTGTTTTGTGTTTAACATTTCTAAATATTTTTCAAAAGCTAGACCTTGAGATAAGAAATAAGCTAAAGAAATACAGTGGTGTGCACAAGTTTTAGATATAGGTGATTGGTAGGCTTTAACATTATGTATTACATTGGAAAAATTTTTAAGAAATGAATTAAAAATACAAGTACTTATGGGGAGACCTAAACTATCAAAGTAGTAAACTTTATTAAAATTAATAAAAATTAATATCCAATGAGATCCTTTCATTCCTTCAGCGTCCAAATTGACGATAAAAATCGATTTTTTCAAATCATTCGTTGGAATCGAATCACACGGGAAGCAGCCTCTGAAAATCTTTCTCGTTTCTGGGTTTGAGTTCAATATCACAGTTATCTGATGACTGTTCATTTTCTTCTATAAAATAGAAATGATCATTTTTTCAACGAAAATTACCTTTAAACTTTTTTCTGGGAAGTACTACCTTTAACCAAAGAAATGAACGTAATTGATAAATAATAAGGCTAATCACAAATAGAATATACAACCCTATCATTCCCCAACAGAAAATATGGCCATATATATTATTTTCTCCGGGACTTTCTTTACAAAGTTGAATAGTAGGAAAATTTGGGAAATTTATAGGGATATTAGTCTCGGTTGTAGTTCTTTTCCCTAAATATTCTGCATATTCAGGGAGATTTTCCACCTTGGAAATATCATCTATACTTAGTGTTTCAACAAGAGGAAAAAAAATTCGAACAAGAAAAATTATTATAGATATTTTATTCATTTTAAAATATTCGTAAAGCTATGTACAATTTTAATGTGTTTATATAGTAGTGTCACTTGCAATAGTTCTGTTTTTATCCAAAATAATCAGTGAATCTGCTTCACCCATAGCTACAAGCATGATTCCTCCTTCTGGTACTGGCTGGCTAAATTTAATATTCACCGCTGTTGTTCCATTCTTTATTAGATCAAAAAGTCCTCCTTGATCATCACCGCTATTGGTCAAGTTAAAAATGTATATACAATGAGTAGTGCCATACTGTTGATATGTAATTCCATTACTTTCTGATGAATTTGAAAGTCCTATGGCCTCATTCATGTCATTGAATGCTCTAACATATTTTCCATTCATATAATCAAAGTCATAGGGAGCTTGAGGATAGCTACGCCCGTTCGCGATTATTGAAATTTCTCGAACATTAAAGTGTTGAAAGTTGAAAGGACTGCGTCCCAAATGTCCAACATAGTCAGAATTAGAGACAAGTCCAAGTGTTATTCTTCTAGGTATTTGATCATTAAAGAGGTTAGCATTAAATTCATATCTCCCCATGCTAATAAAGAGAGGTTTCATCATTGTTTTCCTTATCGCATAACGTGCTGGTTTAGTATCAAGTTTTCTAGCAATGTCCAAAGCTAATCCATCCATAAGATCCATCTTTTTAATGTACAGTTTACAATTCAAAACTTCAAAATAGTAACGCGTAGGTTGGGCAATACCGAGAACTGGAGGAGAAACTAAAACAAATTTTGCATCATTAGGTAATATTTCAATGTCAATTTCGCATTGATTAATTAAATAAAGAGGTTGATTAAAAATATCTGCATCAAGCTTTGCAATAAATTGTGCAGTATTGCTGTTTGAAAATAATCTTTTCCTAGCATCATATCCAACTCCGCTTTCTAGATTTGTATCTGAGCCAAAGTAATATCCTGCGGCATTAAGATGGGAGCTTTTTGATCCTTGAGAGTACGATAGCTCGTATGACAAATATGTTTTGTAAGCGTACAAAGAATTTGAATTAAAAATTTCGCGCCCATTAATGTTAATTTTCATATTGTTAATAAACGTTTGCCCTATAAGTTGGATAGGTGCAACATTATCTGTTGGTGCAAGATTTACCAAATAGCCATTTTCATTCTCCTTTCTTATTCTAAGTTCCGTAAAAAGATAGCACTTTGACAAGTCAATATAATTTTGACTTGAATGAATTTTAAAATGGTAGGGAGTGTCTGTAAGTGGATTGCTGGGGAGAATTTCAAATACTTTAGAAGAGGTTACTGTAACATTAGTTGGGGGAATTTGAAAGAAGTCGAGTGCACTAGTTATCGAATTTATACTTTCATTATCAATTTTTTGAAAAGCCATTTTTAATAAAGTCCAAAGGCGTCTGATCTTAAGCGTTTTCTAACTTTTTTCCCAATAATTGTTTGATATGATGGCATAGCTTGTCTTTTTATACCCCTTTTACGACCAGTACCGAATTGTTTAGGTAATCCTCCTTTCTCTAAAACAGTATCGATTCCTTTCTTTCCTTCTTCTCTAAGTGCTGCTTTAAGTGGTTCCCCTTGATTTACTCTCTCTAACACTCGCTGTCCGGTATTTAACGCTTCACCCGCTACAGTACTTCCCGCTTGACGAATTATTGGTAGAAAGAAACGCCACAGTCCCCTCATTACATTACCAATCCCAGCCCCATTTTGTAAATTACCATAGCCTCTTTGAAAAGGTGATGAACCTTTGAAATAATTATATTCATCTGTAATACCACTTCCTTTCATAGGAACAAATTCTTCATATCCAACTGATCTTGTATCAAAAACTACATGAACCATTTTTGAAAATTTTATACAAAATATTAAATGTAAATTACAATTTTAAGGGTATTTATATACACGAAAAAATGAAATTAAAAATTTATAACTTTTTTAAATATTAAGACTATCATTACTGTTCCAAATGCAAAAGGGACGAGTCTTCCTCCATCCATTGTTCTTAATTCAATTTCTATTTCATTAATTTCTTTGGGGAGTACACGAATAAAAATAGGAGAGTCGTATATCTTTTCATGATATTCTCCTGGTGTTGCTCCGGAGACAGACACAACTCTCAATAATGAGCTAAGTGAGTTTCCTACAATCATATTCTCTGTTAAACCCCTGGAGTAAACAGCAAAACTAGAGAACCCTCCTCTCAAATCACTTCCATATTTTGCGATTTCATTATGCATAACCATATTTGAATTTTCAAACCCCAACACATAGCCAAGCTGAGGAGAGAAAGATAAATATTTAATATTTGGATGAGAAAATTCTAATTTAAAACGCTTAAAATCTTTGTGAAAAGACAGAGAAATAGAATCTATAATTTGTTTCTGTACAGCAGTGTCGATCTTGTCTTTTCTTAGATAACTGTATTTCTTCAGAAGACCTTCTATCATTGGTAAATAATTTTCTCTTTGGAAGTCAGTAGGGGGTTTTCCAATTACATGTGTTAGAACCCTCTCCATGTCATCTGTCCATTTTATTTTTTGTTGAACCACTGATTTGTTCTGTTTTAATGGGAGAGCTTCAGGAAGTGAAGGAAGAGTTTCTGAAGGTAGAGGTAATTTAGGAAGAGTTTTTGTTGGAGAAATTATTGGCGGTTGAATAATTTCTTGCGGTTTTGTAGAGGTAGCAGGTTTTGGTGCTAATTTTTGAGGTGTTGATTTTTGTTGAGAGGGCTGTGTAGGCAAAAGCTGAGGTGGAGATTTAGGTTGTTGTGTAGCTAGAAGAGGTTGTGGAGTTGAAGGTTTTTGGGTAGGCGGTGGAGGTTTTTGAGGAGTTGAAGGTTTTTGGGTAGGAGGTGGGCGTAGAGGAGGTTGTGGCGTAGAAGGTTTTTGGGCAGGAGGAGGTGAAGCGGGTTGAGGAGTTGAAGGTTTTTGAGCCGGAAGAGGTGGAGGTAGAGGAGGTTGTGGAGCAGAAGGTTTTTGGGCAGGAGGAGGTGGAGGTTTTTGTGGAGTTGAAGGTTTTTGAGGCGGAAGAGATGGAGGTAGAGGAGGTTGTGGAGCAGGTTTTTGGGCAGGAGGAGGTGGAGTGGGTTGTGGAGTTGAAGGTTTTTGAGCCGGAAAAGGTGGTTTTTGAGGTGTTGGAAGTTTTTGGGTAGGAGGAGGTGGAGGTAGAGGAGGTTGTGGAGTAGAAGGTTTTTGGGCAGGAGGAGGTGGAGTGGGTTGTGGAGTTGGAGGTTTTTGGGCAGGAGGAGGTGGAGTGGGTTGTGGAGTTGGAGGTTTTTGAGCAGGAAGAGGTGGAGGTTTTTGAGGGATTGAAGGTTTTTGGGCAGGTGGAGGAGGTTGTGGAGTTGAAGGTTTCTGGGCAGGATGAGGTTGAATTGAAGGTTTTTGGACAAGGGGAGGTTTTTGTGGAGTAGGAGGTTGAGGCGTAGACAGATGTGGAGATTGTGGTAGCCTAGGAGGCGATGGAAGTTCTGGAGTTGTAGGTCTTTTATTTTCTTGAGGTGGAGGCGTAGGTTTCTTTGATACAGGTGAAGAAGGATTGGTAGACGAAGTTGGAGGAGGAGGAGAACCAAGTCCTCCTTCAACCCCAGGAGGCGATGGTAAATTAGTTTCCAAACTTCGTTTTGGACGTTGAGTTCTGGGTGGCGAAATTAGAGGTTGCCTATCTGGGTTAATCGTCGGAGGCGATTGTAATTCCAAACTTCGTTTTGGGCGTTGAAGTCTGGGTGGCGAAATTAAAGTTGGGCTATCAACAAAACTTTTATCTATATTAGATTCTACTAGCACTCCACTTTGATGTTGCAAAGTGGATATTAAAAATTTCAGTAAATCTTCCGGTTTATTGTGTGATCCTCTTGGCACCGGGACTCTTATGACCTTAGCCATACCTTTAAAGTCTGTACAGTGAATATCAATCCATTGTTCATCAAGTGTACCAATAGTTGACGGCCATGAATAAGGATAAGAAATGCTATGTAAACCACAAACCCAATCTCCAGAAAAATAAATTGGTTTGGGAAGATGAACACGAAATTTATTAGGCTGATTATCGGGATAATCAGTAGTATTACTTAATAAACAAACATAAAAGCTGTTTGACATTTTATAACAACAAATAAATTAAACAATATGAAAACAAAATGCTTTTTATACTAATTGATTCTCATGTATCCATTCCCTCTCGGGATAACCAATGAATTTTACAAGTACTTCATAGGTTCCGTCTGCCCGTTTTCTTTTTTGGTAAATCTTCTCAATCCTATACTCTGTACCTGCATCTTTTTTTACTTTTGTAAGTTCTTCGTTGTAATAAGATCCCTTGTACTTATCTCCTTTATCATCTATTAATTTGTAACGAATTGGTCTAGAATTGTCTTTGACTTTGTCAACTTCCGCTATTACATCCCCCCAATTTGGAATGTATCCTTTTTCAAATGTCCCTTTATTTATACTTGTACGTACAAAATCTCCTTTTTTAAATTTGGGGTTTGCCTTTTTAATTTTTGTAGATAATTCATCACCATAAATCCTTTTCCACACCGCTTGAGCATTTTGAAAATTTACGTCAATAGGTCTCATTCCATGAACCCGACTCTTTGCTTTATTTATTCCTTCCAAAATTTTTGGTAAAATCTCAACCCAATTTAGTGTTTTGTAATGAGCAAAATATCGATATAATCGTTGTTTAACATTTCTAATTGCACGCTCCGCAAGCGAAGCTTTAACTATTGAATGGGTAGCTTCAAACTTTTCAATTTCTTCTTTTTCAAAAAATTCTTTTAGTTGTTTATTTTTAAATTCTAATCCTTTATCGGAAAATATTCTATGTGGCTTCATAGGCATTTGTTCAATTAATTGTTTAAATGCTTCTAACATGTCATCAATCTTTTTAGACTTGACAGGTACCCCAAAAACTCTTTTTGAAAGGACATCAATTCCCAAAAGTAAATATCTATTTCCTTTATTGTGTCTGGATAATGATTGGAAATCCGCCAAATCAACTTGAACATCTGTCATAAATCCAGCAGCCACGGTTTTACTTCGAGGATAATGTATTCTCTTGGGACGCATAAGAGTATACGTTCGATGTCCCTCTAGAAAATCTTGCACAACTTTTCTAGGTAAATGTTTAAGAATTTTTCTAGCCTCATACCATAATCTATCAACTCCTGAAAAGGCGGCAGGGGAATCTGGATCATTATAAAGATGTTGTAAAAGTTTCATATAATCAGCCATTATTTAATACATATTACCACAAAGAGGGTTTAAATCTATTTATATCCTCCTGTGTTGGTTTTTTCGATGCCCATTTTTTAAAATTTGTTCGATCTTTTACTTTACGTAAACTTATATCTTCCTTTGTAGGTTTTTTCAGTGCCCATTTTTTAGTCCCTTCTTTTCGTCCTCTTAAAATATTTAATTTCTCTGACCAAGCTTTTGATAATTGTTCTGCTTTCCTTTTCGAATGAGGTACCTTAATCCTTTTGTAATGAACCATTGTAGCGCCTTCAGGGATTTGATATTTTCTTTTAATACGTTCGCGCTGTCTTGGGGGAGAGGGAGATTGTCCTCTTCTTGCAACTCTTTGTCGTCTTCGCCTTTTAGCTTCTTTATCAGCTTGTCGAGATTGAGCCATTGCTGCTTGGTCTAAAGGAACTGTTTGCTCTCGAAACTTTTTTATCGATTCCCATCTTTTCTTTTTCCTTTCCTTTCTTGCAATTAACTTTTTTTCTATCTCTTTATCTTGTTCTCGTTTTGTATTATTCTCTTTTCGTTTCTTAGACACTTCAAAATCTTCAGCTTCCTGCTCCCTTTTTGATGTTTGAAGAGGTATAGGGGTAGAATCTCTCAAAGGAGCATTCTGAGATTCAATAACAGGGTCAGTATCTTGTGTAATAATTGAGTTAGAGGGTAAAGAGAGGTTTGCTGTAACTCTTTTCTTTTGCTTCTTTTCTACAATAATTTTTGGCTTTTTAATTTTCTTATTTATTTTTAACCTTTTTTGCTCTCCTCTATTCACCGTTTCTTTCCTTTTTACAAGTTGACTTTGGGTTGATTGTGTCGGAGGCACTTCTTCTCTTAATATATTTCTACTTCTGGATCGAGAAGGTAAAGATGGGTGGTAAGAAGATTCAGAAAGAGGAGGCACAACATTATAAGCATTATTGGGAGGCTCTCTAGGGTAATTAGAAAATGAAATATCATCGCTCATCCATAAATCCTCATCGTTATCTACTGTAGAAGGATGGGCTTGATTAGTACTCATAACTGCTCCTTTTGGTGAAGCGACCATTTCTACCTTAACAGGTCGATTCTGTCTTTCATTACGTAAATGTAAGTAACGCCTTAATTCTTGATTATAATGAATATTTTTTGCACTTGGATGTTCTTTTACTCTTCGAGTTTTATCAAGCGTTCGTTGGACATCGTCGAGATTTGGTTCTCCTGTATCAAAAGATGTAAGACCACGATAAATTTCTTGAGGAACAAGAATAAATTTGTTAGCCATAATTTATTAATTTCTTTACTAAGTTGCAATTAATTTCCGCTTTTTATAGAGCGCGCCAGTTCAATTAGTATAGGGGTAAGAAGAGCAGCAAACGCTCCAACACCATTTCCTTTCTGCAAAGCATGTCTTGCTCCTCTTTCACTTCGAGCTCTACTCACACTTCGGACAAAACATACATAAGGCATTAAACGCTTTTTTTGACGTGTTGTTAATTGAAATCGGGACTTTACAATATTAAGACATATTTCTACAAGTGTTAAAAGTTGAGAAGTACTTGCAAGTCGTAATAATCGACGAATTTTTCTTTGTGATTTTGTATGACATAAAGTATTTAGAAAGTTTGAATTCTCATTTATTAAATGACTAACCATTTTATATTCCACTCTTTGGAGTAAAGACTATTTTTTCTTCATCATCCTTAAATATCCCTGTCCTCAGTCGTAGACTTGGGTCCGATGATGCGTGCATATCAATTAATAGATACCCGTATGGTTGATTCGTGGCTTGTCGATAGGCGTCAAGGTAATAATCTAGTCTTCCTGGAAAAAGCTGTACACCTATATTTCTTACTGCTAGAGCAGAATTTGGAGAACGCATTAGGACAATGTATTGAGCATTTTGTCTCGCAACCTTGATTTTACGATCGAATAAGTTTTGAGTTACAAAAATAATTGCAAAATTCTGGTGGTGGGATTTTTTTGTAAAGAGTTCAGATAAGTACTTTTCATCAATAGACAGAAGTAAGTCATCAAGAATTAAAAGAAGTGGCTTGGGAAATTTTTTTAATAATTCTTCAGGAGGGACACCGACAAACACATCAACTCCAGATTTTTGAAGTATTGGAACAATACTACTCATTTCTCCAAAACAATACAATATACTCCTTGGTTTGGGATCAATCAAGTCTGACGCTTCCGAAATAAATTTTAATAGGAAAGTACTTTTACCACTTGAACTGGGACCTGATACGATCATACCAAAAGGCAATTTAAAATTTAAATCTTTATTAGAAAATGTTAGTGCTTCCATTTAAAATAATAATTAACTAAAATTTATTAACTTAAATACTATCAGTAAAATTAAAGGGGTGGCTGTAGATTTGTATCATCTGGATTGTTTACTACTTGTTTCTTAACCTCACTTTCTGTTGACATCATACCCATTGTAACAGCCTGCATAGAGTCATAAAACTCTAATAGGACTGTATCATCATTTTCTTTAATTGAAGGTTCTTCTTTGATAGGAGATAATTCTGTAGGGTTCTCTTGTGATGGCATTTCTGGTTGCGGAGATGCAGGAGGCGGTGTTAATAATTCCTGATGTGGTGCGAGAGGAGGAGACATAGGCGGGGGTGTTAATAATTCCTGGTTTGGAAGAGGAAGAGGTTGGGGTGGTGCTGGTGGGAGAGGTAATTGGTCAATTGCTTCACGTTTTAGACAATTTGAATTTTTAACTGAGCAAACATTTTGGGAACCATATGGAATATTCAAAACGCGGCCTTTATTCTTGATCTTAAGTTAAATACATTTTTAGCATTTTATGATTAATAACCTTAAAGAAACAATGCCCGGGCAGGTCGTAAATACAATCAAAAGGAACGAAGCGAGGTGACGATAAACGAGTACAATAGATTGTTATCCCCTCTTTTGTAACAATAAAATCTAATTCAACTTCAGTGCTTTTACACTCACGACAGCGGCCACCATGTTCAAAAGGGATGAATCTAGGAGTTGATATTCTTTCACTAGTCAGGGTAACCCCATTAGCTGTGAGATTGAAATCAACCTCGGGGATAATTTGGGAAGCCAAATATTCCTTGTCGTTCATATTAAGAGCCATTTTATTTAAATTTTTCGGAAATTAATTAGCTTCGTTCAAATTTTTTGTGCTTATATACCCTCGTCTCGCTTCGATAGTGTCAAATCGCTGACCTACAATCTCCTTCATCTATTTTTAAAAATGAAGCCAAGCCGACTTTGAAATGAAATGAAACCGGTTTTGAATATATTTTCTACAATAATAAAAAGCCACGCCTCTTTTGCGGTTAGATATATATCATTTTTATTTTCTAACCTCATTCTACTTAATTTACAACAAATTACTTTCATATTTCAATATATTTTTATTTAATTTTTTAAAATTTAAAATATGATACAGAACAGTTCATTGGGTGAGAAAAATATTTTTATTTTAAAAACATTTAAGTTCCTATTGTAGAGGATGTGGATTGTGAACAAACCAAAGAAATTTCTGCTAAAAAACCTGTCAAATTAGAAAGGAATAAAGAATCATGTGGTCAAAACTCCTTAGGTATTTTAATAAAATAAATGTTTTCAATAAAAAATTTTTTAAGACGCAACGATTACTAATCCTTCTGTGGGTATTAATGATACAAAAATTGTTAAAGAAACTACTGTTTGTGGACCAGTTGTTAAAAAACAACTTTGGAAACTTATACGTGGAAAATTTTTAATTACCTTCTACCTTTGTCAAGGTAAGAACAATTAAAATTATATTCAAAAATTAATTTGTTTTTCAGAATGCCAAAACAATTTATTTTACTCACAAGAGAAATTTGGAGAAAATTCTACAGGTATTACATTAAAGATTGATCTATGTAATAAGTGTGTCGACGCTAACTGTAAAGCTACAGATATTCTTGCACCATATAAAAAGATTGGTCAAAAAAGAAAAGCCGATTAAATTAATTAAAATTGGAAAAATAAATTTTGATTCTTAATTGCTAACTAAAGAACCTATTTAAATTTAAACGAATAAAATTGTTTAATGACAATAAAATTATTTAAATGTATTAATTTCTAATAATCCGAATAATGAAATCTAAGACTCAATTTTTCTTATTAAAGTCAATTTTTCGAATTCAATATAATAAAAGAGGAATTAGAGTCAAATTGATACTTTGCATCTCTAACCTCGATTATCACCATTCAATACCTTTCATCTCAACCAAGCCCTACCAAATGAGCCACAAGGGTATTAAAAATACTTTAATAGTTTGATTTTAAATGTAATAAATTATACTTATATTGATTGATTATAATTCTTATGAAAATTGATATTAGACTCTATACTCTAGATAGACTCTATTGACTCTAACTAGACATTTCAATATCTCTTCTGAACACACTTATCTTTACTATATATTATCTAAAAGAATAGAAGAAAAACAATGTCTGACTAGAGATTGATATCTCTGCTCTTCACATCTTTCTTTACACTACAATAGGAAAAGAAAAGAGAAAGGAGAGAAGTTCAAAAATCAATCTTTTGAGTCAGGCTAAGGAGGAAAAAGGGAAATTAAAAATTTCAAAGTTTTTAAACCTAATATAAATTTCTAGCCTAACTTAAATTTTAATAATCTATACTTACACCCTATCTAAAAATTATATAAAAATATTCAAAGACATTTAATAATATTTACTTTTTAAAAATTTAAATGTTTAAAATATTTTTAAATTTTTATTCTTTATTAATTTCTTTAAATTTCATTAATTTCTTCTTCATTAATTTCTTTATTCCTTAAAAAGATGCTCGGGTGGATTCCATGGCTACCAGAGTTTCCATCTTTTTAAGCGTCTGTGCTGCTCGTGGATCCACAAATTTAGGAGCTGGGCGGTTCTACAAAAGAATATAAAATTATTTAAGAAATTTACTTATTTAAATTTAATAAATTATTATTAATTTGTAAAATTATTTTACCTCAGAACGCACATCAATAACTAATGGACCAGGTAACCCAGCTTCACGAACATGGGCCTTAAATTGATAATTTAGATAAATAAAGTATGTTATTTTTAATTAAAAAGTACCAGTTCAGCAAGTGGAATATTTTGAATAATTTGTTGTTGTTGTTTTTGTCGTTTTTGATGTTGTTGGTGAGTTACTTTTTTGCGGCGATAGCATAAAGAGAACAACTGAATTACAAAAATAGATAATTTATTAGAAAATTTAGGATTACTTTAAGACCCAGAGAGAGTATAATGAGCAAAAGTATTGTATTTAAAATAAATTTTTCGTAGCCCCCAAAACCAGAATTAATATAATTTTCTGGACGGGCCAAGAAATTATCAAACTCGGTAGGCGGAACAGTTGTGGGGATGCACAAACGAGGTTTGCTGTACGCCTCGGGTCGGATACAGTGCTGACCCGAGGTACAAGAGCAGTTAGTAAATGTCCAGTTCATTTTAGAAAAAATTAACTAAATAAAAATTTTAGGAAAACTTTATAAAATAAATCAAATGAATCATTATACTCTCTCTATTATTTACACAAATTTTCACGTAAACACCTATTTTACAACAATTTTTTGACTAATTTACATAAATTGGCACAAAAGAAAGCTTACATTTATTGAAAGAAACATATTGGTCCAAAAGATCAACACAGATCAACACTGTAAAAATTACGTAACCAAACTCTAGGGCTTTTATTATAAACATTTATCTTAGGGAACATTTTTTGCGCCAACTAGCCAAAAAATGGAAAAAAGGATTAGGTAAACATCTGTGTACAAATTAAAGTACACAGAAAAGATACCCCCAAAAGATCAACTCTTTGATCTTAAAATAATTAAAAAAAAATAAAAAATTTTATACAAAAATCAAAATAGTAATTGTCTCGTTCCACTCATTAAATTTGAAGCTCTAAAGAGAGCCGTTTGGGTTTAAGATCCATTCCATTTGAGTCCATGCATCTTTTCAAAAAAAAATTTTTTGGTAAAGAATATCCGTCATCAATAAATTTGTATCAATTAAAGAAAAAAAGAAGGGAAGGGGAAAGCTGAAATTATTAATTATTCCTTAAAATCGCCCTACCCCTAATTAATTCAAACAATCGCATTTCTTTTCCCTTCTCTCAATTTGTAAAATCGTCCCCCTCCAAAAAAACTGTTAAAAGATTGCGGTTAGGGTAAGGGTCAACAACTTAAAAAATCCCCTCCCCACCACACACCAATACTGTCAAAAGATTGCGGTTAAATGGGAAGGGTCAACAAATTACTCCTTAAAAACCCCCTTCCTCCTACCCCTCCCCAACCACTAATTTGAAAATCCTCCCCCCTCCTACCACCCACTCACTCAATAGGATTAGGATAGCTCGCGCGGACCCCTCCCCCACCAAAGCTGTCAATAGGTTTAAGCTAGTGCGCGAAGATAAATCATAATTAATTGCGGTTAACCACCCATCCAAAAGGATGGCGGCATCCCTTTGTGCGCAAAACGTTGGGTTAACTACTATTATTAATTTTTGCATCACAGGCAAAATTTCGAGATGGATATCCACGGATTTGGAGTATCATATCCGTGCTCATCCGTATCCATCAAAAAACATTATCCATATCCGTCCGTATCCGGTTATATCCGCGGATATCCGGACATTATCCATATCCAAGAGCAGGTCTGCATTTAATTAATAAAAAATTAGTCGAAAAATATGAAGAAACTGGACCCTAAGCAAAAAAACGAAAAAAAAATCTCTAAAAATTATGGGACTCAAACGTCTTCTTTTGGGTGGGGACTCAAAAACGATCCTTTGAATTTTTTACCCGTGGCGATCCTTTGATGGACGATCCTTTGATGAGCGACCCTTTAATACTTTTTGCCCGCGACGATCCTTTAATTGTTTTTAGACGTTACGATCCTTTGAACGTTTTTAGCCGTGGCGATCCTTTTATGTGACGATCCTTTGTAGGGACACGAAAAAAATAATGTATAATGTCTCTCATAAAATAACACACTATTTTTCGACCCCCAATGTCCCGTTTGGCCCGTGTCCCAACAAAGGATCGTCACATAAAAGGATCGCCACGGCTAAAAACGTTCAAAGGATCGTAACGTCTAAAAACGTTTAAAGGATCGTCACGGGCAAAAAGTATTAAACGGTCGCTCATCAAAGGATCGTCCATCAAAGGATCGCCACGGGTAAAAAATTCAAAGGATCGTTTTTGAGTCCCCACCCAAAAGAAGACGTTTGAGTCCCATATTTTTTAGAGATTTTTTTCGTTTTTTTGCTTAGGGTCCATTTTCTTCATATTTTTCAACTAATTTTTTATCAGCTGAATGCAGACCAGCTCATGGATATGGATAATATCCGGATATCAACGGATATATCCGGATACGGACGGATATGGATAATGTTATTTGATGGATACGGATGAGCACGGATATGATACTCCAAATCCGCGGATATCCATCTCGAAATTTTGCCTGTGATGCAAAAATTAATAATCACTTTAATCCTTTCAAATCCCCCGATATCCCTCTTAATCACCATTATCAGACTGGCACATCACTGCAACCAAACTGATGGCACTGAACTGGCTTTATGAAATTTTTAAAAAAATGACGACCCTTTGAACGTTTTTACGCTTGACGATCCTTTGATGGACGATCCTTTAATGAACGGCCCTTTAATACTTTTTGCCCGTGACGATCCTTTAACAGGGCGACCCTTTAAAAAACGATCCTTTGTATAGGAGCCGTTTGGCCCGCCGTGAAATTGAGAGTATTGCTTTAAACGAGTGAACAAATTAGAGAAGGCAGAAAAAATGAGACACTTCACCAAGTGGCTTTTACGTGCCCGCACAAAATACCGAATTCTCAAAATCGCGAATAGGCTAAAAAAGCTCAAAATCGCGAATCGGTAAAAATATCTCAAAATATGGAATCGGCCAAAAAAGCTCAAAATATGGAATCTTAAAATATCGAATCTCAAAATCGCGAATCGGCCAAAAAAGCTCAAAATACCGAATCGGCTAAAAAGTAGTTAAAAATGTCGAATTTTTTAAAAACGAAAAGGGCCGTTTGAGTGCCGCTGCAGGTCTTTTTCTGATTATTCAGGGATCTGTAACTCAGTCCAATCAGGTCGGATTTCATTGATTTTGGTATCATTCGATGCAGCTCGACGTGCTCTTTCAGATGAGCTATCATTCGGAAACTCGAAATTCGGTTCGGGATTCGAAATTCGGTTCGGGTCCGGGATTCGACTTTTTCAAAATCCGAGCTGAGATTCGTAATCAGCACATTTTTTTACCTTAGAAAAATACTTTCTCTTATTTTTAAAATTTTTTTACGAAGAAGTTGGTCACAACTTTGTTCAGACTCAACTGGCCTTTGCCGCATTGTCGATATTTTTCGATATTTTGAGCTTTTTTTGCCTATTCCATATTTTGAGATTCGATATTTTGAGATTCCATATTTTGAGCTTTTTTAGCCGATTCGCGATTTTGAGATTCCATATTTTAAGAATTCGGTATTTTGTATGGGAGCCGGCTTTTAACAAGCTGTAAATATATATTTTAGAGAAGAAAAAGAAATACTGTGTGTTTGTATAGTTCTCTTTTACATTTTTGCTACCCATGTTTTATTTATTAATAAATTTCTCATTTCTAATAATGTTTTCGTGTTAAAATTAATATTTCTAATTCACGACGTGATTATTTTTGCATGGGAGTATTTAACTCCCAAATAATTTTTTTTATTGTTATTTTATTGTATCTATGGTTGATCAGATCTAGATCGGTGTTGGTCATTTTTTCTCGGTTGATTGGGTGAGCTTCTGTGGCGCAAAAAATTGTTGACAAAATTGGGAATAATTGCTCCTACTCTGCCCATTTTTTCTCGTCCTCGTACCTTTCTTTTTTCTCGTCTACGAGTTTTGTTACGAATTTTGATCATAAAATACTTATGAAAAATCGAAATTTGTTTTTCATCTTAAGATTCGATTTTTTTTTGTTTTTCTAATTGTTCTATTTTTTAATTTTAGAAAAATTTAACAATTATGATTGACGATTCATCGATAATTACAGAATCTAAAGGGCATGGTTATTCTAATTGTGACATTACCAGTATTCTTTCAGTGTCTGGTGGATCAAATTCAGATCGTGAAAATCACCCTAATGAATTTGCTTCTTTACAATTTTTGGACAGAAATGAATTACTTGTTAAACGTTTGTAAAAATAAAAATATAATTCTTTGAAATTTTTAAAATTTTAAGTTACTCGGATAATCTTTGAGGATTTTTGTACGCATATTCTTGGAATGCATTCAAGGATTAGCCATAATAAGGAAAACAAGGACGAATGTTTTTTGGAGTTGCTGCGTAAATTTTTAGAGGTTAGTAATTATTTTTTGAATTAGAACAACAGCCTGGGTTTAAGTTTTTTGGAGCTAGAACTATTCTTTATTTTCTATAAAGAATCATCGGTAATATTCTGCTTCATTGGTCCCTAGAAGAAAATGAGGGAGAAGTGCTCGTTCGACATTTTTGAGGCATGACAGCAGGTAATCAAGTGCGCTGAGTCCGTTTAGCACACTCGATTACCTACTGATAAATTTCAAAAATGTCGAAAAAGCATTTCTTGTTGATTTTTTTCTATGGACCAATGAAGCAGAGGATTGCCGAACATCTTTTCTTTATTTCCTTATTTTCTAGTTTCTCTAAGTTCAAGTTCTTTAATTTTCTCAAATTTTTAGATTTGTGAATGTGGAGTTAATGGCATTGGAAAATTCTGTAATGACTCTTCTCATATTGATCCACATTCAAAAATTCTTTTGAATCAACTAACATTGGAAAGAGCTTCTTATGCATTGATTTTAAGGATGCATGACTCTGAAAAATTGTTAAATGACAATCAAGTTTTGGTTAAAAATTCTTTTATTTATTTTCAACATTTTATTTCAGGTTTCAACTTCAGTTCTAACAAAGCTTTTTAGAGAAAGTGAACAATTTAGACGCATTTCGGTTTTTTTTATGTTTTTTACTTTTATAAAAAATTCGTTTAGACTCTTTTACTTTGGAATGAAGAATGTTCTCTTTTTTCTCCGACCGATTTTAGCAGAATCTCAAATGAAGACGCTCTAAAACTTACAGATACAGAAAATATTTAGTAAGAAAATATTTTGTTTAACATTTTAATATTTTTGGTTTCGAAGTCAATTAGGATGATAAATTCGCTCCTATGGGGTTTGAATTATCAAGTCATTATTCAGTAATCCTTATCCTTCAATCTAAAAATTCTCGGTTGTGCAACTAAAACTCGTAATTTTTGTAGGAACCAAAACTATGAAGACAACTTTTCCGAAATTATTGTCCTCATGTTTTCTGGATTCACCCTTATCTAATCAAAATTTCATTTCGTCCATTTTTTAATGCAATATTACAAGAATTTTTAAAAATATCTTTACTATTTTTGAATTTTTAGTGCTTCTACGAAATTGCGGAATCCCGTTCATATTGATTCAAGATTTGTTGATCGACTTGTTGCAGAAGATGAAGAATCAATAAAAACATTAAACACTTTGCTATTTTCGCTTATTCGTTCAGGACGCTTAGAAGAAGCCAAATCGTTACTGGATAATGTCGGCCTGCCTGCTTTGTCTATTTTTATTTTAATTTGTGAATTTCTTACAAATCAAAAACTTACACCTTTGGATCGTTTTGAAGATAATTTTATTTTGGCACAGTCTCGACTTTATTTTAAACAAATGGCTCGTGAATTAATTCCTTTGGTTGGGAATATTTTTAAATTATTAAAAAATAATTTTTGTTTACATTAATAGGAAGGTAAAGGCCGTGTTCAAGCATCTGATCAATGTATTTGGGCAACAATTGCCGGACATTTACCGACGCTTTTTAATTACGCTAATTCTTCAGAGGATCGTCTTTGGGCTCTTCTAAGCTGTGCAGTTGAGGCAATTTTAGGTTAATTTATAAATTTATCTTTTTTTATTTAACATGGTGAACCTTGTACTTATTAAATTATTCTGTATTCCTAACATGTTCTAGCGTAAGCATCATTCGGTTAGGCGTTCCTTTTCCAAGCCTTTACAAAATTGTGATAAGGCGAAAATTTTTGAAACAATGGATATTCATTAGATTACTTCTTTACTGTCTTCTACTTCACCTCTTTCCTATTTAGAAAATTGAATCCTTTAAAATTTAGATAATTCACTTGCCAATTTACATTCAACAAATGATGGAAGAATAGGTTTAATATTCAATGATTTGTCAGTTGAGAATGAAGATGTTCCAAAAGATATTCATTCAATATTTAAACAAATTCAAATAGTAAATTATTTTAACAAAATTTAAAATTTGGATTTTATTTAGAATGATAAAAACCCTTATTATGCTCTTTTTGAATTTTTATCTCTTGAAGATTGGCCATCAGTAGCCAAATATATTGGTACTTATTTAAATGATAATCAGTCACAAAAAACAGCAAATGAGCTTCGTTACTTTATTCATCTTCTGCTTTTATTAAAATTTTCTGATCGTTTGCCCTCAAATTTGGAATGTGTTTTGGTTAATTTAATAGAGAATTACTCATCAATATTAGTTCAAATGAAGCTAAATCCTCTTGTTCCTTTTTATTTATTTCATTTGCCTCAAAAAGAACAATCATTTGAAAAAATGTTAAATTTTCTTGAAGGTTGTTTTTCAATTAATTTTTAAATTTTGTTTATTTTTTAGGCATCACATTTGAGCCAGAACAGAATGAAATTTTGGATAATGCTCAAAATGTCGGTTTTGACGTTCCTCAACTTTGCACAGAACTTTTTCAACGATTTAAACAAAAATATAAATTAAACGTTGACAAAGATGGCGAACAAAGAAATTTGGTCAAATCTGCAAATGAGATGTTACGAGCTTGGAAATGGTTGACATTTTGTGGTACTGAAACCATTTGGGATGCTATTATTGAGGCAAATTATTTACTACGCAAATTTTTTTGTAAGTAGCTAGTTTGAAAAAATCTAAATTTTGTTCCCAAAAATTTGAAATTTTTTTGTTTATCCCTCTATCAAAATCTTATTTAAAAATTTTCGATTAAGTGTACAACAGAATGGATGAAGCTATGGAACTAATAAGAATGGTCCCGGAGACTTTAAGTGATGATGCCATTGATTGTTTTCAAAAAAAATTCCAAGACATGGAAGTACCTGTTCGCCTTCTTGATGCTAAATATGAATTTGAATGTTATCAATTTTATTTTGTTTGTTTTATATTTTTTATTAGAAATTTTTTTGATATTTTAGGAAGCAATTAATAGATATGATGAATGGCAAAAACAAATGGAAGGAGATCAGGCACCAGAAATTCCTCAAAAACTAAGTGATGAACGTTGGGCACGATTGGACATTCGTCGGAGAACAGAATATGAATTGAGTGTTAGGCGAGCACATGATTGTTTGCAGAAGTATTATCGCCTTGTTGAACTCTATAAAAAGGTTTTTAATGATTTGTTAGTAAATTGTGATTTTATTTTAATTTAGAGGGTAGTGGAAATGTTGGAGCATATTTTAAAAGCGCCCAATGGTTGGCTTGTTGCATCACCATTAGAAAATAGTGATGATGCTGATCCAGAGGTGAATTAGTTTTTAGGCAATTTTAATTTGTCACTATTTTTTCCTTTGCTTGACTCATCATCAATTTGCCTTCAATTAGATCGAATGGGATTTATTTTATTAACAATAAGATTATCAGCATTTTGAAAAGTAAAACTGGTTATGGGCCGGTTAATTCCTTTCAAATCGAAATCGAAAATTTCCATTCGTTTTGCGGAACCAGAAACCCAGCTTTACATGTAAATTTATACATTTATTTATACGTTTAAAGGCAAATTGAGGAGAAATGAAAAAGTTAGGAAAAATAGAGAAACAAATTTTTACTTTTTTAATTTATAAATTTTCGGTGGTTGAACGATCTCATGATTTCATGGAAATTCGAAAGAACTTTATAGCAAATCTTTTGGAATTGCTTGTTGATATTCATACACGATCAGATGAACCAATGAAGGTGCTTGAAGTTGGAAAATTGCTGTTTGATCCAACATTTTGTTTATACAAAGTATTTGTATCTTATACATTTTTGAAATTATTTTTATTTTTTTAGGTTCTGACGAAGGATAAATTGCAGAAATTATTTGTTCTTATTTCCAAATCTGGAGCAGCGCTTCTTTAATTTGTTTTATTTAATTTATTTGGATAAAATTTTCAATTAAAAATATTTTTCTTTAAATTGTTACTTTCAATTTACTATTTGCTTTTTTCTTCTATATAGTTTTTAATATTTAAAGTTTTTTAAAGAAATATGGCTGACAGATCTAAAATAAATAGAACAACTGCAAGTGATTTTGGAAATATTCGAGACGCTGAGGATGATGATGACAATGAATTTTTTGCTAATGATGACAACTTTGATGATGAAGAATGTGAAGCAAATGATGCTCCTGAAGGTTTTTATTTTCTTTTTTAATTTAAATTTGATTGAGGAAAATAGCGTTCTTTTAAAAGTATATCGCTTTATTGAAAAATGAGCTTTTTTGCTAAAATTTTTAGAAACAAAATTTCCCGCAGTTTTTATTTCGCTTTAAACGTGTGAAATAATCTTTGAATTTTACTCTTCTCTTTGCCTTTCCTTTGTTTCATACTTTTTACACCTTTCTCATCCACTTACTACTCTGTTGATTCTTGCTTATTCTTTGCAAACCTTTTGCTTTCCATCTAGGCTTTTAAATTGCTAAAATCATGTTTTTGTTTTTAAAAAATGCTAATAATATTTTTGCTGTTTGAAGAAATTAAAGCGCACTGAAACGCGACAAAAATATTTACTTATTTTAATGAAATTTTATTTATATTCAAAAATTTAGATCATGATGGTTTACAACAGCCAATTGATCATACAAGCAATCCTTCACAAGCATCTTCCACAGTTGGCCGTACTTGTTCAAATAGCTCTTCGCCGTGTACCTGTATCAAATCTTTCAAAAATTACCGAGGCCCCAGATGAGCTATCTTATTCATTCAAACATGGAGAAAATGCTTTGCAAGTAATTAATGAAGATCATGAGCGTTTGGGACATGAGAACTATTTACGTCTTCCTTCTGGGTCTTTCCACACTTCACAATATTCAATTAAGAATAGTTGGGAGGAAAGTGCTCTTCGTTGTCAGAATGCAATTATCCGATCTGAATTGGATTTGAGTAGTATTCAGGTAATTAAACGTTTACTTAATTTTAAAATTTCGAAGTCTTTAACAAAATTTATTTATAAATACTTTAAGATAAATATAAATAAATATTCTTTTTAAGATCCCAACTAAAGCAAACAATTCTATCAATTTGGATAATTTAAAAAATTCTCCTAAACAAAGTTCTATTCATCAAATACCTAAAGACTCAACAAAAAATTCAGCAACTTTTAATAGTATTCCACAACAACAAAGACCACCACTTTCACCTTCACGCTTTTTAAATAAAAGTATAAATAATGTAAAACCATTTATTTCTGGTACTCGCTATACAGTCTATTTTGGTTTTAAACGTTTGGATGGACTTGATTCTGAGGAATTTTTACGTATTCATAATATTCATTATGGTCGAGAACGGTTACTCATTCGTTGTTGGATAAAGAACAATTCAAAATCTGACAATTGTTTCAAGGTATTTTTACTTAAATAATTTTTATTCGTTAAACTGTATTTTTCTAGTTAGTTAGCCCAGCTGAAAATGTATCTTCAATTTTGGAGTGGGATGCTTACCAAAAAATTGTTATTTCTTTTACGCCTACTTCTGCTGAACACTATGCAAACTATCTTTTTATTCATTGCCAATCTAGGCATGAATCTCGAAAATATAAGGTTTTTCAGAATATAATTATTTAAAATTTTATAAAAATTTAAGTTTTGTGTTCATGGATATGGTGGTCGTTCTATTATTACTCCTTGTATTGAGGACAGGATAAATAATCTCTTACTCTCAGCAAATGGTCGATATCAATTATTGGTCAATTCAACTAATTCATTTAATTTTATTTTACAAAATCATGGAAATAGGTAAAAATGCCAAAATAATAAATAGAAAAGTTTTTCAATTTTAGAGCTGCATTTGCCAGTATTTTTATTTATGGAAGAGGTGGGGAGTTAATTCCAAATCATGAGGCGATGGTTTCTACAAGGAATGTCATCATTAACAAAAAAGGACAGGATGACTCCAGACGAGTTTTTTTTTAATTTTCTAACATTTCAATTTTTTATAATTTTAGTCAATATCTGTTCGCTGTTTAACTGATCGGCGTTCATTTCAATCACAGAATAAATCTGCACATCGGCCGAGTACCCTTTCTTCAGTTATTTCTGCTCTAGGCATGTCAACATCTAGAGATGAATCAGCCTTGCAAATTGTTATTTTTTGGGGTGAAGAGAGACAAAGACAACGATTAAAACAGTAAAAATTTTGAAATTAGTACTTTTAAAAATATCTTGGAATTAAGTGGATCCGTATCCATGGGTAGGTCTGATTAATGCTAGCTATAAAAAATGTGTTTGGTAATAAAAGATGATTCTGAATCTATACATATTACCTTAACACGAAATTTATAGCATTAATTTGTAGGGAGGGCTTGTTTGAAAAAGAAAATATCTTAACCGATTTTAATTTTTCAGTTTTGAAAAAAAGTTGGGTGGTCAACTTTCGACTTTTGGACAAAATTTTACAAAATTTATGAATTTTACTGGTGAAAGTGAAGATTGGGCAAAGGAGAATGTGGAACATTACATTAGCGAGGAGGAATTTTATTACTTTGATGCCAATGTTAAACTGATATTTATTGATGTGAGTTTTTTGTCAAAATTGAGGGAGTACTTTTTTCCCCTTAACTTTTTTTCTTGGATTCCTTAAGAAAACCTCAAATATTTTTTACCGTTTTCATTTTTGAATTATTTAAGGTACACGAGAAAAAATCATTTGATCGGGCTTCTTCTGTCAATATAAGTGGTGGAGTTATTCAACCTTTACAACGTCAACAGCTGCGTGCTGGTTCTTCGCTCTCAGTTGCCTCTTCAGGTGAAAGCACAGGACGATCTCGACAACAGCAGTTGTGTACAATTGTTGAAAGGGACCCAGACAATACACTGGTTGGAGTTGGTTCAGTACATGATTCAACTGATGATACCTTGACTTTACTTTAGAGAGTTGTAAATTTTTTATAGATTTAATCTGTTGTTGTAATTTATTGTAAAGATAGAAATTAGATCGTGACCCGGTCCAGTTTATTAGTTTCCCCGTCCCATTTCTATCACTTTTAACTATATAAATTGAAAATTTACAATCATGTTCCTTTGTAAATAGTAATTTTTCAATGGAATTCAACGGCGTTACTATTTCCTTAGATTAAGTCCTAATTGCACCATTTGCTTGACGATTTTTAAACAACGAAACAAAAAAGCCTTAGGCAATTTAAATTTTCAAAATTAAAAATGAAAGAAATCGCTTGCTTGGCCTTACTATTAATTAACATAATTGGTTGCATTAATTTCTTTTCGATTTGGAGGTATATCGTGTGATATGAGCGGATTTAAGAGGTTTTTGTTAGGATTAAGAGGGTTTGAAGGAAATAATGGTGATATCAGGGGATTTGGAGGAAAGTTGGGAGATTTGAAGTGATTAAGAGAGGTCTCTAGTGTTGACTCTGTTTAGACTAGGCAATTCTCTCCCAGCTCATTTGGTCCGGTGTTTGCGTGTATTTTTAAATATTAAGAATTAAAATTATTTTATGTTTAGCCCCAAGACTTTGACAGCTCTTAAAAATTCAAATAAATGAAATAAAAAATTATTATTAATAAATAAAATATTATAAATTAAAATTATTATTAAATTAAAATTTAAATTATTGTAATTAAAAATTTAAATATTATTAATTAAAATATAAAATAAAATATTAATTAAAAATTAAAATATTAATTAAAATTATTTATAATTAAAAATTAAAATATTAATTAAAAATTCCTAATTTTAATCACCAATATTTTAATAATAATTTTTTAAATAATATATAATTTTTTAATAATATCTTATAAAATAATTGATTTTTTATATTTTTTATATATTTTCGATTTGATTTTTATATTTTATTTGTACCATACTTGTTCATAAAAAGAGTGTAGCTTCCCTCTTTGTTGATTTTTTAAAATAATAAAAAAACTTATAAATAATTTAAATAATAATTTTAATACATATTTTATAATATTATAAAGTATTAAAATTATTATTTAAATTATTTATAAGTTTTTTTATTATTTTAAAAAATCAACAAAGAGGGATGCTATAATTTTTTTATGAACGAGTATGGTACAAATAAAATATAAAAATCAAATCTAAAATATATAAAAAATATAAAAAAATCAATTATTATTGAAAAATTATTAAAAAATTATATATTATTTAAAAAATTATTATTAAAAAAGATTAAAATTAGGTTAATTATTAAAATTAAATTACATATTACAAAAATTAAAATTATTATATTATATAAATTAAAATAAAATCAAAATATAAAATAAAAAAATAGATTTCTATTGAGATAGAACAATTGCAGAAGAATACTTCAAGGAAAAGCTAAAATAAACTCTATTTCGTTTCGGAGCGAAAAGAAATAAACGAAATAGAATAAAAATTTAAAATGTTAATTTTTTAGTTAAAAAAAGGTTTTAATCACTATTTAAATATAGATATAACCGCAAGAGCTAGATTCGTGATGAAAGCATCTCAGAATCAAGAGAGGACCCTCCAAGTCTACTGATATCCACCTTAATCCCTTTAAATCGACGGACATCCGTTTTAATACTTGATATCCTCTCAAACACACGCAATATTTCCAACTATACTTTATCGTCAAATCCACCGATATTTGGTGATTAGGGTGTAATTGATTAAGAGATATCTCAGATATCCCTTGAAAATCCACTTAATCTCCAGATATACAGTGAGGTACAAAATTAATGACTCAAAAATCACTAAACTAAACCCCGGCTAACTGTTTGGGCTAACTGCTATAAAAGACGCAGCCTTTTTGTAGTGTGTGTTATCGGACTTGGTAACTTAATCCATCCCTTGAGTCAAGAAGCCCAATTTCTTCCATTCTTAGCGCCGCAGGCGAGAATTTTGAAATTTTAGTTTTTTTTTCGTTCCGAAACGAAATGGACAAAAGTGCACGAAAGCGAAACGAAATTACTCAGCCCTGGTCCATACCTGGTTTAAAATCTGCCGTGCAAAATAATCAAATAAGGACATGATTGAAGGAAATAATGACTCCGTTGATAATTATTTCTTTCATTTTTTATGATCTCGATTAAAGGGTATTATTTTTGTCTATAGATTATATTTAAAAAACGTAACACAAAGAGCTCTCACTGTTGGGAGCAGAAAATGTCAACAAGCATAAAATTACAACAAACCAAAAAAATACCTCGAATAATACCTAAATTAATTTTTCAAATTTTATATCTTATATTATAATAAAAATAAAAGTTTTGTAATAATCATTGAATAGTTTGTTGTTTGAACCATAAGTGTATGGACTAGACACGGATTTTGTTATCCGGATATATTCGTGAATTCAATATCCTCCTTTTTCAGCGCCGAAGGCGAAAATTTTGATAAGTTCAAACTACCGAAATAACACGGTATTTTTCTGTCCGGTACGGTATCGGTATACCGGAAAAAATACCGCTGTATACCGTACCGTGCTGTACACTAAATTATGGAAGGTATTTTAAACCGGCTGGTTTGTAATGCCTTTATAGGCGCCTATAATGATTTTTCGTGACTATAACTCATAACTCTATTAATCAGTTTCATTCAATGTATAAGACGAATATTCTTCTCTTTTTGGTGTTGCACTCCATGAACGTTGTGGTGATAGCAATTGATTTGTTTCATAGTCAGTTATTGGAGACGAAAATTGTTCCCTTATCGGAGTTGAAGGTAATGAAAACGATGATCGACCACCAGCATCTCCCTCATATCCACTCATTTCCGAGTGTTTTTCATTTATATTTTTTGCTTTCTTCTTGTCCATTTCCTTTTTTGTATAATTAAATGTTGCCTTAGCTGTATTTTCGGTATCACATTCAACAAGTGGGGGTTTGTGTAAAATGTTTGTGTTATCCCATTTAAGCCTTCGTAAATCTATTTTTGTTACATTATCTTCAATATTTACTTTGTTTTTATTCTTTTTTCCCAATAAACAATTTAAGAAAAATTCATAACAATTCCATTTCTTTTTTGTTTCCTGATGTTCTTCAATTCCTTTATTTTTTAATAATTTAGTAAGCATTTCAGCAACTTCCTTTTTTATCTCTAAATTTTTAATTAAGATTAATTTATTTAACCAATAAAACCAGACTAGGACATGGATACGGATATTGTAATAATGCCTGAGGATATCCGTCTGTATCCGCCGTAAATATCCGGATACGGATACCAAAATCAGGATCAGTGTCCTAGTCTGATTAAAACAATTTACCATTAATTTTTAAAGTTTGTTGTTCAATTCCCTCTCTTTTTTTTCTTAAATAATCCAATCCTTTAAAAATTAATTTTGGAACAATAAAAATTGGGTTTTTATTTTTTTTATTAATTTCATGTCTAAAATAACATTTCCCTTCCATAAAAGATAACATTCCAATAGCCGATGGACGATCTATTTGATTATATTCTAACGAAGCTGTTACCATTCGAAAAATGAATGGATGTGTATTTTGTATATTTAATATTAAAATAATATAAGCTAAATAACTTTCTTCTGGAGGTTTTAAATATTCAAGATATTCATTTTGTTGACTACTTGTACTAGTACTTGAACTTCTATTACTACTACTGTTATGTCTACTTTTAGATTTTCCCTTTCTTTTTTCTAATTCTTCTTTTACAAAAACTTCAAATCTTTTCTTAAAGGAAAAAATATTTTAAATTTTTGAAATATTCTAAATTTATTTTTGTTTAGATTCGTACTAAACAGCTGTTTCGAAACGGAAAAAAACCTCAGAAATCGAAATTTTGAAACAGCTCCGGTACTAAATGCCTAGATGACTATCTTTCACCAGGGTTTTCTCGAAAATTAAAATTATAAATTCTCTTTTTTTATTCTTTAATGCTCGTGCCAAAACTCGTACCTCCTAGTCGGTAAGTACGAGCATCTAAGATTTGAAACACCGTTGTAAGAATCAAATTTCACAAAAGAGTTAAATTTTAAAATAATCACATATCTCCATTAATTACTAAATACCTGTATTCTCTTATTCCATTTCTTTTCTCTCATTTTGTAGAAAAAATTTAATTCTTTTAATATTTGGAGAATACCTATACGATGATTAGTTGTTATATTTCCTCGTAAAAATCTAAACATTTCCAATGGCCCTTTCATTGAAGGGCTATTTAGAATATATTCTAAAATAATAATCCCCATTGACCAAATATCTGCTTTTGTGGATAACTAGAAAAGAAAAAAAATATTTAGATAAATTTAGAATATTAAACGTCATCAAGTTTTTAATCTTACATAATATTTTTTGCTTGTCTCTCACCTTTGATTTTTCCCAAATCACCCTCCCACTTAATCATCTCTCTAGAATTAATTGCTCTCAATACTATTATTTTCAGATATTCTTTATAGTAGAGTAAGTCGAGTTCGAGCGAGTTCGAGTTACTCGACTCGACCGCTCGGGTTTTTTGTGTAATTACTCGACTCGGAACTCGGGATCATAATACTCGGATTACTCGAGCTCGGAAACTTTCTACTCGACGTACTCGGTTAAAACCGAGTATTTTTATGCCCCCATCTGCGGCGCAAAAAGGAAGATTTTTAGCTTAAGGATCTTCCAAAATTCTCAAAATTTTTGCCTGCGGCGCTGAAAAGGAAGAAATCAAGTGTGTTAGTCTTCCAAATTTCTCAAAATTTTCGCCTGCGGCGCTGAAAAAAGAAGATTTGTGTATATCGGAGGATTCAATCAAGTTAAGTGGATTTTAGTGATATCCGGATATTTCTAGGGATCTAAAAGAATAGCGAGGGATCTGGCCTTCTGAAAATTGGTGTTCCTACTTAACCTTCAGAAATTCTTAAAATTTAAGCCGACTGCGCGAAAAGAGAGGGATAGAGCAACGGATCTCATGATCACCTTTCGACAATATACCTAATCCAATGATATCCCATTAATCTCCCGAATTTCTAAGATTTTGCTCCTAATAACCCAAATCTCACTATTATCGGCCCAGATCCCGCTTAATCCCTTGATCTCCATCTCATTCCTCTTATCACTCGATATCCCCTTAATCTACACGAATCCCCAAAATAATATTATCCATTGTTGTTCAACCCGGAGCCCGGATTCAACATGGATCGTGTGCATATCCTGGAATTTCTGCGGATTAAGAGGGATATAGACGGATTAACGAAAATAACTGGGATTTGAATAAAGATCTAACGCATTACTGCTAACAAATGCCCAAAACACGGCACTGATTATGAATAGTCTTTAGTAAAAGTATTGTTTTTATTGAAATTATTTTAAAATATTCTTTTATAAAAATTACTCGATTACTCGACTACTCGAACTCGAACTCGGCCTAAAAAGTTGAGCTCGAGCTCGAACTCGGGTTTTTCAAACTCGGATTACTCGAGCTCGGTTTTTTCCCAATTACTCGGTACTCGTCTTACTCTACTTTATAGGTTTGGCCCTATTTTTTGGTTTCTCCAAAAATACTCATTAGTAGTAAATACAATCTCCTCGATTAAAATTTACTTTTATGTTATCATTTTCTGTAAATAAAAGAAATAAAATTTTACTTTATTTTCTCCAGTTCTATCTTTAGCTTCACCACTTTCTTCTCCATCACAGACAATATTATTTTCTGGACCTCTATATACTTGGGTTGTATATTGAATTGTAAGTAATTTACAATAATTAGCTAATTTATTATTATCGTTTTCAACACCCTCATTTTGAATAAATTGTCCAGAACCAAAATCAATTATTTTAATTAAATCATTCGAAGTGTATACCATATTATCTGGTTTTAAATCAAGATGCATAATTACTTAAAAAATAAAAAGTTAAACAGACAAAAAAACAAACATCTGTGCATATCTTTCACAGCTAAAAGTGTTTTTTGAATTAAAAACCAAATTTCTTCCTCATAAAAATTTTCTCTAATTTGATCAATTTTTCTACGTAAATCTACCCCTCCATATTCCAAAATTAAAACTTTTTTATATAAAATTTTATTTTTATTCTCTTTCTTTTGTGATATTATTTTTTGATCCTCTTCTGAATTTATTGTTTGTCCACTTTTTAATTAAATTATTTAATTTTATTTAAAAATATTTTAAAAATTTAAATTTACTGTAAATAAAGTTCAATAATCCCTTCTCGTTCATAAATGGGTAATTTATTAAATTCTTCTAAAATTTTTATTTCATTAGATATTTCCAATTCATCCTCTTTTTGATTTTTATTTATTTTAACTACTATTTCAGAAATTCTTTTTCCATAATTATTTAAAATTATTTGAGTATTTATTATTCTTCCAAAATATACCTTTATTTTATTTTAAATTTAAAATAAAAATAATTAATTTAATTTTACCCAAGCATAGGCCCCTTTACCAAAAGGATTATTTTCAATTTCTATTTGAACATTTTTTGATTTTCCCGTTTTATTAAAAAATTCTACAAAAATATTTCTTTTTGATTGACAAAAATTTAAAAATAAAATAATTAAAAAATAAATTTTAAAAAATATCAGATTTGTTAAAAATTTCATTTTTATTTACTAAAAAATATTTTTTAAAAATAAAATTATCAAAATTCAAAAAAATAAAATTATTCGGAGGATTCTTCCAATCTTTTTTTATGGATTTCTAATTTTCTAGGGGTTTTTGATAAAATTAAAAGAAATTACGGGAAACTAACTAAAGTTAAATTTATTTTTTAAATGGATAAATAAAATCTTTCAGCTAAGTGTAATAAAATAAATAGACGACTTGTAAAGGCATTTGATAGAAAATAATAAATAAATAAATCCATATAAAAATTTATTTTTTATAAATGTCGGCGTTTTCCCCTTTGCTTTAAACATTAAAAATCATTAACGTCAATTTGCCCTTATAATTTCAATGAAATTATTTTTTATTTGTCGGCTTTACTTTTTTATCTATTAAAAATGCACTTAAAATAAATATATTTTTAGACAAAAATAAAAAAAATTGTTTGTGTGACATGGACATGTGAAAAAAATCTGAAATAGGGAATCGGGGAGTTATGAAATCTTCTAAGGCATTTAAAAATGTTTGTTGTTTATTTTAAATCGAATTAATTGAAAATTATTTTAAAAATAATTGTTTTGTTTGTTTTCTTATATTTCAACAAAATGTATGATATTTTGTCTTCAAAATTGTTTTATTGTGTGTTTTATTCAATAAAATTATAAACACGTTAATTGCTAAAAATTAATTTTTAGCAAGCATTTTGAAGGAAATTTGAGTTAAAATTAGATTTTCGATTTAAATTTTAATTTTGTCAAAAAATTATATTTACCTATATACGAATTCTTTGTAAATTGAACATTACACAATGTCCTATCCAAACAAACCTTTGTGGTTACTCAAACAAAAAATAAAATTCTAACAATATTTATTGATATGAATATATAAAATTTTGTAAAAATTATTTTTAACATTAAAGAGGTGAGAAAATAAAAATATGAATAGAAATGAGATCATATTTTTTTAGTAAAAATTAAAAATAAAATATTTTCATAATAATTTCAAGCAATTAAAAAGGAATGTAATGATTCTTCTAAGAAACGCATTCTGTGCCTTTGAGCAGAACTTCTTCCTGTTGGTTTAAACAATCGAAGGCATCGTTTAAAATTGGTATTTCTAAAACAATCAGATCTATAAAGAATTTAAATTAAAATTAATTTTAATTTAAATATATACCTGCAATCAGCTCTCATATTTGGTTGTTGGTGGCTATACATATCATGACATAATTCACATATTCGATCCATTAATGCTAAAAATACGTGAATTATTTATTTATGGAAAAGTTTTAAAAATATTTATGGGAAATTCGGTAATTTTGGCGCTATTTAGTGATGTAAAATAGGCCGTCGGGCTTATGTTAATAAAACGAGGTTTTTGAAAGATATCTCTCAGACTTCTCGGAACCTAACTTAGATTACATACGAAGGGAAATGTTGTAGGAGAGGAGGGAGAAATCAGGCTAAAACACACCCTTTGGAGTGTTGTTTTCGAATTGAGCAGACATGGGAAGAGGAAAGTGTTTTGTGTGTGGATATGTTAAGAGAGATTCAACTGTATTATATTTATTAAAAAAGAAATGTGGAATTTCTAATCAGTTTAGGAATTACCGTGTAAAGAATCATTAGCGTGAATATCACAAGTATCAGAAGAAACATCATCGGATTCAACAGAATTTTTTGAATTATTAATTTCTGTTGTTGATTTAACCATTTTAGTTAAAAATAATAAACTAATTAATAAAATAAATAAATTTCCATAAAAAGTAGAGTTATTTAAATATTTATGTAAAAATATTCTATTTTTGTTTTTAATTATTTTTAGATTTTTAGTTAAGTTTGTATTATTAATGGTATTTTGTTGTTCTGTAGACATTTTTTTAAAAATTTAGTAAAGAGGAGGAGGTTAATATTAAAAAATTATTAGGTATTATCTAAAAATTAAAAATAAATTTAAATATAGGTATTTCTAATTTGAAAATTAAATAAATATATTTTAGTATTTTTTTGAAAATTAAAGTCCAAATTTTATAACATTTAGGTGCTTATCACGAGGAATTTAAAAAGAGAAACTTGAAGTGTGGATACTAACTAAAATATTATATCTATTATATCCAGTTTAGGCATTTTTTTATAGAAAATCATTTTTAGAAATTAAAAATCAAGCTTTGGGCTAATAAATGTAAATATGTAGGTAAAATGAAATAAGCAAAAATGTTGGTGTCCTGTCAAGTAAGGCTTTCCTTTACTAATTGAAATTACGTAAAATACAAAATATATTTATTTATTTAACACATTTATATTAATTTTGTTTAAAAGAAAAGGAGGGCACAAACAACAAAAAATATAAAAAATAATTCAGAGAAGACAAATCAAGCAAAAAACCTTTACTTTTTTGCCTTCAAGCAGTTTCCGGCGGGAAATGGGAAAGGAAAAAAGGTTGCGCGATTATTTATATTTTTTAATTTTAAACAAAATTTTGCAGAAAAACAAATAAAAGAGAAGAAGAACTACTAACTAAATACTAATTCTCATCAAAAAGCTGTCAACAAATAAAAACAAAAAAAGAATGAAAGGTTCTAAAACGGAAATTATAATTGTAATTATTTATTTATGTTCAAAGAGTAAATGAAAAAAGGAGAAGAAAATATATGAGGTCAACGGAAATTGTTTTTTATTGCTTAATATTTTACAAAAATAATTTTTTTAATAAAATTATGATTTTTTTAAAAATATAGGTAACCTTTAAAATTTAATATAAACTAAAATTTCTATTAAATAAAATAAATATATTTTAACAAATAAAAATTCTTTTTTATATAGATAAAAAACTCCTTTTAAAAAATAAATTTTCCCACTTAAAGGTAAAAAAAGGAAGTGAATTAAATAGACAGTTAAATTTTAACTCTTTCGAAAATTGTTTAAATAAACCTTTTAGCTAAACAAAATTGTTAACTTTTTTGGGAAAAGGTGACGTTTTGTTTGTTTAAATATTTAAATAAACTAACAAATTATTTTTTAAATTAAATTTAAAAGAGGATTACCGTAAATGCTCGAATAATTACCCTCTTTAATAATTACCCCCCCCCCCTCCCTTTCCTTCTCTAATTTTAAAAATATCGAAAAAATCATTGTCCATTTTAATTATTGAAACAGTATAAGAATCAATATCAAAAAATAAGTGGCTTTCCTCTTCGATTTATTGAGATATTCACCAAATTTAGCTCATCCTCTCGATTAATTACCCCATCCAAAGAGAGGTCGAAACAATAATTACCCCGGGTAATTATTCGAGCACATACGGTAAGTGCTACAAAAATAAATAAAAATATTATTTAAAATTTTGGAAATATAATTTAATAATTAATTTTAAATTCTGAAATAGTTACAGTTAACGTACACTTAAACAGTTTACGTGGCTAGACTAATAATAATAACTTTTAAAATTTAATGACTTTATATAAAATACTTTTTTATTAAGATTCTGAGAGAATTTTAAAATAAAATTGGTTAATTTCTCAGAAATTTTTTGAATAAAAATGTGAAACAAATTTAAGAAATAATTTTTATTTTTATATTATTGTGAGAGAATAAGTGTCTACTACGTATTTAAAAAGTATTTGTTAGGTCATATTATTTTTTTATTTAAAAAAAGGTTTTCTTTAGCAAAAAATGGCCTTTTTTAGATTTTAATTGTTTCTTTTATTTATTTTTTTTATTTTTAGCAAAATAAAAGAAGAAAATAATTTTTAAAAAATAGGTAGATAATTATTTAAGTACACACACAAATAAACACACCAACGCTTTCAGAATGTAGGTAAAATAAATATTTAAATGCGCAACTAACCACGAGTTTTTAATAAAAAAATAAGGACAAAACAAACAGGATATTGCATATTATTTTTAAAAAATGCTTACGACAAAAGTTATTGTTTAAATAAATAAAAAAATAAATAAATAGAATGAGATAAACATATTTATTTATTAAGGTTTAAAGTTAGCAAAATGCCAGATCCGGTTTCCGGTTTCTGGATTTTTATTTTTCTTTTAGACCGTCCGGATTTTCCAAATCAGAATCCGAAAAATCCGGGCTTTATCAAAATACCCGGATTCCGGGCCACCGAATCCGGAAAATCCGGACCCGGATACGGTCCGGGTCTAAACTCTAGTATTTATTTAGTTCTCGGAAAATTTTTTGAGAATAATTTAGCTTTTATTTCAAAATAAAAAAATTTAGAAACTGTTTTTAACAAGTAAATAATTTAAAATAGAACGGTCAAACCCCATGCAAAAGGTTTGGCTAGATTGTTTCTGAAAGCTCTCCGAAGCAAAGTTTTTCGCTGCCTAAGAATCCTTCCATAACTAGTATTTTTAATTTTTATTTTATTATTATTAGCTTTGCTTTGAGAAAATTTAAATGTGTAACAAAGAAATATATTTGACAAATATTTTAAAAAATAAAAATAAATATTGCGAATTATTTTATAATTTTCTTTTAAATTCTAAAATTTTAAAATTGCGTGTTAATTTTCAATTAATCTACACTTTAACAAAAAAAATTCAATTAGCAACCATTTCTTAAAGAAAAAATATTTTTTTGAATTTTTTTGTTTAGATTTTCATTCGCGCCACCCCCGCCTTGGTGCAAAAAAAAAAGAGGAAATCGAAAGAATCACGCAAAAATTAACATTTAATTATTAAATAGAAGGATAACGGAAGTGGATTAAATAAAATTTAATTTTTTAGAGAATTTGTAGAAGTATTTTGAAGACAATAAAAAGGGGTTAAAATGAGAAAGAAAAATATTTTTGAAAATTTGAATAAAAAGAATAAATAATAATAATAGGTATTTTTAAAAAATTCCCTTCCACTTTAAAACAAAAATCCTTTCCACTTTTAGTGTAAATATGTAGTAAAAATTAAAAAAAATTTTTTAATCTTAAAAAATTAATTTTAAAATTAAAAAAAACGTTTTATTTATTAAATTCTTGCAAAGAATATTTTTATTGCATATTTTGTGTCTTAGTGGGAAATTTAAAATTAATGAAAGAAAGATTATTTTAATATTTTAAATGTCATAATTTAACAAATACTTTTAAAGACAAACAAAATCTATGACGGCATCAATGTAAAAAATATATTAAATTTTTTTATAAGAAATGTGACCAAAAGTAAAAATGTGGGACAATAAAAAAGGGAGGAATTATTTAGGCGCGTGACTGTTTGGGGATTTAAATTTAGAAATTGTTGTAAAATAAGACTAGAAAATGTATATTTAATTAATTAGCTAACAATTATTTTAAAATTTTTGTTTTTGAATTTTATATAAATTTATTATCAAAAATCATTTTAAAAATAGATAAAGTAATTTTGGAGTAACTAATATAAAAATAAAAATTCTTTTAATTTTTATAGGTTTATTTAAAGTATTTCCGAAGCTTTTAGACTTACTAAGTTTTAAATAATCAACAAATACAAAATAAATTAAAAGAATTATTATTATAACGAATAAAAATATAGTAATTGTTTGTGTTTTGAAAAAGGAATTCGACGAATTAATAAGTATATATTATTTTTTAAAAATTCTGCAAATGCTCAGTAATAGATTTTGAAATTAATTAAGGAAAAGGAAAATAAAAAAATTATTTCCAATAATTTTTTATTAAAAGGCTACTTTCTTTAAAATAATTTTTTTTAATATAAAATAATCGCTAAATAAATAAATTAATATTTATATTTAAATCTTAGAAAAAATCTAATTAAATAAATTTCGTCAAAGATTTTCTGCAAAAAATATTAATTTAATTTAATAAATATAAAAATAAATATTTTTATTTTAAATGGACGTAAAAGAATGTTATTATTAAATTATATTTTAGTTAATTTTCCCTTTTTGGTTATTGTAAAAACAAATAATTTTTGATTTTTGTTGCAGAAGAAAATAAAGAAAGGAATGTGTGGGAGAGTGGGAGGGAGAGGAAAGGGGGGTTATAACTTTAAATAGAAAAAAATATTTATTTTTAGTAACAATTAAATAAAAAACTTTTTTCTTTGCAAAAAAAAATAAAAAAATATTTTTTTTTAAAATAATTTAAATAAAAATAAAATATGTTTAATCAATATATAAGTACATTTACAGTTGTGGACCTATTTTCTCACTTGAAAATTGGTTTTATGAAAATCTTGATTGAATACTGCCCCCCTTTAATTCTCAATTTAATGAGTATATCTTCATTTAATGAGTATAAGATTTGCCGGATTAATATTTTTTAATATTTAACCTCAATTGAAATAAAAAGTTGTGCTCTTTGGCTAATTATTCACACAAACAAAAAATATACAAAATTTAAGTATTGAGGAAATAAAAAAAATAACTAGTAGGCATATATCTCATTTCAGTGTCGAGATCTCGGCATTACGAAAATCAATGTAAAACAGGGCTAAGCAACTTCAAAAATATTTTCAATGCCTTAATGATTCTTTCAAATTTTTATTTCAAAAAGCACTTAAAATTACTCAATGTATAAAATAAAAAAATCTAATTTCAAATTTATTTATTTTATAATCCAAAAATTATTTGGAAATAATTATTTAAATATATTTAAATGATTAAATTGCTATTTTTTATTAAAAATTATTTAAATATATACTTGTAACTCCTACTAAATTTTTTATAAATTGTTATATCTTATTTGTGGCCAATTAAAAATTTAATTTTTTGTTGACGGATATATTAATATTTTTTATTTTTGTATTATATTTAATTTAAAGAAAAGAAAGCGTTGGTTTGTTTAATCTAAAATTAAATTCTTGGAAATTTTTTTGTATGTTCTGTACCAAATTTTTGTATTTATATATTAAATACAAACCATAAAATATTTTTTTTTATTTAAAACATAATAATAGATTCTCGTTAAAACGAAAAAAAGAAATTAATTAATTAAAATTTCTTAGATTTAATATTATCTTCATTAATAAATGTATCTGCCATTTCCTTTAAAATTCGATTTGCTCTTCTTAATGATGTACTTCCGCCGATAATTGGCTTGAAAAGTCGAGAACATTTAACAAAATTTTTATTTCGGAAACAGTTGAAACTTTAAAAATTAATTTTTTAAAATAATTTTTAATTTAAATAATAATTTTGGAAAATAATATTAACTCCAAATAATTGTAAAATAAATAATTAAAAAAAATTAATTAAGCAATTTATTTACTTATTGATAATGAACAATATTTTATTAAATAAATTTTTGAAGTGTTAAGAAATAGAAACTAGAGTTCGAATTTGAAAAATGCCGGATCCATTTCTGGATTTTTAAAATTTTTCTTATCCGTACCGGAAATCAGGAAAATCAAGTTTTTATCAAAATATCCGGATTTCGGACCACTCGGAAAATCCAGCCTCGGTCCGGATCCGAACTCTAATAGAAACTTATTCGAGTCCAAGAATATCTAGCTAATTAATTTTAAAAATACATGTGTATATTTATACTCCTCCATCCCCTCAAGATTACCTGCAATTTTCTTTAGAAGCAGAACGTAAATATAACATATCAGCACAAAGTGCACACATTCGATCCAACAATTCTAAAATATTTATTTTTTAAATCTTTTTTATTTTTTTTAACCAAAAAGTTGAATATTTCCATTTAAATTAACACAACTTTCAATATCCACATTTTGTCGAATAAATAAATTATTATTAATTCTTTTATTTTGTTGCATTCCTTGGGTTATCCCGAAAGTATGCGAGGAATGCCAATAATGGCTTAATGTAACAAATAAAAATATTAACGAATAAAAGTTGTTAAACATTTTTTAAATATTTTCTAAAAAATTTAAATAAAAGAAATATTTAGTAAATAAATTCTTAGAAATTTATTTAAATATCTCAAAAATAAATTTAAAACCTCCCTCCCACACATAAAAATATTTAAAGTGGATATTTAAACCAAATTTATATATTGTTTTCAATGACTTTATTGAATGTTTAAATAATATATATACACACGTGATAGAGGACAAATTTTGAAAAATAAATTTAATAAAAGGAAAAAAAATTTTAGGGGAAATTGTTTTTTAATTGTAAATGTCTGTATTTTATTGAGTAATTAGATAATTAATCGAGAGAGTAAGTAATTAATTAAGGGATGGGTAATAGTCGAATATTGAAATTTAAAATTGTGGCAAAGAATTTGAGGGGGGGGGGAGGGGGTAATTATCTTTCAACTTTCCATTAATCCAGGAAATACTTTAAAAATTAAATATTTCTTCGAATTATTTTAAAATATTAGCTAATTATGAACAATTAAACAATTTTAAGTTCACTCCAAATATTTATACAATTTAAATAAAAATAATTTAAAAAACTAAACTAATATTTTAAATAAAAACGTAACCGAAACTTTAAAAATTAATTTAAACAAAGAAAAACATTTTTATACATAAATTGCTTATAATTTTTAAAAACTATTTATTTAAAAATTAAATTCTTCTTTTTTTTGTTAATCTTACAGTATTTTTAAATTATTCTGACGGGAAATAAAGATATGGGGCTGCAATTAATTTAGATTTTATTTTGTAATGATGAGAACGCACTTAAAGACTTAATAAATATTTAAATAAGGGAAATTAACCAGACTGACTGCAAAAAAAAAAAAGGACAGTTATTATTATTTTATAAATAAATAAATACTAAAAATCCGCCGGAACGTTAAAAGGAAGCCTAGAACGGTTTTTTAAAAGTAAAATTATATGTGGGAAACATTTTTATATGAACGGATTTATTTTTTTTATTATTTTTATAAGAGTAGATGACAAATAAAGAAATACTTTAAATGTTCTTTAAATAATAAAAGTTATAAATTAAAAAATTGTTTATTTAAATATATTATTAAAGTTATTAAATAGATGGCTCTAAAGGAGATAGATGGCTTGATAGAACAAAACTTGCCGCAGAGTTATAACTTCGCTCAGAATGGTCGATCCAAGACGCCCTGGTATACATACCGTAAATGCTGAAATAATTACCCTGGGTAATTATTGTTTCGATCTCTCGCTGAGGGGGGTAGTTATTAGGGCGGGGGTAATTATTTGAGAGAGGGCAATTATTATTTCATCTGTATAATTTTATTTCATTATAATCATATGAACAGGAATATAAAAATTTTACCGAATTCAGATACAAACGTTGACATTTTTACTGTTATTCTATATTCCATTTAATATTTTCTTAAATAAAATAACCCAGAATAGTAGCATAACATCTATGCTTCCGTACGGGTATATGTAAAGGCACAATGGGAATGTATCTAATTATGTATAATTCTTATTTAGGGGATATAATCTTTATTCCGATAATCTATTCGTATATAATGTACCCTAAAGTGGTACAATACCATTAATACTGCCGTCTTGGGTTTTATAAATACACGTAGTCTGTCGCAAAATTTTAACGGATCTAGGAAATATCAGAGAATTTGGATATTTGCATGGATTAAGACATTCATCGTCTAAACATTTAATGAGAGATTAAGAAGATCTTCTTAAAAATTCTTAAAATCTTCTCAAAATCTTCTTAATCTCTCGATATCTCTCTTATTCACACAAATCCCTCGATATATTCCCAAAATACTTTCAAATTTTCAATTTATTTTGTTGATATTGATCTTATAACATTTTTATAATTAAAATTGATAATGATTTCTTAATATATTTTTAAAATCAGTGTAGAGAAAAATAGGGGGTAATTATTAGAGAGGGTAATTATTTGAGAGAGGGCAATTATTTTTTCGATCTATCGCTGGAGGGGGTAATTAATAGGGCAGGGGTAATTATTTGAGAGAGGGTAATTATTTCAGCATTTACGGTAGTTCGTTTCAGCTCATTGAAACGCATCGAACATCACAGGGCGTCTCGGATTCGACAATTCTGAACTAAGTGATAGCTCTGCGGTAAGTTAGGTCTGCTCCCGGCTTAAAATTAGGCAAATGTGAAAAAAATAATTTTTATGTAAAAAATTAAAAACTATTAATTTTATAAAAATTTGAATAATTTTATTGGCAAAAATCAAAATTTTCTATAACTAAAAATTTTACATTTTTAATATTTTAAAAGCCTTTGATATTCTTTAATAGAAAAATTCGCCAGTAATAAACAATTTAGTAATAAACAATTTCGCCAGTAATTAATCTTATACATGAAAAACATTTCCTTTCTAATGTAAGCAATAACCAACTCTAAAAATTTATCTAGGAAACACCTTTACACGTGGAAATATTTAAATAATATTTTTACTCAAATCCGGACAGTTTCCCTCTGTCCGTTGACTGAAAATTATTAAATAATAAAAAAGAAAGAGAAAATGAGGTAAGAAAGGGAGGGTGTGGCACAAAACAATTACGTAAATATTATTAATTTAATTTAAAATACAAAGAAAATTATTATTCGGTCACCAAAGAGTATATATAAATAGTTATTACCCATAAAAAGCTAAAAATATTGTTGCTTTATTTAAAATTTTTGAGGAAAACAATTTTCGTTGGGAAAATAATATTTTTATAAAATAATTTTAAAAAATCTTTTTTAATTTAAAATAAATTATTTAAACCAAAATGTGTTCATTAAAGTTTAAACTAGGGTTGTTGGTGACCGGTTTTAAAACCGGAATTTTTGAAATTTTTTGCCAAAAATTAACCGTTTTTAGAAAATTTTATAAACCGAAAACCGGAAATTTGTGAAAATTAGTGATTTTATTTAAAATTCCTCCAAAAATAAACCGGCATTTGCCTAAAACTCAAAACCGAAAACCGGGTTTCTAAAATTCAGATTAACCGAAAACCGGGGGTACCGGTTAATAACCGGTCGCCAACAACCCTAGTTTAAACAATACAGAAATAGATATTGGAAAGTAATGGAATTTTTGGGGGGTTAAAATTATCTTGCCCTAAAAATAATCCGAATATGTGTTTAATATTTAAATATTTTAATTAATTGTTACTAATTTAATTTGTCATTAATTAATTAATTTTAAAATTTAATTAAAAGTTGCTATGTTTAATTAAAAGTTATTAAGTAAAGTTTAAAAATGTTTTAAAATTAATTAATTTAACGTAGAATTAATTACGTAATTAATTTGGGAATTTTCTTAGTTTATGTGAATAAATTTAGTTTTTTCCAAACTTTTAAAAATTATCTTATTTAAAAATATTTTATAGAAGGTTCCCATAATTTTTTTTTAATTTCGTAAATGGTTTAATGAAACAAAAATTAAATTTTATTAAAAAAATTTTTTAATAAAAAATTAAAATAAAATACAAAAATAAATTTATTTATTTTTGTAATTGAAATTTTAAAAATTTTAAATTAAAGTCTATAATTAAAATCAAACAGTTTTTTCAAATTAATTAAAATAATTGTCGAGTAAAGTTACAATTAGCTTTTTTGGTTATTATTATTTAAATATCCTTAACTTATATGGAAATAACTAAATTGGGAGGAAGAGGAACTAAAACTTTCACCTTATAATTAGAAAAAAATTCAAATTTTATTTTATGAAAAAATTTTAAATAAAAATATTCTAAGACTACAATTAAAAAATATTTTTTAATATATTTTTTAAATAAAGATAATAATTATTTTGAGATATTTAAACAAGCATGTCAAAGCTTTATACCGTATATCGTTTAATAACTAGCCTGGGCCTTCCGCTAGAGGGAGTAATTATACGAGGTTTGAAATTTGAACGTGTTTTAGGGCATTTGTTTAGGGGTAATTATTGTTTCAATCAATCGCTGGATGGGGTAATTAATAGAAGTGGGGTAATTATTTGAGGGAAGGCAATTAATACAGGTTATACGCTAGTTGATTGTGTTCATACAGAAACAAAAAAAACTTTTCAATTTACTAAACTTAAAATTAATTTCTTTGACTATTTAAATAAATATTTATTTATTTACTCATTTTTTCAGGTGAAAATAAATAAATATACTATATTAATTAATATAAGTAAAATACCTAGAAGTAAAATATTCAGCTGGATTTTTTATTAAATTATTATTAATATTTGAGTAATCTAAATAAAATAAAAAAATTAATATTAATATTTGATTAATTATAAACAAAAATATGTATACAGTTAAATAATAGAGTTTACTAACTTTATTTAAATTTATATTTTAATTTACTCAAAGAGCTAACTTAAATGGGTGAATTTAAAGTAAATTATATAAATAATTTAATAAAATCTAGCATTTAATTACTTACAATTAGAATAATTAATTGTTTAATAATTATTCTATATAAAATTTGCCCAAAATTAGACCCAGCCTGGATTTTTTAAACATGACCCGTGCCGGGTCAGTTGACCTCTAGGGTGTTGAATATCTGGAAAAAGAGTTTAGTAAAAGTTTAGCCACCGGCGGGCAGGATTTTTTACACTGGTAATAATTCGCAAGGGATTTATACATATAAAGTATGTAATCCATCTATAGAATGGATTTCGGAAAGAGGCCCCGGACGAAAAATTTCGATAGTTGGAAATTTCGAGAATTCTAAAAAATTTCGATTTCCTTCCATTTTTTGCGCCGCAGATGAAAATTTTTGAATTTCCTTTGATCAATAGCCAAAAAAACAAATTTTTTAAAAAATTCGAAAATCGAAAGTATAATTAAAAAGTCGAAATCAAAATCGAAGGAAAAAACCTAAAAAATAGAAATTTCAAATCAGCTGGTTGACAGCAATGCAGAATAAAGAAGGAAATGTACAGAATATATGTCAATTAAAGAGAAGAAGAAAATAGTACTATTTATTTGTATTATTCTCTTTCTCATTTTTGCAACCCATCTTTTATTTTTAAATGAATTTTTATTTCTAAGAATAAAAATCTTGGAAAATAGGCACGTTATTGTTTTTTTGTGTATTTTTGGATGGGAGTTATTTAACTCCCAAGTAATAAACAAAGTGCACAAAGCAGGACCTGGCCAGGCCCGGATTTATTAAACATGACCCGTGCCGGGTTTTCGGACTAAAACTCCGAAAACCGCGAAATCGGTGCACTGTAGTTTCGTCAGAGGTTAGTTTCGTCTGAGGACATTTTCGTCAGAATCAGTTTCGTCAGAGGTCTTTTTCGTCAGAGAACAGTTTAAACAGAGGGTTGTTTCGTCAGAGATCAGTCTCGTCAGAAGTCTATTTCGTCAGTAAGGCCCCCTTTTAAAAATCTTTTTAAACGGCGGTTTTTGACTTATACTAGGTTTTTTGTTTCTGGATCGATTTGAACAATTGAGGTATCATTCGAAAGAGCTTAGAAAAGCTGATTTTTGGGATTTCTGGGAAAGCTGATTTTTCCGACTCAGCTCGAAGAGTTGAATCGGTTCGACAACTGAGCTTCACTACACTATTTTTAATATTCAGGAGTCTGTAACTCGGTTCAGAAATTTAAAATTCAACTTTTTCCACAACAAGTTCGACTCAGTTTTCAGAGCTCTTTCGATTGACACCTCATTTGTTCAAATCGATCAAGAAACAAAAAACCTAGTATAAGTCAAAAACCGCCGTTTAATCAGATTTTTAAAAAGGGAGCCTTACTGACGAAATAGACTTCTGACGAGACAAATCTCTGACGAAAAAACCCTCTGACGAAACTGTTCTCTGACGAAAAAGGCCTCTGACGAAACTGATTCTGACGAAAATGTCCTCTGACGAAACTAACCTCTGACTAAACTACCGGACACGGCGAAATCCGTTTTCCATCGAAATACAGGGCTCGGCCCGGTGCGAACTCCAAAATAAATTTAAAGTAAAAAATAAGATTTTTCTTATAAAAAAAGATTTCTCAAAAAAGATTATTAAAATAAAATCAATTTAAAATTACAACTCTTTCTTGTTATTTTGTAATTAAAAACAATCAAAAGTATATTTATTTTAATAATCACAGTTTTTATTAAAAAAAGTTTTTTTGGAATTCAAAAAAAATTCTTTTACTTTCCTTTATTTTTCTTTTTCATTTATTTTCTTCATTTCCTCCAAATAAATCATCAATTATTTGAAATTGTTCGGAAAATGGTGTTTTATTTATTTGATTCATTTCTTTCTTGCACATTGAAAATTCTTCATGAACATGCTTAATATAAAAAGTAATTAAAGGAAATTAATTTGTTTTTTTTTGTTAATTTGTTTTTATACATTTTTGTGAATTGTTGTATAAAGGATTTTGACGTATTAGGGAGGATATTTGAGGATTAAAGGGAATACCGACGATTTGCAGTGATTTGGGGAGATAAAGCCCCGAACCTAGACTTCAAATATTTTTTGCGAGTTATCTCCGACTCCTTCTCTCTCCCGCGATTTTTTTGCGAGACTACACGTGCCATATTCAGTTTTTAATTCTGAGAACTTTTTGTAAATTTAAAATCGCCCAGGATCAGGACTACCCAACTTTAAATTTTTGCTCTAAATAATTTTAAATAAAATCAAAATTACCTCAATAAATTTATTAAGTTTTTGAAGCATTGCAACATATTTAGTTCCACAATTAAATAACCCTCCCCCAATATATTGTCTTAAAAGATTGTTATTATTTAAATTTAATTTATCATTTTTTTGTTCATTCTTTTCTCCTTCTTGTTCTGATCTAATATTTATTTTATGATTTAATAGCTGTGAATTAACAAGTCTTTGTTGTTGATTATTTAATTTTAATGCAAAACAAAATTGAATTAGAATGAGGTAGAAAATAATTAAAAATATTGGATTATTTAAAAATAAAATATTTTTTGTATTTAATTTTGATTGAGACATTTATCTAAATATCTAAATAAATTAAAAATATTTTTTTATTTTCTTAAATTCATGGGTTTTAATCTTTAAGGATGTGGGATAAGCCACTTTAATTATAGAGAGTGCTGTATTTCGGAAAAATAATGCTTCTTTTATTAATCAAGATTTTATACAGGGTGAACCAAAAGTAACTTTCTTATATCTTTCTTCAAATTAAAGATTATGTGCTTAAATAATGCTTAAACGATGGATACTAACTAAGGAATAAGAATAAACAAGAATTTAATTATTAAAAACTACGGTTATTTAAATTAATTTTTAAAAATTTATTACAAATTTAATCTAAAGATTTTAAATGAAAAAACTTTTTAAAAATCAACAAACTAAATACCCATTAATTTAAATATTTTGTTAATTATTACGTTTAAAAAAAGAGGAGGAGACGAATTGTCAACGTAAAATAAAAATAATTGTGTGTTATACAATATACAATTGGGAATATATTTTTATTTATTATATTCTCAGATATGTGTTGGGTAAATTGGATTCGACTTTCATTTTAAAAGGTATCATTAGATACATGATGAAATAAATTTAAATAAAAAAAGAAAGAAGATAAAACTTTTTGTGTGTCTATATATTCTTTTTATGTTTAAAAAACGTCATTAAAATCTTGGAATTTTAATGTAACAATTTAAAAAATAAATTTAGAATATTTTAAATAATAATTTTAAAAGTAAAATGTTTATTTTATTGGAATTGAACTATATTTGAAATTAAATAAATGTTAATTTAACACTAATTTAAAATTAAAAGATTATTATGTATATTAAAAAATTTTTAAAAAATTTTAGTTTCAAGAAATTTTTAAATTAAATAGCAAGGTAAAACATTTTAAATACGTTGAGTTTGTATTATATGTATGTATAAGGGTTGTCACGGGCTGAGAAAAAATGTCGGTTTCGTGTCGGTTTTCAAAAATTTTTTTCAGATCAGGTTCAAATAACCTTTGATATACCTGGATTAAGACAATAAATAAACAAAATAAATTTATTAAAATATATATCTTTGGCAACACAACAAATTTTGAGTATGTATATTAAAATATTCACAAAAATTGTCTCAAAGTTCAACTTAACGAATTTAGAATTAATAGTTAGGAATAATCTTCAATGGAAGTCTATATAATAACTCGAAAGGGAATTATTCATCTAAAGGATATAATCCATCTATAGAATGGATTTCGGGAAGAGGAAAATTTCGATAGTTTGGAAATTTCGAGAATTTCGAAAAATTTCGATTTCCTTCCATTTTTACGAAGTTCCTTTGGCCAATACCCAATAAAGCAAATTTTTTCAAAAATACGAAAATCGTAAATATACTAAAAAGTCGTAATCAAAATCGAAGGAAAAACCCTCAAAAATCGAAATTTCGAATCAGCTCTGGTTGACAACAACGCAGAATAAAGAAGGAAAAGTACAGAATATTTGTTAATTAAATAGAAAATATTACTTTATTTTGTATTGTTCTCTTTCACATTTTGCAACTCATCTATTATTTATTAATTAATTTTTTATTTCTAAGAATAAAAATATCTACAAATCATTCCATTAATTGTCGCCTTTTAATTTTTGGATTGGAGTTAGATTAACTCCCAAATATATTTGGTGTTGTGCTTTTAGTTAAGTCTGAACTACCTGCACGAAACCCAAAATTTTTTAAGAAACGTTTTGTTAACATAATAAATAATATCCAGAATATAGACTGTCTTATCGTTCGAGAGATGAAACAAAAGAATGATAAAGTGATTTCAAAATGACAAAAGTGAGTGGGAAAATATTTTTAGGAATTTTAACTATTTTAAATTTAAAAAATTTATATTAAAAAATTATATTAAAAAAAATAAATTTAAAAAAATTTTAAATAATTTATTCAATACAAATTTAAAATTCATTTTCCAATTTAATTTATTTTGGCAACATTCCATACATTCTTTAAATCCTCTCTAATTTATATCCTTTCCTTTTACCAACTAAATATCTACATACTTGTTGCAGAATTATTAAAAATATTTGCGGGCATATTTGGATGTGTGTGATTCTTTAAATTCTTTGAACATTTTTCATTTCTTTTTTTTCCTCCACTTGTTTCTTTTGATGAAAGGCAACCTTTTTCGGCGCTGTTACGGATATAAAATGAGAAGAATTATATTAATCATATAAAGAGTATAATAAATCTTTTCCTCCAACTATTAACAATTAATATTTTTTAAAAATTACGTTAAGATTTTTTTTAATTTTTAAAAAATATTTTTTTGTTATTTTTTCTTAGTAAAATTTTTGTTTTTACTAAAAAATTTATTCTTAAATTAATCTTTTCCCGCTAAATTTAATGACGCAGATTGTACAAACAAAAATATATTAATTTCCGTTCAGAACATCTGCAACCTCAAGATTTTTTTCCACTTTAAAGTGCCAACTTCTCTTTAATTGTTTGAACAAAAAATAAAATTTATTTATTTACAATTATTTTCAGCTGCCCATTTTGACAAAATTATTTTTTCGAAAAACTTTTATTTATTTTAAGCAAAAACTTTAACAAAAACTTGTAGAAGGGTAAAAATGCAGTCCAATATAATTCCTATTACTGGTACTTTTTCTTAATGAATTTTGGATAAATAAAAAATATTAATTACTAATTTTTGTTTATCTTCAAGCAATTCATTTCGAAAAGCCCCGTATAGGTAGTATTAATTAATTAATATAGGCTCAGAATTCAGAAATCCTCCAAAATATCCTCTTATATTTAAAAAACAAAATAGTAAAATGATGTCATATTTTCAATAAATTTTTTAAACGTTTGTCAACTTTTCTAGTTACTTTTTTACTCCTTTCCTCTCTATTTCATAATTCTTCGCCCTTTTTACTGTTAATTTAGTTAAAAATTATTACCGCCACACATTTGCATTTTGGAAATGTTTTTAAAATATTTTGACATCATTCTCTTCTCTTTGTTTTTCTTTTATTATTAAATTGGTTATTGATGCCAGATGTTTTAATGAATAAAAATTATATTAAATGAAAAAATTGGAGGAAAATGGGGGACTTCCGATGATTACCTATAGCCTTTTTTCCCTTTCTTTTTTCCACTTTCTTTTTTTTCTTTTAAAACTAATTTATCAATTATTGCCAGTCAATTAGCTCTAATTTAATATATATAAATACTCAAAGTAAGTAAAAGGGCACGGCACTCTAAACTTTATTTGCTTGTCGGCATTTATTTTATTAATATTTTAACAGAACCATATTTTATTTTTTTAAAAACTTTTTGTTTAAAATTTTATTCTCAAATTGGAAAGAAAACTAATTTTAAAAATAAATAAAGAGTTAAATTTACAGTATCGTTAAATCTATGTTTAAATAATATTTTTATAGAAAATGCCTTAATTTCTATCAAGTTGTGATAAAATTTAAGTAAAAAGTACGAAAAAATCCCATCTTATATGTAAATAACACACGTTATTCTCTTTTTAAATTTCCAGATACTAATAGATTTTATTTGAGACATGTTATTAAAATTGAACAAAATATAAAGTTCTTAATATTTATAGATATAAAATTGTTTTTAAAAATATAATTTCTCCTTCAATGCATTCTACACCTAATAATTTTAATATTAATAATATTTCTTCTATATTTTATTTCCGAATTTTAATTGTCAGCATAATCGTTTTGTTTGGCACAGAATCTCGAACACTCTTCTCTGCTGAAAACAACATTTTTCTTTTTGAAAGAAATCGACGAAACGATTTAACATTAAATAGTCAAGAACAATTAATTAAAAATGATATTACTTCGAGTTGTAATGTTTATGATAATGATCAATTACATGGTTAGAAAATATAAAAATTAAATATCGTTTTTTAAATAAATATTCACAAAGATGGCTATTAAGCACTTTTAATCCTCATCGGTTAACCGAAACCGAACCGAAAATCTTCGGTTTTTCGGTTCGGTTCGGTTTGAAACCGACAACCTTGCTCTTGACTATATAGGGGTGCACATTTAACATGAATGCCTTAACATTTAATCTGCTCCCAACAAGCATTCTTTTCTTTAATATATTTATCAATATTAATTTATTTTTTCAGTATTAATGGACAGAATTTGCGAGCTTTGTCATGATATGTTTAGTCATCAACTGCCAAATACGAGAGCAGAATGCAGGTGAAAAAATTAAAAATTATTTATAAAAATAATTATTTTTATTATTTAAAGGTCTGATTGTTTTAGAAGTAATCATTTCAAAAAATGTTTACGATTATTTAAACCAATTGGGGATAATAATAGTAGAAGAAATTCTGAAAGAAATAAAAGATCATCATTAAAATATTTTTTGGTAATGAAATAAATTTAAAGAAAGAAGAAAAAAGAAGATATATGAAAAAGTATTGTTTTGATCTCAAAATAAACTCTTCTAGTAATTAGAAAATAATGAAAGAAAAGGAGAAGAACATTTTTTTAATTGTTGTATTTTTTTCATTTTTTTTTGCTTAGTATACATATGTAAAATATATTTATATATTCTCATGTGATGATATTTACAGGTGTAAAAGAAATAAATATTAATTAATAATTTTAATTGTTTTTTTTAATTACTTGGATAGGACTGGGATATTGGTGTAATACAGTTTTAAGTTAAAGTATAATATACTAAAACTTTTTCTTAATTTAAAATAGCGTAGACCCCGTCCCCCCAAAACCCCGACCCGGCGAATTTCTAGTTAAAAACCCCGGCCCGAACCCCGAAGGCTCTACCCTCTGTAAACCCCGATCCTCGACGATCCCGTCCCCGAAGGCTCGGGGTGCTACCCTAATTTAAAAGTTGGTTTTAAAACATAAAAATTTCTTTAAAAATATTTTTTAATTAAAAAAAGAAAATATTAAAATAACAAAAAATATTATTTATAATTTTCTAAACATTCTATGTATAACATTTAAGAATTATAGCTTTGTGAAAAAGCTGAAGAAATAAAAATTTAAAAATAAATTAACAATTAAAATCATTTTTCTGTTTACCAAAAAAAATAATTTAAAAATTAATTTATTTAATTTATTTTTATAAAATAAAAGAAAGTTTTCCCCTCAATGCCCATTTGAATTGTTCCCAATCAACTTTTACCCATTTTTCTGTATTTTCTTTTGTAATTATTTTACATTCATTTTGTAATTCTTCAATTGTTAAAATAATTCTTTTATTTCCATTTTTGTCAATTTTTTGAATAGAAAATTTATTTTCACTAAAAAAAGTTTATTTTAGGAAGTAAAAAAGAAAATAATTTTGTGGAGATTTAAAAAAGGCTAATAAACAGGTAAGCCTCCTTCCCACCCCTCACCCACAAAATTATATAATTTCAGAAGGTAATACTCTCAATTTAAGGTACCAACATTATTAGGGAATTCCTATTTTTTATTTCCAAAGATGTCTAGATGGCTACCCTACAACTCATCGAATCCTTAACTCATCGAATCCTCAACTCATCGAATCGGCCAAAAACACTCAACTCATCGAATCCTTAACTCATCGAATCCTCAACTCATCGAATCGGCCAAAAACGATCAACTCATCGAATTTTTCCAAAAGGGGACGTTTGAGTCCCCGTGTTTATTTTTTAGATTTTTTATTGTTTTGTTTATTTTTTTTTTGTTTTCTTCTGGGGTTTCAACTAATTTTGTTAATTAGTTGATCGGGCACTTATCCAAGTTTATCCGGCCAGTGAAAACATTATCAGAACATTATCTCATTCCTGAAAACATTATCTCATTCCTAATAAATTATGCTGGAGATTTTACCGGGTAAAACCGGACCAAATTAGTCCAGTAGACCCCGATTATGCCCAAAAGCCCTTTTTCCTAGCCTCCATAGCAGCAAAAAATTTTTTCAACGAAGATTCAGTTAGCCCTTTCGGGAGAAAAATAAAAACAGGGGACTCAAACGTCCCCTTTTGGAAAAATTCGATGAGTTGATCGTTTTTGGCCGATTCGATGAGTTGAGGATTCGATGAGTTAAGGATTCGATGAGTTGAGTGTTTTTGGCCGATTCGATGAGTTAAGGAATTTTAGCCGATTCGATGAGTTGAGCGTTTTTGGTCGATTCGATGAGTTAAGGATTCGATGAGTTGAGCGGGCACGGTCTAGATTTGTACCAAAATTAATTAATTTTTACTTTTCTTGGAATAATTTCATTCCAAAATCTTCACTTAAATTTAAAAGTTGTTTTGTCTTTTCAATATCATTAAATAAATTAAATAAAGGAAAGGACATTGTTTTTGTTGAAATATTTTCATTTTTAGATTTTTTTGGTTTATTTATTTTATTTAAATTTAAATTAATAAATTCTTTGGGTATTGGTAAATTTGTTGTTGAATTTCTGTTTCTAATTGGGCCATATAATTCATATTCCAATTTTCTTCTGAAATTTTTTTTAGTTTATTTTTATTTATTTTACCTTCCCGAATGGTCATGCTCTCCACATTCGTAAAGATCAATTAATCCATCACTAGGATTAAAAAAACTAAACATTTGAAAGGCACATTTAGTTCTCTTCCAAGTATTACATCTATATCTTATCTTTAAAAAATATTTTTTAATAAATATATAAATCGCAAATAATTCATAAAGACCTCGAACATTTTTTTGATTTCTCGAAACTTTATTAGCCCAAATTTAATCAGAGAAATGTGGGAAAAATTACAAAAAATTTCTAGCCTACTTAACAATGCTTTTTAACTAATAAATATATTCATTATCCACTCACTTTAACACCATTTTTAAGTTGTTCTGTCCGCCGCTTGGATACCTATAAAAATTATTTTTCAAGAAAAAAAACATTTTCAATTTTCTCTCAATATAATTTACTTTTTCTTTATTTCGAACACGATGCATTTCCTCTTCAGTCTCGAAAGTACCCAAATGAATCCATCTATTGCCCTTTTGTGATATTGGTTGTAAAGGTGGATGCCTAATTATTGTTTTAAAAGAACTGTTTTGTTTTTCCTCTTTTCCGTTTATTTGACTAATTTTACTATTTGTTGGATTTTCACTGGGGAAAGAAAGGAGAAATGCCGCTGCTGCTGCCACCGCCTCCATTTGTACTTTATTTTGTTCAATATCACTAAGGTTGTTAAATTCTTTTGTTTCTTCCCCTTCAAATCCATTAATTAAATTTAATTCTGGCGGTTGTTTTTGTTGATCAAATAATTTATTCATTCCTTTTAATTACTCAAAAAATAAGGAAATTAATATATAGTGGATATATAATTAGGGGATTTTATAAATCTCTTATTAGGATGAGTGAAAGAAAATAGAAAACTAAAAATACTTAACGTGAGAAGTGAAGGAGGGTTGAAAGCTAAACTGCTGTGTGATGGGAAGGGGTATGAAAAGCGGAGGTGGGGTAAAAAAGAGGGATCGATACATATCGGCCCTGGGTGTAAAAAAGCGCGGGTATATGAGCTTGACGAAAAGGATGTGGGGAAAGGATTGAAGAGCGGGCTATGGGAAATGTTGGTGGATAAGAATTGTGGATTGGAGGAGGCATTGTGAAGGGAAACTCAATGTGATGAGGTCGGAGAAGAATAAAAGAGATGAAAAGAGAAGGGTGGGTGGCAGGGATATGTGGGAGAATTGACAGATGGAGGGGTAAGCAAAAAAGACACCCTATTTTTGCGCCACCTTAACTACCAACCACAAATGCTACTAAAAAATATGGGTAAGATATTTTGAACTGCTAATTGCTGTCTCTCAAAAAACAAAAACTTTTTAGTTTCAAAGTGTGCGTGAATAAATTCTCCTCAATTTAAAGTTAAGACAATTATGAGATTATATTGATGAAAACCTAGGCAATTCTTTCCCTTCGGGTTGAGCCTCTGGTGGGGTCCAAATCGATAAGGGGACGGGTGGTTATAGAGGAACAACGTCGAAAAAGAGGCTAGTACTAGGTGGGGAGGGGAAGGGTGGCGGTGGGAGAATGAGCAGCGGGTGGGGTGCTCTGGGCTGGTTTGAAGGGGCAAAATAGCGATGACGGAACTATGAAATAAAAAGACTGACAAGTGAGAGGAAAGTGGAGGAAAGCGGGGAATATGAAAGCGGACGAGTTGAAGAATGAGTGAAGGTGGTTGGAGGTGCGCTAGCTGAGCGGTTGAAAGGAATGAGCAGCAGTTAAGGGGTAGCCGAGAAATGAGGGAGGATGGTGTGGCGAATTAGGATAAGAATAGCTGGACTAACCCCCATAACTAGTGGCTCAGTAAAAATAAAAAAACGGGGAGCAAAAGGTTCCATCAAAATATCCATCACATAATGGCAACTGGCTATTAAAAGCAACCTTTATTAATCTAAGTTTTAATCCTAAGATTACTTTGATTTTATGACTAAAAACTAAGCAAATTTTTCCATGATATTAAATAGTTACATGAAAAAGGTAGAAACTATACTTTTTTATTTTTATCAAAATAAAAATACTACATTGTTTCTATTGTAAAATATACTGGTTGTAAAAAAGGAGATAATTTATAATAGGGTTGTGATCCCAGATTTGTAAAAATCCAAAAATATTTAATTTCAAAAATAAAATCCAAAAGATCGTAAAAATAATTATTTTAGGAAAAACAACCCTAAATTTTAGTAGGAATATTAAGTATTTTAATTAAGTGAATATTATTTAAAATTGAAAAATTAAATAAGTAGATTTTATGTATTCAGGCAATTTTACTGTAATAGACCAACGGGAGCCAATTTAAGCCAAATATTGTTAATAAAATCAAATAATTCTTTAGATAATGAAACCTAAAAATAAATTTATTAAAAATTTATTTAAAAGATACTTTATAAGGTGTTGGATTTAATGGTCTAAGATGATCTGGACGTGAATTAACTAATGATTGGTGAGTATATTCACGTATTTCTTTTATATTTGGCAAAATTTGTTGAACAGAATTGTCTTTCCAATACTTTAAAAATAATTAATAATTTGAAAAAAAAATTAATTTTTACAATTTTATGAAGTCTTTCAACTCTGTGTGGAATAATATTTGCACGTCTAACAGGGTTGCATGGATGTATACAAAGTTTTACTTGACCAACTTTAGGTTCTTCATCATTTTCTAATATCATTAAATCAACCAATGGAAATCCTTAAAATATTTTTTATTAAATTAAGAGTAAAACATATGAAACTTATTATTAGATAAATAAAAAGAAAATGCAAAAAAAAACTATGAAAAAATTTATAAATTTAGTTCTTATTTGGTTTATGACTTAAAACGTTTTAATTTTTTATTTGAAAAAGCCTAAGTTTCTTGAATTACTTATATTTTCTTTCGACTTTTTCTAAAATAATTAAAAATTTAGTTAATCTAATTGCCGATAAAAACTAGTATGTAATATACCTCATTAATTGAATCCCTTTTAAAATTTAGCAAGGGAATGTTTCCATTTTTTAGGGACACGCCCAAAACAACGTGCGGCCATAACAACGCAAAGCCGTAACTTACTTCAAAATTTCCGAATTTTAACAATTTTGATATTAAACATTTCCTCTCAACGAGCTAAAGAGACTGGTACCAAATTTGATAAGGACCAAAAGTTTTCCAGCCAGTTATGGCTTTGCGTTGTTATGGCCGCGCGTTGATTTGGGCTGTACCCCATTTTTTATTTAAAAAACAAAGTCGAAACTTTGCAAGAAATCTTTTATCACAAAATTCAACCTCATTTTTAAGAATTTTACGAACATCGCGACTTACATTAGAAAGGAATTAATGGAATTGAATAATTATTTTATAAAACATCATTAAATATTTAAATTTCAAAATTATTTACCAGCCTTTCCATACAAACGAAATACACTTTTACGTCCAGGTATTGTCATCTTTGAAATATCTTCACTTATTTTAATTTTCGGTTCTCCATCTAAATCAACCAATTTATAAACACATCCAAGTGCCGGCTGTTTTTGACAAGTAACTAAATGTGTGCCGATACCAAAAGTGTTAATTTTATGTCCTTGATTATAAAGTGAACGGATTGTTTCTTCGTTTATATCATTTGATGCTACAATTTTTAAATTAGTTATCCAGTCAATTTTAAAACTAAAAATTTTTAAACTTTTAAAAACTACTAAAACAGAAATATAAAAATATTTAGCAAAATCAAACAAATTTTCTGACTAATGTTGTCGGTTCTGGACCGAACCGGATATCTTTCGGTTCAAATATCGGTTTGGCTCCGGATGTCCGAAAATTTTTCAAGAACCGACAACCCTATCCCTGACTATCCTACTATTCTATTGGTGAGGATAATGACATTTTGGAATGAATTAAATTGTGTCATTTTAGTCGAAATTCTAAAAATTTTAAAATTTTCACTTTCAAACCTTAGAATAGCTCCAATTTAAAATTTTTTGGAAGATTTTGTGGTATCCAACTCCGGATAAAGAAAAGAAGTACATAATCTTATCTAAATCCCATATCCTCATTAATTAATTTCAAAAAAATTTTTCTAACCTTAAAGCAATTAATTTAAATCTATTTCTAATTTCATTAGATAAATAAGCCAAGTCCCCACTATCTATTCGACAACCAATCGATTTATATCCAAAATCATTAAGAGCCAATGTTACTGCAATAAAGTTACAAAGACCACTTCTGAAAAAAATTTTTATTTAAATTCAAAAAAAATGCAAAAATTAACGCTGACAGACCCCATTTCTTCCTCCCCAAGTTTCTTCCTAAATATCTACGGAATGGTCAGACTTTTTCCTTTCTTCCATCCCTACAAACAATCAAAAGGAATTAATTTTTATTCTGCCTTGGATGGAAGAAAAATTGAAGAAGTCTGACCATTCTGCAAATATATAGGAAGAAACTTGGTGAGAAAAAATGGGGTCTGACATGTTCAATATTACCAAGATTTGATTTAAATTAACATTTTTATTTTCATTAGTAGATAATTTTAAATAAATTGAAAAAAAACCTCAATGTGTCATAAGTATCAATAAGAGCTACAAATGAATTTGGATGAGCAATAGCATAAGCACAAAAAGCATTTAATTCGCCAATATTAACTCCTTCTTTTGATATACCCCAATCAAACTATTTAAAATTTAAATTATTTTTTTAATTTAAACAAACCATTTCGAATATTTTTTCCAAATAAAATTTTGATATTTTTTGTAAATCTAATTTTTCATCTGAATCCTTTTTAATTAACTCTGATTTATTTAAAGGTTCATCTTTAAATGCAGTAACAAAAGAATGCGCCATTGTTCCAGAAACGGGAATTCCAAAAAGTTTGCCAGCCAAAAGATTGCTGGTACTGTCAAAACCTTAAAAAATTTATTTTAAAAATTTAATTAAGAAAAACCTCCAATATAACAATATTTAGATGCAGACAATCCTCCATTCGGACCCTGAGCTCGACGCAATCCAAATTCCATCAGTTCAATTTGATCACCTGCTGCCTGAATTTATTAAAAAATCAACTTAAATAATTTATTTTTACATAAATGACCTAGACTTACAAGGAGTGTCCGACATAAAAACGATCGAAACCGGGCTCATTCGATAAAGAATGTGCCCTTTCTAGCAAGGATTTTGAGCCGTTTTTGCCCGTTTTTGATCTGGCCCTCCCAGGTCCCAAAATTCATATTTGTTGAAAAAGGAATAAATAATGTTTAAAACAGTTCGATAAAAAAAATAAAACCCAAAACAGAATAGAACTTTTTAGAGAAAAGGAGTAACGCAAGCACACTCACCACTACACCACAACGCCGACAAAGTTAACTAATTATTTAAAGTTTATATTTGAAGGGGAAAAATTATGCCAAATTTTGGGACAAAAACCTTCACTTAAAGAAGTTTAACTTCAAAAGTAAATAAAAAATATTTTTCAATTTTAGGGGAAGACAAGAAGTCAGAAATTATCCCTCAATAAAATTTGTGAAAAATAAATTACAAAATTAAATTAACTAACCAGTCTAAATCTAGCAGCATTTGTAGTTACAAGACTAGCAAAATTAACCAAATTAAGCAAAGTCGTCTCTATTATTTGACAAACAGCCAAAGGTCCTTCCACAATAATTAAAGGAATTCTAGGAAAAACAATAGAGCCTTCGGGTATTGCCATTAAAATAATATTTTCGCAATTAAATTTTCGAAGATATTCAAAAAAGTTTTTGTCAGCATATGCCAATTTTTGTGAAATAAATTCCAAATCTTTTTTTAAAAATTATTTAAAAAACATTTTTATTTAAAAATAACCTGATTCTGTAAAATTAAAATTTTTAACAAAATTAAGACAATCCTCTAAACCAGCAAAAATTGTAAATTCACCCTTAAAATTAAAAAAAAAATTTTTAAAATTAAAATAAAACAAAACCTCAAAAGGATTTTTTCTAAAAAATAATTCAAAACGAGCTCTTTTATTGTGAATTCCTTGCTGCCAATAAGAATACGCCTTTTTTGAAAAATATTTTTTAAAAAGAAATATTTAATAAAATTAATTACCATATTTAATTGATATTCGTCAGTAAGAAGTGCTTGGACTATAGTAGAACATTGACCATTGGAATTAATTAAATTCATTTTTTAATAAATAAGAAAAGTAATAAATATTTTTGATAAAAGTTTTGCTTATCAACAAAACTAAAAATGTCAATAAAAGGCTCAAAACGGTGACACGACAATTGTAAAGAAAGACAATTGCACAACGGACAATTGTGCAGTGGGCACTATGGATATATCGGCTCCTAAACAAAAGATCGATTGCTTAAAAGGTAGATTGATGAAAAGGTAGCGCGGCCAAAATCGATCAAAAGATCCACTCCAAAGATCCACTCCAAAACTTTTTGAGTAAATTTACAAACTATTGTGTGATTAACGGCCTTCAATCTCATTAAATAAATGCAAATCTCTCCACATTGGTTCTAAAAATCCAAATCATGAATATTCCCTCCACCAATCCCAAATACACCGAAATCTGGGTGTCCATTTCACATCTGTCACTCTCATTAGATTGCTCAAAACATAAAATCCTAATTTTCTTATAACTCTCTTTAAAATTTACATTCTTCCCATTCTTGAATTTAAATCCCCTATTTTCAACCCCCACCTACATAAAGATATACTTTCCCTTGAAAATGTTCAAAAACAATTTCTCCAAATTGTTTATCTGCATTCTGGAAAAATTAAAAGCTAAAAACAATTACCTGTCACAAACTCCTCAAATTGTTTCAACTTACATTATCGCCTAAAATCAATCCTCCTATTTCACAACATTCTCTCTGGTAAACCAATCATACTACCACCTCATCTCATTTTGCTCAACTATTTTTTTATTAAAATCCCAGACACTCCCTAATAACAATTCAAAAAACTTCCACCGATCTATTTCCTAAGCTCTTAAATTCCATCAACCTATCTTTTATTTTTGACAAAAATTTATCACGTAGAATTTACTTAATTATTTCTTTATTGTTTTTTTTATTAAATTTTTTAACTAAAAAATTTTTTTTTCCTCTTAATTGATTTCACTTTTAATATTTACTTTATTCTCTTTTATATATTTAATACTTAAAGACTTAAAAATATTTATGTATTACTAAAAACGTTATTCTCATTTTAAAAAGACTGTTGCCATGAAACAACAAATTATATCTATCCAAACAATTCCACAGCAAAATTCTGAGGCTTTACATAATATTTTATTTCCTAAAGGTTAAAAGTTTTGTTAAATTAATTAATTATCTTAAAATATCATAAAATAATTAATTACTTTAATTAAAAAATTTTAATATTTTTTTTGGGAAAAATAAAAAAATTCTACATTTTTATGTAGTGGGAAAAAATAAAAATTAAGGAAATAAAGCTTAATTTAATTTAAAATTATACCTAAAAATTTAAAAATAATTTTTTAATTAATAAATAACACTTTTCAAGTTCAACAATTAAATAATTCGAATGAAATGGTTGTTAATGATATAAAACAAAATATTGTTTGTTCATGCCTTTCTCAGTTAGAACAATTTTGTTTAAAGTAAATAAATAAATTTATAAAAAATAATTAAAAATTATTTTTCTTTAAAGAAAAGAAAATATAATTCAAAATAAACAAGAAGAAATTGAAGAAAATAATAACAATAATATTAACAGCATTTCCCCCTTAGCTTTTCATTCAGATATTGGAAGAATGATTTATACAATATCTATTTTATTAATGGTTATTTTAGAAAAATATATATTTAAATTAAATTAATTTAAAAGTTTTCATCAGTTATACTTCTTTTAATGATTCGTTCAATTCGCCGTTCCTGGTCTACTGTAGAAGTTTTTATATTTAATTTAAATTAAAATTAAAAAAATATTTAAAAAAAGGTGGAAACTCTTCTCGATGCAATGAGGTTTCGAGAAGAATTAGATTTACAACAAAGACAGAAAAAACGTTTAAGGAAAGCAAAAAAGAAAGTAATAAATTTACCTATTTGTTTATTTTTTATAATAAAAAAATAGGTGACTGCTTGGCTTTGTAGAGGAAATACTTCAAAAATTTGGAAATCATCTCCACATATTTTACTAAATTGTAATAATTCAAATATTGCTCGAACAAATTCTGTACAGTAAGTTTTTTGAAAGGAAATAAAGATTAATTTATAAAATTAAAATAAATCTAAAAATTACAAATTCCAAAAGAAAATTCAAAAATAAACGAAATTATTATTTAAATAATTTTCTAATATCAGGACAGGACCAATGTTTGAAAGCTAGTACCAAAATTCATACTCGTACCTGTGTACGAGTACAAGATAAAAAAGACCTGTACGAAAGTTCGAACAATTTTCAAAATTCCAAACATCGGACAGACTCATAAATCCTTTAATTTCATACTTTTCTTAATTTTATAGTTATAAATTATTTAAAATATAAAATAGAAATTTAAAAATATTTCCCTTTTATTTTTCAAAGGTCTTCAGGTTCTTTTATTCCCGAAATTGTAATTAGCGAGCATTTACCTTCCCCAACTTCTGGAGGACCGCCTGATCTGTTGAGAGGGCTTGAACGTCAAAATTCATATACTCCTTCTTTGTCTCTTCTTTACGACTTTTCATCCCGCAAAAATTCACAAGTTCTCTCTCAATCGGTTAAAATATATTTATTTTTTTAATAATTAAAATAAAAAATTAAAGAATGAAACAGAAAGCGGTCGTCACAGTCAAATGTCTACATTTAGTTGTTCTAGCTCTGGAGGCGGACAAAAAGATTGAGACTAAGAAAAAATTTTAAAAAATATTAAAATTTTTGTACATATTTTCCTGTACATATTTAAAAACAAAAATAAAAAATTATTTTTTAAAAATTATTTCACTTTTAAAATTCAATAGCCAGCAATGTCAGCTTATTTTCAATCACAACCTTCCACTAAAAAACGATGATTTATTTCCTTTTTTCAAACAATTATTTTAAAGGGCGGTACAATTTTGAGATTTTTTTCTTAGTCAGCATTCCCTTTTAAATAAAAATAATCATTTCTGATATTTAGATTTTTTGTCATTTTTTTTAATTTAAACGATCTTTTAAGTTAACATTAATTTTATAAATAATTATGTGGATTCTCGCATAAATTAAAATAAATTTTAAAAGTCAATTCAATATATAATAAACAATTGCTAATTTACTTAATTGTTAATTATAAAAATAGTTATTGCTTTTTCTGTTTATAAAATTGACTAGTACAAAAAAGGGATCACTGATCTTAATTTCTATATTTTTTTGAATTAAATTTAAAAATTCAATTTTAAATTAGGTATTCTAAAACCTAACATAAGTTTAATTTATTGTTTTCAATTTTAAATTAAACTAGTATGTATTTTTTTCTTATTTGTCCAAACATCTACTAATCTTTAATAAACTACTTTGATATCTGAAAATATTGAAAGGCTTATTCTTATATATCCATTTTTATCCTTTCTGCAATTTATCATTTTTAATTAAAAAATATTTTTTACTAAATAATTTTAAACAAAAAATTATACTATATAGATATTTTTTTAAAAATTATTTTTGTAAATATTTAAATGGAAATTAGACATCAAGAAAATAATAAAAATAAAACAAAGTGGTTTTGTAATTCTTTGTTAGAAGCTAAAGATTCTATGGCTATAAATCGTCAACAGCAATGGAAAAGACCGAATAAAGCCCTTTACAAAATTAAAAGATCAGCAAATCCTTTAGAACGTTTAAAGGTTTTTTAATTAATTAATTAATAATTTAAAAAAAAATTATTTTATTTTTTAGTTACAATTTAGTAGTGAGAAAAAAATTGAAAAAATTAAACAAAGCAACAATGCGGAAATAAAAGAAAATAAAAATATTGAGAAAGAAAAACATCAGAAAGAAAAATAAAAAAAGTTTTGAATGTCAAAAATAATTTAAATAAATTTTTATTTTCTCCTTAAATTTATTTTCAAAATTATTTAATTTTATATTTTACTAAAAATTAAAATAAATTTCTTAAAAATAAATTTCCTTCAATTATTAATTTCTTTTAATATAAATACACCAATTTCCTTGCTCATATTCACTTCTTTCTATTGAAAAACAAAAATCAGAATTAAATAAAATATTTTCAAATAAACTTTCCAATTCATTAAATTGAAAAACGTGATAATAACGATATCTTTTAAATTAAAATAAATTTAATTTGTAAACCCTTTCTAGCTTTTCCCTGTAAAAATTAATTACCTAAGCACATTTGTTTGTAAAAATTTTAATTTAATAAATGCTTCATTTAATATAGATTGTGTAATATTTAAAGCAAAATTGTCTATTTCTGTTATATTATTTCCATAAGGATTTTCACCTCGCACTTTAAATTTAAAAAAATTTTAGTTTAATAAGTCCTTCCTTTTACAAAAAAAATTAAAAAAACTTCAATTAATAAATAAAATTATTTTTAGAAAATTTTTCCCAAAAAAATAAATTTAAAAAATATTAATCAAACATCGATTTTGCCGGACCCGGATTTCGGAGTTGTAACCGGATTCAGCCGGACTTTTCCGGATTAATCCCGTTTGGTTTTAATCCGGTAAAATTATCAGTCTTTTACCGCTTTTTGCCCGTGCCAGTCTTTTAACCCCCTTTTGGCCGTTCCGGTCTTTTTTACACCGGTCTTTTGTACATACACGCAGAATATTTGTTAATTAAAAGGAAAAAGAAAATAGTACTATTTTTTGTATTGTTCTCTTTCTCTTTTTGCAACCCATCTATTATTTATTAATAGATTTTTCATTTCTAAGAGTGTTTTCTCATTAATGACAGTTGCTGACTAAATCGGTTTTCGTATTTTTGGATGGGAGTTGTTTAACTCCCAAATAAACATTATTTTTGTTATTTTAGTTAGTTATTAAATAATTAATTAATTTAAACTTACAATTAATAAAAGTTTTTGTTTCAATTTCTTTAATAATATTTAAAAATCCTTCTTTTAATAATTTAAATATTTGTTTAATTCTTTCTTTAAATAAAATAAGTAATTGAATAAAATAATTATTGGAAGATTTTGATGGTTTAATTGATTTGATATAAATTGGTATAGAATTCTTTAAAAATAAATAAATTATGAAATTAACAAATCTACTCAAACCCTCTCAGATAATTATTTTTTATTTTATACTAATCTTACCAAAATTATTCTTTGTTCCTTTGTATTAAATTTATTAAAAGGAATTTCTCTCAAATATCCTTTTTAAATTTAAAATATATTTCAAATATATTAAATACAACCTTTAATGCAAAGTTCTTCCAAATTATAAGGAACAAGTATCTATGTACATATTTAATTTTAATACAAAAAATAATTAAAATAACTTACATCTGAAGAAGGAAATTCTAAAAATTGTTTTTGCTCTTTAGCCCAAACAACAATTAAAATATTCGATAATTTGGGCAAGGATATTAATAAACATTTTTTAATACAATTTATCCTTCTTTGCTTTAAAAATTTTATAATTAGTATTTTTAGAAATAAATAATAATATTTTTATTTTAATATCAAGAAATTTTAATTTAACTTTAATTTACACATTGATTTAAATGATTAAATTTTTACAAAATTAGTATCCTATATTTTTATCACGAGTCGGGCTAACTCAAGGAACAAACAAATCAAGGTCTTGAAAAGCCAATGTCTTACCAACTCACGAAACGACCAAATCATGGAACTTTCTGCATTTTTTCTATTGTGTCTGCATTATTTTTAAAATCAAAATATTTTTTAGCTCGCGAGATACTTTTCCATTTTTACTTACTTCAACAGGGATATGGTGAAGAACAGAAATAAGCAGAATTGCATCGAAAACGCCCTCTCTGATTTAAAAAAAACTTTGAAAATAAAATTTTAATTTAAATTTTATTACCTAAAAGGTAAATACATTAAATTAGAAAGTAAAAAATTTGAATTTGTTGATTTTTCTTTTCTTTCAACTGGCAAACAAATATCTATTCCAATTGTAAAACAATCTTGACGTAAATGTATATGCTCACCACAACCTTTTTGTTTAAAAAGTTTTTATAATAATATTTAATTTTTAAACTACTTTTGTCCCAATCGAAATATTTTTTAGACATTCATCGGTTTACAAAAAAAAACTTTTATTTTTTTGGAAGGTTAACAGTTATTATCCCTGATATCTGCAAAACAAACATACCAATATCCAAAATTAAGGAATTTTGTGGCAAATTTTTAAGAAAGCTTGTAACAAAAGACAATTTTCCCCGATATTTATTTGCTAAATTTAATTCAGAATATGCTTTTCGTACATAATTCTCCTCCAGACGAACAAATTCCATATTTATAGTTATCGGATTGTTGATGAAATAAAAATTATAAGTAAAATAAAAAATGAAACTTTTGAAAATAATAAGTAAAAGCACTTAAGTTGCCGTGGAAACATTAAAAGTAATGAACGGTAATTGAACGTATAAATTAACAACTACAAAATTTAATGTAGAAGCGATGTTGCTGATTATCAATTGTACCGAAATTATGAATAAAGCAAACAAGAAGATCGACAAAAAGAGAATTATAGAGCTAATAGTATGAGTAGACCAAGGAACTAGTACTATAGAAGAGGTTTATATCGAAGATTTCACATTAAAGATTCGAATTTTTCAAGAACTCTAACACAAAACTCTCTCAAAACTTGTTCGTTATAATTACTTTAAAGTTTCGTGATAATTATTCCCTTCTAATAAATTGTCTTTAATTACATCAAGGGAGCTATAAAACAGCACATATTCCAAATAAATTTAAAAATTATCAACCACTTTCATATAGACTACATTCTATTCCAAAAACCCCTTGCTAATTCTCTTACATTTATTTTAAATAAAAAATTGAAAATTTATAAAAATAAAAAATTAAAGTCTTAAGGAAAATTAAATTAGCAGATTAAAATTTAGTCAACTTAAATTAGGTAATTAAAATTACTTTCCACTATTCCATTTTACCTTCATCATTTACTTCATTGTTATTAATTAATTGCTCGTTATTTTCCTCTTCCCTTTCAGTATCAGTTTTCTCTTCATTTGTTTGGTAAGAAGGAGGTGTTTTGCTAATTATTAGATCATTAAGTATTGGATTAGCACGTTTATCAGCATCTTAAATTTTAAAAAATTTTTGAAATTTCTTTTCAAGATAAACCTAATTTAGCTTGAATTGCTGCCTGTTTCTGTTCAAAAAGTTTCCAACTTGTCAATAAATTTTCACCATATTCGTCAGCAATTTTGTTATATTTTTCTTGGTCTACATGAGGTTTGTCTTGACATAATCTTTTTATATTTTCCGAATGAGCTTCTGAAACTTCTTCTATTGCGCTCTTTCTTTGATTAAATATTTCTTCTAATTTTGCCAATTCATCATTTAATTTATTTTGATGTTGTTCTAAAGATTGGCTTTGCTTTCGAAAATGTTCAATTTTTTGTTGCGGGACAAATGTTCGGGAGTCGGGCATATAATTAGGTGAAAATAATTCTGCCATTAAACGGTTGTTTCTATCTAAAAAAAGAAAATTTTGAACAAAACCTTTCTTTACAATTACCATAACGTATAGCAGCCATTCTCTTCCCAGCCATTTCCAAAGGGTCTTCATCATCCACAGGTTGAATAAACACTCCAGAAAGAACATTTGCTTCTGGCATTAATTTTCTGTTAGAATTAACACCACCACTGCCAACTTTGTCCTGTTGTGACCCTTTAACTCGACTTTTGGAGGCCATATATTGGGCATAAGTAGCGTTGTAGTTTTTCACAGCCTCCTCATATTTTGACTAAAAAATTAGCTTAATAAAAATATTTCTAATAAATTAAAACCTTCTCAACTTCATATTCTTGTTGATATACCAATTTCTCAGCAGGAGGTAAATTATTCCAAAGTTGGCCAATTATTCTTCCAAAATCCCATAGAGGACTGTCCGGATTCTCTGCCCGTACTTCTGGCCAGACTTTTTTACTATAACGCATATAAGGGGTAAGTGGACGATCGGGCATTCTTGGAGGACGAAGGAGAGGGTCCTAAAGATAAAAATAAAAAAGTTCAAAATTTTTAGAAGACCTGATTACGATGAGGAGTTGAACGATACATAAGTAAAATTGGATTTATCAAATTAAAATTAGTTGAAAGTCAAAATCTAATAAAATAAATAATTTTATGAAAAATTTTTAAAAAATATTTTCAAAACAAAATTAATTTTTTAAAACAAAAAATATTTAAATATATCAATATTTTTATCAACCTATAAATTTAATTTCTAACAAATTTTTATTATAAAGAAACAGATTTTTGTCCATTTTTACATTCTTTTACTTCAGGAACACTTGTCATTTTTATTTCTTTATTTATCACATCATTAATATTTTCTTCTTCTTTTTGTTTGTCAATTGAAGAAAAATCTTTCAAATTTTTCTTCTCATCTTCAATCCCAAATTCAGTTCTCTTATCCATTTCTTCAATAGAACTTTCATTAGAAGCTTCTCCTTCTTGAATTTCCAAAGGTTTTTGTTGTTTTGCTTCCAATTCAATTTCAGCTTCAACCTTCTTTTGCTGCTCTTTAAGTTCAAAAGCTGCTTCAGCTTCTTTAGCACGTTGAATTTCTTCAAGCTTTTCTTCTTTCAAAGACAATTCAATACTTCTCAAAACCTCAATTTTAGTTTTTGGATCATCAATTCCTTCAAGTTCTTTTAATTTTAAAGTTGTATGTTCTCCAATCTCTTCAGGAAGAGAAGCAATAATTGAACGAAGTCTTTCAGTAAAATTAAGCTCTTCAGGAAAGAACATGGCACGAGACAATAATAAAAGTGATGGAGGTACTTTGTCATCCAAAGATAATTCTAGCCATTGTTTTAGCTATAAAATTAAAAAATTTATTAAATTAAAAAAAAATAAACCTGATCTTGTAATCTTTTTTCAGTAACTCCATAAGCACGCATTCCCCTTGCTTTATTTGCTGCTTGTAGCTCTTTTATAGATAACATTTCAGCTCCACCCTCCGCAGCAATTAACTAAATAATAATTTAAAGATTTTTGAAACCAAAATTCTTTTAAATAAAATTTTAAAGTTTTCTATCATTGTTGTGTCAGATTTCCAAGTAAAATTAATTTCCAAACCCAAGTTGTATAAAATGCCACTTTTAATAATTTACCCTATCATCAGCTTGCAATTCTTTCAATTTCATTTGAAGTCTAAAACGCAATATTTCTTTTGTTCCAATCCTTGCAATTCCCAAAAGACGACATAAAGCTTGTAATTGAGAATCATTTAAATTATCCAATGTCAATTCATCCTCAAATAATTTTATGAATTTAAAAAGATCCGCATTCGTCACATAACCATCTTCTTGTTCTCTAACCTTTAAAAATTAATTTTTAAAAAATTATAACAACAAAAAAACCTTTTTCAAAAATTGTGAAAATTCATAAGCTTTTTTCTCATCCAAAGCCTCTTCAATTTTCTTCTCGTTAATTTCTGCAATTTCATCTAAAGTGTTTCTAAGAAATTTTGCAGCTTTTAATTTAACTTTAAATTGACGTAAATTACTTTCATTCTAAAAATTTTTTTATATTTAAAGGAAAATAATTTTAAAAAGAACCTCTTTAACAAATCCATGAAAAGTAGAAGGCAACATTTGAGGGAAAAATTTGATATAAAAAGGAATGAGAAAATCCATAAATGGCACAATTATAAATACCATAAATGGTGCCAAACGCAAAGTATCAGCAAGTGTTGTAAAAAGCTTTTAAATTTTCTGATTAAGAAGGCAATATTTAAAGAGGCGGAAAAAGTGTATAACAAATAATCCAAAAATTTGACAAAATGAGTGTTAAAAATACCTGATTTCTTTCTCTTCGAGTTAATGATCGCCGCTTCAATTTTCTCATATATTTTAAACTAATCGAAGCTTCTAGGAAATATAGACGCAACCCATGCCAAGTATGCACAAAAAGGTCACGCACTAGGTACCAAAGTTTTGGTCCTATGTACAAAAGTTTTTTGGGGTTCTTGAAGTGGTCAACAATCAATTTGCCAGTCTCCACATGCCAAGGTCTACTAACCGATTTCTAAAAATATTATGGTAATTTGGGTAAATGTAATTACTGGTCCCGAAAAAATGTGGAAGAAGTGCTTTTTTGATATCTTTGAGGGTTGCCAGTAGGTAATCGAGTGTGCTGAGTCCGAGTTCGACTAACATAAGTCGAATTCGGGTTCGGGGTTTAAAATGAACAAATTCTAAGCTCAGATTCGGAACCAGTACACTCGATTACCCACTGGCATGCCTCAAAAATGTCTAACTAGCGCTTTTTCCTCATTTTTTTCTAGGGACCAGTAATCTTTACATTCACCGGTATTTGTATTGTCTGTTTAGTAAAAAAACCTTGGGTTCATCAAGTTGTTGTATTTCAACTTCTTCACGAAGTCTTTTCACAGTTCTTTGTATGTCGTCAAATCCTTTTTTATCTGTAGATGAAAAACGTAAAGACAAAGGACCACACAAATTTAGCCGTGGAAAAACAGCTTCATTTCTTAAAAAAAATTAACAGAATAATTATTTAGAAAATAAAAATGTTTAACCTCAAAAAAGCGCCCACTCCCCTTGCCAAATATCTTGATTGTATATGTAACATCAAATTATAAAAATAATTATAAAAACATTCTATCTAAATAAAAATTAAATCAATAATTGAGAAAATTAAAAAAACAAAATTATTTAAGTGGAAAATTCAAAGCCATTAAAAGTATTCAATCAAAATATTTAAGGGAAAAATCATACCACAAAAAAATCAAAATTTTAAATTTTTATAAAATTTCATTTAAATAACTGCTTTAACAATATGAAAGACAAAAATGCAAAGTTTGAGGGATTGTAAAAACAATAATGAGGAATAAATAAATATATTTTGCCAAAAATGACTTGATTGTGATAATATCCGGGTGAGTAGAATATTTAAAAAATTTTATTCTTTCATTTTTTGTAATGCAATAAAATTACAATTAATATTTGAAGTTGAAAGAATAAAACTTTTAATTTTATAACAATATGTGTATAATAAAGCTTTGAAAGGTTAATTTTTATATAAAAATTTCTAAAGGAAAATTTTGGATTTGTTTGTCAATAGGCATTTGATAAAATGTCTTCATTGCCTTTCCAAGGACCGAATAACGAAAATAGGCCCTCGTAAATTTTGGCCATTTCTCTTCATCGACTTTCTTAAAATTTTTTACCCGCAATATTTTTGTTGTTACACAAATAAAATCTCCAGATTCTGAAAAATGTAGTTGGAAATTAGTCTTCGGATTTTCCTCCTTGAAAATTAAATGATTTCTGTATTTTCTTGGTGTACTAAATTTAAAAAAATTAACAAAAATATTTTTAATTAAAAAATTAGGAAGGAGTCTTTCAACATTTTCCCTACCTTTCCTCATAAAACAATAAAAAAATTTAACATACAATTTTTGCAAATAAATAAGCATCAAATCATTGGCTAATTCATCCAATCTCAATTCATTGTGAACATCAAAAATTGAAAAGTTCTTTTCAGCACTTTGACAAGCAAATTCTTCATCATTTGGTTCTTCAATTTGTGGATAGCCAAATTGTTCTCTTATTGTTGGAAAAAATGCTTCTACACAAATTCCTCTAAATGCCCAAATAAAACTTAAATTGCAAAATGGCCAATGAAAGTTCAAAATATTTCCACTTTTGCTACAAGAATATTGAAATTTAACAATTTCTCCATTAAATGTTTGATCAATAATTAATGTAAGCTTATTGTTAGTTGATGTTGTTTTGGAAGAAATATAATAAGTTTCCAGGAAACACAAATTATCTCTTAAAATTAATAAAAAAATTTTTTATTTAAATAAAAACCAACATTAACGAATGCCATTTTAATCCAAATTCATTGCAAACTTGACTCAATACTTGAGAACGAAGCATAACATTTTCACAATTGATAGTCGGCAATGGAGGCTGCCACTAAATTAATTTAAAAAATACTAGATAATCACAAAAATATATATTTATACTTCATTATCAGCGAAATTTTCACCAGTAGCCGCCAAATGATGTCTGAAATAAATTTAACGTTTTTAAAAATTTCGCAGTAATAAAATTATAATGAGCCTTCATGCATATAACCCAGTTAATTTTAAAACTACAATCTAAATTTTTGCCCTAACTTACGATTCAGCATTATTTGTTCGTTCCTTGTTCTTATGCTGACCACGAGCCATTGAACGAGTTTGCATTTTAAAAGGCTCCAAAGCATCTAAATAATCGTCCTCTGGATAAAATTGTGGATCAATTAACTTCGACTTCTTCCTTTGTAAAGGTTTTTTAGCGCAATCCAAATTCTTCTATAATAATTTTGTAACAAGATTAATTATTATAAAAAATACAAACTGGAGTTTTTTGAAGAATTGTCACATTTTGGTTTGAGTTCGAATGTCTTAAATATAAGTATAAACAATAAAAAAGCTAATAAAATAATTAAGCTAATTTAAAAGCATATTTTTTCTCTGACTCACTTTTCGATAGCATTATTTGTTCGTTCCTTGTTCTTCTGTTGACCACGAGCCATTGAACGAGTTTGGATTCTAAAAGGCTCTAAATCATCTATATAACGGTCCTTTGAATAAAATAGTCGATCATTTAACTTCGATTTCCTCCTTTGTAAAGGGTTTTTAACGTACTCCAAATTCTTCTATAATTAACAAGATTTTGCAAAGATTATAGAGACAAACCGGAGTTTTTTGAAGAACCGTCACATTTTGGATAGACTTAGAATGTCTTAAATATAAGGATAAACAATAAAAAAGCCAATTAAAGAATTAAGCTAATTTAAAAATATTTTTCTGACTTACTTTTCGATAGCATTATCTGTTCGTTTCGAGTCCTTTTGTTGACCACGAACCATTGAACGAGTTCGCACTCCAAGCTCTAATTCACTCGAAAATTCACTTGATTCTTTTTTACAAACGTATAGTTTATCAATCATCTCCCTCTTCTAAATAAATAAAGAAAAACTTAAAAATAAAAAAACACAAACCGGAGTCTTTTTAAGAATCGTCCCATTTTTGTTAGAGTTCAACTTCATTTTTATTTCTAAAAGAAAATGCCTTTTAATACCCCCTTAAAAAAGCTTTAATAAATACATTCTCAATACATAAATCCAAAAAATATATAAACAAAAATTAATGTGAAAAAACAAAAAATTTAAAAAATTTGTTTACCCGTTTATTAATTAATCAAAAATTTTTAACGAGAAAATAAATTATAAAAACGTTTAAATATTTTTTGTTTAACTGTTAGCATAGATTCCTGTTCATTTTCTAGCAACTTCTCTTCTTTAGGGAAAAGTTTCATTCTAAAAAATTTTTTTTATTTTAAATATTAATTTAATATAAAATACAATTTTGTACTCAAAGCAAATATATTTCCATAAAAAATAGCAATTGTTGAACAAACAAAACAAATTACATTAAATGGCATACTAAAATCAGGCACAGGGAGAAGAATAAGTAATGGCTCGCCAAATATTTTTTGATTTGCTGATTTGTTTGTAAATGTACTAAAAAATTGAAAAATTGTTTGTGAACATTTTTTTCCTTAAAAATAATTTTTTCGAACAATATTAAGAATTTTTCAATAATTTCAGAGAAATGCAAAGCAACTTAATAACAAACAATTAAAAAAATATTTTTAATAACCTAAAAAGAGACAAATTTGTTGAATCATCCTGTGAAATTGAAAGAACAGCGCCAGGAACATGAATACCACTATTAGCATCTGGAGGAAATTCTGATATTCTAAAATTAAATTTTTAAAAAATTTATAAAAAAAGGTTATAAAAAAACTTTAAAAACGCTGCTTCAAATTCAAATTCAATTTTACATTTGGAATTTGCCGGTAATAAAATATTCAATTCAATAAGTAAAGGCCTCATTCCATCCCTTGCAAGCGTGTATTCGCCAAAGAAATCCATAGACTCTTTCGATTTATTTGAACAAACAAATGTCAAAGTATGTAGAAATACACGTATTTGCCAGGGAATCATTTGCATAAATCGAGCGTTGAAAGAATGTTGGAATGGATTATTTATTTGAATACAGATACGGCCACCAACTTGACTGACACTCTTCAAGAATGAATGTAATGAACTTAAAAGTAGTAAAAATTAAATTTATAACGAAAAATAAGTAAAAAATATTCAATGAAAAGTACATTGTTGGAGAATGTGTATAGTGTTCCGTATTGTCAACATTTGCCAAAAAACGAAATTTATTTAGATTAATAGACGAATTATTGTTTAAGTCAATAATCAATAAATTAGAATTTTGTGAATTTTGAGTGATGACAAAACTTGGAAGAATTACATCAAAATATTTGGACTAAAAAATTAAAAGATAAAAAATATTTAAAATTAACAAACCTTTTTAATTAAAAGCTGACTTTGAATGGAGACAGGGCAACGCAAAAATAATTTAGAATTAAACAAATTTTGAAGAGTAAATTCTAAAAATAAATGTTTCTTTCTCGAAAAATTAAAAAAAACCTTTAAAAGATTGATAATTATAAACAGTTTTTGAAATAAGATTTAAATGAAAATTGCCAAAATGTCTGTTCTGTTTGTTCATTTCTATAGTAATAGAATGAAATCTAGTGGAAAGAAGAGAAGTTGGCTTTAAAAGAGAAGCAAGTCCACTCTTTAAAAAATTTGCATTAGAAATTATAAGTCTACATTTTTAGAAAAAAATTTACCTTTTTACAAGGAAGTAACCTTTTCCACGATTGTAAATTCTCAGTACAGACAGATTCCCCTCCAAGCGACCCATACCACCAACCATCATTAAATTTTGGTTGAACACTGAATTGTGGTAAAAGTCCCAAAATTGAGGTACAAAATAGTCCATTAATTAAATGTATAAAATCATGCCATTTTTGATATGTACTAAAAATGATTTTTCTAAATTTTACCTAAAAAATATACTTTTTTGTTTTGTCAAAAAATTTAACAGATAATTCAGTTCCACTAGCCACTCCAGTATTTACATGTTGATAGCCCCACAAATTCGTTCGCCAAAATCCTTGAGAAATTGTCAATTTAAAATTTTCTAGAAAAAATTGTTCAAAAAGGTGAAGAAAAAGCCAAGGCATGTAAATTGAATTGTCTAATAAATTTAATAACTTTAAATTAAAAATTAAAATAAAACCTTCATTATTTTGTTGAGATAATGTAAAATTAAAAATTGTAATTATATCACCATTATTTAAAGGACTAACAAATAGATTCTCAGCAAAAACCTCTTTTGAAGGGTTTACAGGAAAAGGGATAGAAATAAATAATAAAGTAATTAAAATCAAAAGCATAAAAAATATCTAAAAAATTAAAATAAAATGAAATATCTGCATTAAAAATGAAAAAAATATTGGGAAAAAATAAATTTCCAATAAATAAAAATAAAAACAAAAATAAATTTATTTTTTTTATTACAAGTGGTCAAACAGTCGCTAGAAAAACTATGGGCGGCCATCCAACTGGAAAGTGAGACAATTCTACAGTGGACATTTCCACAGTGATAATTGCACAATAAAGGATGGGGATTTGAGTTGGGTTTAAGAGAAAGATTGTAATTTTGATTTGAAAGGAATTTCGATTTACTAAATAATCGAGCTAACATTGGGTGTGCGCCAAAATTTTGGCGTTCACTTTGGCGTTCCTAACGCAAATTTTTGCGGGTTGTAGGCGAAAAAATTTCACTTTTTCGACCATCCTTCCCCTAATTTTTCCCCCATTTCGGGGAGGGGGGGGGTGGAGGGCTCTAGCCCCACTGGATACGCCCTTGTGGTCAAATGATAAAATTTATAAGTTGTGTAAATTGATAAAAATAAATTCAAAATTAATCAAATATTTTCTCAATAAAATTCCTCCATAACTAAATGTTTTGTAACGTCATATTTAAAAGGTTTAGTCTCCAAATTACTTCCAAAATTTGCCTCAAAGAACAACATTGTAGAACAATAAACGGGTAATATGAGCTTAAACCATCCTTCCGTAATGCTACAGCCTTACCTTAAATGAATATTTTTTGAAATTAAAAAAAAGAATTTGTAAAAATAATTTTTATTAAATATTAACCAATTTGTTTTCCATTTTGTGTAAAGAAAATATAAGGAATCCCCTCATTCATTTTATTAGTTGAAGGATAAACTAATCCACAACCAAAAATATCGTTATTATTGAAAGCTGTTTTAAGTCTAAATTGGGAGCTTGAATGTTGTTTATGAAAAATTGTATCATAAATAACATTATAAATTGTATGATGATTTGTTCAATTATTTCTAAGACCAATAACCATAGAAGATATACAACTCTTCGAAATTCCTTCAAATATTTTGGAATCGAAGAATTTCCTTCAATTTAATTTCAAAATAATAAAAAGAATAAGTTGAACAATTTTGTGGTTTATTAAATGAATTTTCTGCGTAAACTTGAACAAATTGATTATACTCTAGGAATATTTCAAAAAAAAAATATGTTAAAAATTCAATAATTTACCTCCTTCCCGATAATTAACAAAATATTTAATATTTTCATCATTAATTAAATTTACATATCCACATCCTTCAATACAACTACCAATAGGTTTATCCATATTTATACATTCATTGCGACAACAGTTGCTAATAACCCACTTGTTTTTAATTCCAAGAAATTTCTTTAAAAAATTTATTTATCAATTTTAAATAATTATAAACTAACCGCATACATACTAGCCAAATTATTTAATTTAATTAAATCGCCCATCTTTTTCTCAAATGAATCACTGACCTTTTTATATAAATCAAATTTTATTAATTTTAAAAAGATTTTTTGTATTTAAATTTAACAAAAAAAGAATTTTCTCCATAACTTATAATTAAAAACTTTAATTGGAAAATCTTAAAAAATTTAATCAAATAATTTAAAGGCACTGGGGGAAGGGGGGGGGGAGGCAGACCATGCCACCGGGCAGAATTCGAACCTGCAATGCTAACAATTGCTCGCTCCGCCTTGCTCACACAAATGAAGGTGCACTACCAGTGCTAACATAAGTGGTAGAAAAAAAACAAACTACATACTAGATAAATCACCATTACAGTAGGATTGCCAAGTTAAACCGAAACAAAGAACCCAACGATTTCCGAAAATATTAAAAGGAAAGGAAAAAAATTTAATTAACCACCATTTTATCTACCTTCTTAATTTTTTCTTCCAAAGAATTAATTTTATCATCTTTTTGACCAAGTATTTGTTGAAAATTTTGTTTCAAATTTTTAAATTCTTTTTCATGTTCGGCGTTTATTTTCTAAAATTATTTCAAAAAATTTAAAAAAAATCCAAACTTTACTTTTAATTCATTTTCAAGATAAACAGTCTTCTCCTTCTCTTCATTTAATTCAATTTGAAGATCGTCGAGATTATTTTGAAGTTTTTGAACCAAAGTACAATCAGAATTTGAGGATCCTTCTTCAGTCATTTTGTAGAGAATTTTTAAATAAAATATCAAAATTTGTTGAAAAATATTTTAAATATAAGCAAATCTTTAATATTTTCTGGAAAAAATCAAAAATCGAATTGTTTCAATTTGCAAATAAAAAGAAAATTGCAAATAAATAAACCGGCTGCGGGCAAAAAATTTATATTATGTATGTAAATTGATAAAAATAAATTCAAAAAATAAAATTAATCAAATATTTTCTCAATAAAATTCTTGCAAAACTCGATGCTTTGTAACGTCATATTTGAAAGGTTTAGTCTCCAAATTACTTCCAAAATTTGCCTCAACAGAACAACAGTGCAGAATAATAAATGGTTTATATGAGCTTAAATCATCCTTCCGTAATGATAATGCCTTACCTTAAATGAATATTTTTTAAAAATAAATTTAACTAAAAAAACAATTTTTGTAAAAATAATTTTTATTTTAACATTTTTTAATCATTCACTCCCTTTATATACCAGCTTATTCCTGCCTAAAAGCTATCATTCGCCCTAACAATTCAAGCTCTTCCCAAATCATAAATTTAAAAGATAAATAAATGTCCCTATTTTTATTTTTGTGAATAAATTTAGTGGAGAAGTAAAGGAAATTTACTTCAAATTTTATTAAATATTTACCAATTACTTTTCCGTTTTGCGTAAAGAAAATATAAGGAAAGTCTTCATCCATTTTATTAGCTGAAGGATAAACTAATCCACAACCAAAAATATCGTTATTATTGAAAATTGTTGAAAGTCTATAAGCGAGGTTCGAATATTGGTTATGAAAAATTCTATTCGCAGATGCAGATACATTATAAATTGTATGCTCTTTTGTTGTACAATTTCGAAGACCAATAGAAAGCCAAGGTGTACTCCTCTCCGGGAATTCTTCAAATATCCACTTAATTTCAAAATAATATAAAGAATAAGCTGAACAATGTTGTGGTTTATTAAATGAATTTTCTGCAGACACCAAACGAAAACGATCATAACCTAAAAATATTTTTAAAAATTAATGTTAAGAATTCAATAATTAACCTCCTTCCAAATTATTAACAAAATATTTAATATTTTCATCATTAATTAAATTTAAATATCCACATCCTTCACTACAACTGTAGAAGGTTGGTATAATCCATTTGTTTTTAATTCCAAGAAATTTCTTAAAAGATTTATTTATCACAGATTTAATAATTATAAACTAACCGCATACATACTAGCCAAATTATTTAATTTAATTAAATCGCCCATCTTTTTCTCAAATAAATCACTGACCTTTTTATATAAATTAAATTTTATTAATTTTAAGAATATTTTTTATCTTAAATTTAACAAAAAGAATTTCCTACATAACTATATACAGTCGTGGAAAAAAGTATGGAAGCGCTAGAAAATTTTTTCTTATTTCTTAATTTTTCATTCAAAAAATACGTTCTATATATCAATCGAAAGCTCTATTCGTATCTCAGTTGACATGTTTCTGCATTTTTCATGAAAATAAAAATTGGCCGAGATAATCCGGATCTACCGGATATACCAAATCCCACTTTTTCGGAAAAATTTTTCGGAACAAATTTAACAAACCCAAATGATAAAGCATATTTTTCTGAGTATTTTCCACAAAACCGCTTAGAAATATCTTTTTTCGGAGCAGAGATATGATTTTTTGAAAATGGCATTTTTCGTCTATTTTTGCAGAAAATTCAATTTTTAAGCGAAAAATGCGATTTTCAAAAAATCATATCTCTGGACCGGAAAAAGATATTTCTAAGCGGTTTTGTGGAAAATACTCAGAAAAATATGCTTTATCATTTGGGTTTGTTAAATTTGTTCCGAAAAATTTTTCCGAAAAAGTGGGATTTGGTATATCCGGTAGATCCGGATTATCTCGGCCAATTTTTATTTTCATGAAAAATGCAGAAACATGTCAACTGAGATACGAATAGAGCTTTCGATTGATATATAGAACGTATTTTTTGAATGAAAAATTAAGAAATAAGAAAAAATTTTCTAGCGCTTCCATACTTTTTTCCACGACTGTAATTCCAAACTTTAATTGGAAAGTATTAAAAAATTCAATGCTTAAGTAATTTGAAGGCACCGGAGGGAGGTAGACTCTGCCACTAGGCAGAATTCGAAACTGCAACAACGCTGACAAGTGCTCGCTCTGCCTTATTCACACTTCTACCACTGAACTATCTATGCTAAGTGGTAGAAAAAACTAACTAAACCTCCGCCTAAGCGTTTTAAATACTACTAGATAAATCACCCTTACAGTAGGATTGTCAAACCAAACCTAAACCCAAAAAAACAAAGATTCTCGAAAATCTTAAGAGGAAAGGAAAGAAAATCAAAATTTAACTAAACAAAATTTTAAATTTACCTTTTTAATTTCTTCCTCAAAAGAATTAATTTTATCATCTTTTTGATAATTTTCTTCAAGTAATTGTTGAAAATTTTGTTTTAAATTTTTTATTTCATTTTGATGTTCGGCATTTATTTTCTAAAATTATTTAATAAAATTATTTTAAAAAATTCAAAAGAACTTTACTTTTAATTCAACAGTCTTCTCCTTCTCTTCATTTAATTCTATTTGAAGGTCGTCAAAATTATTTTTAAGTTTTATTAAATCATTGCTTAATTTTTCAACCAAATTAAAATCAGAATTTGAGGATCCTTCTTCGGTCATTTTGTAGAGAATTTTTAATTAAAATATCAAAATTTTCTGAAAAATGTTTTAAATTGAAGCAAATCTTAAATATTTTTTGAAAAAATCAATTTGTTTCAATTTGCAAATAAAAAGAATTTGAAAAAACAAAAAACAAATGTCATAGTTAAGAAAAATTATTTAACGCCCATTTTGAATGCCCCATAAAAGGCGAGAAAGAATCGGCCAAATAAGTTCATTCGCCCAATCTCAATTCCGACCAAAAGTTGGCCGGTTCTTTCTCCCTTATTTAATTAAATATATTTGTTGAATAAAAGTTAAAAAGAAAGCTTTCCTTTTACTTGGTGGATCGGCGCGCCCCAAGGGTGGGTTACCACTCTTGGGGCCCAACGCCGACTAACCCCCTGAAGAAAGGGGTTAGGATAATAATATGGTGCTCCCAAGATTCTTTTTATCTCCACCCAAAAAAATATTCTCATTCCTCTTCCACCTTAATTAAAAAAAATATTTTCTAAAAATACTCCAAAAATATTTTATTTAAAAAAATTATTCCTTCTTGTCATCAATCAAATTAATTCGGCGAAGAAAAAAATTTTTTGTTTATTAAACTAAAAAATTCTTTTTTGGTTATTAAACGAAATTTTTTCTTCTTCAATTCTTGTGATTTTGTGGCCGGAAATGGGCAAAGATGAAGGAAAAAAGGAGAAACGCCTAATTTTTGGCCAATTTTTTTACACCATCAAATTCGGCGAATTGGGTTTTTTTTGGCGAGTCAATCTTTTATTTGGGCGTGATCATGCGCTCAAGTGAAAGAAAAATTCCTATAAAGATGATCACATTGCTCACCAATTTGGATCATTTCAAAGAAGAGCCGCCATAAAAAACAAGAGGAGCCATCCAAACTAGAAGAGCCAACTAAAGAAGAGCCTCAAACAAGAAGCAGTCTACAGCAGTCTACACTAGAAGAGCCAGAATAACTTTGGAAGAAAAATAAACTGAGGGAAGTCAAATTGAGGAAGCTTTGAGAAGCAATAGTCGATCAAAGTTTTAATTACTGGCGTTTAAAACTTTGATTCGGCTGATCTTTTTGGCTGATCTGAGTTGGCTGATCTAGTTTGACTGGCTGTGAGTTAGCTGTCCTGGTTTGACTGAGCTTTGAGTTGGTTTATCTGAGTTGCTGAGCTTTGAGTTAGCTGCTCTGGTTTGACTGAGCTTGGATCTGGCTGATCTGATTTGGGTTGATTAATTTGATTTGGCCAATCCCTATTTGCTTCTGTGGCTGATTTGTTTGCGGATCTTTGGCTTGGATATTCAAAAGGGGAACCAGCCGATTTTGATTTGATTTGGCTGAACTTTGGCAGTTTTTTGGTTTATCTCGATTTGATTTTCTGAAAGGGAACCAGTTGATTTTGATTTGGCTGATCTCGATTTGATATTCTGAAGGTGAACCAGTTGATTTTGATTCGATTTGGCTGATTTCTAATTTCATCTGACGATTTTTGGATTAAAGCATTCTGAAATTTGCGGTTGTTGCCGAAGCTGAGGTTCGAAAAAGATAAGAATTTTCGAAGATCTTTGAATAGAAGGAAAGATTGTGGATTTTGTGGAAGGAAGCCGCTTAATCGTCGACCTATAATTCAAAGTTGTGGACCTCATATTCCTTTAGACGAGCCTCTAAATTTTAAACAGTGCCTCGGAATTGAATTCAAAACGTGCACGTTAAAGAAAAATAAAAGAAAAATTTTGATTGATTAGGAAAAGAATCCCGAATCCCTGCCTAACAGTTTAGTGGACTAATCCGGCCGGTTATCTACTAAATCCCATTAAAAAGGGCAAAAAGCGCTATATAAATAAAAAGAGAAAAGAATAAAAAGAGAAGAATAAAAAAAATTTTAGTGTTAGGTAAATTTGGGAAAAATAAAATTAAAAGAAAAATCTGAGGGCTGGTTTGAGATTAGATAACTCGCAATGAAGGATGAGAAGAACCCAGAACTTGGGATGAAAATGAAAAATGTGGATGATAACAGCGGAGGAAGTGTTTTGGGACTTCCTTATCCTAAATCCTATGATGGGTCAGAAGATTTTGTTTGTTATCTGAAGACTTTCAACCGTGTAGCTACTGCTCACGGATGGACTCCACTAGAGATCGGAATTTTGAAAAAACCGGGACCGGGAAACGGGAAACGGGTTCTGAAGGTCGACCGGGAGGGACCCGGACCGGGAAAACCGGGAATTCCCGTTCCCGGTTTCATCCCGGTCAAAAATGACCGGGACCCGGACCGGGAAACCGGGAAATTTAAAAAAATTTTTGAATTCATTTAAAATTTTAAAAAGTTATGGGAGTAGTTATTTATTGAAAATTCTGATTTATAAATAGAAGAATTTAATAAATCAGTAAAATAAATCAATAAAACAAATGTAAATTATAATAAATTAAAACATAAAGCGGATTACGTAGGACTAATGGGATTTGAGAGGCTAGAGAAGGATTGTGGGATATTAGGAGGTTATGGAGTTTAAGATCTCCCGATAGCCTCCTCAAATTTTTTATATCGCCTATATGTATTCCTCATCTAATTCCCTTTAATCCCTCCTAATCCACCTTGATGCTGATTTAATTTTAATTTTTATTTAATCCCTCCAAATCCACTCTGATCATCTCTGTGTAATAGTGATATCAGGATTAAAAGAGATATCAAGAGATTCAAGTATTTGTTGGGTAGCATTAAGAGAGATTGTGGAGACCTCCAACCACCTATATCACCTGATATCTATTCAAATCCCTTCAATTGGAAGCCAATGATATCAGATGATTAAGGCAGATCTAATGGATTTAGAGGGATAAAGATGGCTTAAACCAGGTCCCTTGATAAAATCGCACTATACACTAATTTTCCTCAACATTTCCTCCAATAATACCTCCAAATTTCTCCATTCCAAATTCTTCCGCGAAAATTTTGAGAATTTTTGTAAAATCTCCAATATTTTTAAGTCAAAAATCAAAACGCCAAGCAAAAATATTAAAAATTAGCTGCCAGAATTTTTCCCGGTTTCCCGGTCCGAAAAAAGCCGGGATCGGGAACGGGAAACGGGAAATGAAAATTAACCGGCCGGGACCCGGACCGGGAAAACCGGGAATTCCCGATCCCGGTTTCATCCCGGCATCTTCAAAAAAGCCGGGAAAAAGGACCGGGAAACCGGGAAACGGGACCGGGTCCCGATCCCGTTCCGATCTCTAGACTCCACCCAGATGTGCTCAAATTCTACCGCTTTATTTAACCGGCTCAGCTTTGGCGATATATGAAGGACTGCCAGATAGGGA